TATAGATATAAAATCGTTATTTTTTTGAAAAAAGCCTACTTTGATCGGAACCAAAATTGCTTTAAATTGCATTTTAAAGCATATATGGGTATTTTAAATGACAAAGAATGCTAATTTAGATATAAAATCGATATTTTTTTGAAAATAGCCTACTTTGATCAAAACCGAAAATGCTTTAAATTGCATTTTAAAGCAAATATGAATATTATAAATGACAAAGAATGCTAATATAGATATAAAATCGATTTTTTTTTTGAAAAAAGCCTACTTTGATCAAAACCAAAAATGCTTTAAATTGCATTTTAAAACATATCTAGGAATTATAAATGACAAAGAATGCTAATATAGATGTAAAATCGGTATTTTTTTGAAAAAAGCCTACTTTGATCAAAACCAAAAATGCTTTAAATTGCATTTTAAAACATATCTAGGTATTATAAATGACAAAGAATGCTAATATAGATATAAAATCGAATTTTTTTTGAAAATAGCCTACTTTGATCAAAACCAAAAATGCTTTAAATTGCATTTTAAAGCAAATATGAATATTTTAAATGACAAAGAATGCTAATATAGATATAAAATCGATTTTTTTTTGAAAATAGCCTACTATGATCAAAACCAAAAATGCTTTAAATTGCATTTTAAAGCATATCTAGGTATTATAAATGACAAAGAATGCTAATATAGATATAAAATCGAATTTTTTTTGAAAATAGCCTACATTGATCAAAACCAAAAATGCTTCAAATTGCATTTTAAAGCAAATATGAATATTTTAAATGACAAAGAATGCTAATATAGATATAAAATCGATATTTTTTTGAAAATAGCCTACTTTGATCAAAACCAAAAATGCTTTAAATTGCATTTTAAAACATATCTAGGTATTATAAATGACAAAGAATGCTAATATAGATATAAAATCGAATTTTTTTTGAAAATAGCCCACTTTGATCAAAACCAAAAATGCTTTAAATTGCATTTTAAAACATATCTAGGTATTATAAATGACAAAGAATGCTAATATAGATATAAAATCGATATTTTTTTGAAAATAGCCTACTTTGATCAAAAAAAAAATGCTTTAAATTGCATTTTAAAACATATCTAGGTATTATAAATGACAAAGAATGCTAATTTAGATATAAAATCGTTATTTTTTTGAAAATAGCCTACTTTGATCAAAACCAAAAATGCTTTAAATTGCATTTTAAAGCATATCTAGGTATTATAAATGACAAAGAATGCTAATATAGATATAAAATCGAATTTTTTTTGAAAATAGCCTACTTTGATCAAAACCAAAAATGCTTTAAATTGCATTTTAAAGCATATCTAGGTATTATAAATGACAAAGAATGCTAATTTAGATATAAAATCGTTATTTTTTTGAAAAAAGCCTACTTTGATCAAAACCAAAAATGCTTTAAATTGCATTTTAAAACATATCTAGGTATTATAAATGACAAAGAATGCTAATATAGATATAAAATCGAATTTTTTTTGAAAATAGCCTACTATGATCAAAACCAAAAATGCTTCAAATTGCATTTTAAAACATATCTAGGTATTTTAAATGACATAGAATGCTAATTTAGATATAAAATCGTTATTTTTTTGAAAATAGCCTACTTTGATCAAAACCAAAAATGCTTTAAATTGCATTTTAAAGCAAATATGAATATTTTAAATGACAAAGAAGGCTAATATAGATATAAAATCGATATTTTTTTTGAAAATAGCCTACTTTGATCAAAACCAAAAATGCTTTAAATTGCATTTTAAAGCATATATGGGTATTAAAAATGACAAAGAATGCTAATATAGATCAGACTACCGTCATTTCGATTCGGACTTCTTCGAAATTAATTTCGATTTCTTCGATATTAGAGCCGAAAATTCAAATTTCAAAAAACAGTTACATTATGTAAACAATAAATTATTTTAATTAATACCAATTCTGCACAAATCCCAAAGTTCTTCATAAATTATTAATTTTATATTTTTTTTATCCATTCTCAACTTTATTAACAATAAAATTTGAGCAAAATGAGTAAGTGCATGGTAAAATCTGGTTTAACCGTCAAAATTTTTTGAATATTATAACGGTCATAAAACATTTGAATTTTTTTGAATATAAATTTAACGGATGTTATATGAATTGGCGGTAGTCTGATATAGATATAAAATCGAATTTTTTTTGAAAATAGCCTACTTTGATCAAAACCAAAAATGCTTTAAATTGCATTTTAAAGCATATCTAGGTATTATAAATGACAAAGAATGCTAATATAGATATAAAATCGATATTTTTTTGAAAATAGCCTACTTTGATCAAAACCAAAAATGCTTTAAATTGCATTTTAAAACATATCTAGGTATTTTAAATGACATAGAATTCTAATTTAGATATAAAATCGATATTTTTTTTTTGAAAATAGCCTACTTTGATCAAAACCAAAAATGCTTTAAATTGCATTTTAAAACATATCTAGGTATTATAAATGACAAAGAAAGCTAATATAGATATAAAATCGATATTTTTTTGAAAATAGCCTACTTTGATCAAAACAAAAAATGCTTTAAATTGCATTTTAAAGTATTTATGGGTATTTTAAATGACATAGAATGCTAATTTAGATATAAAATCGTTATTTTTTTGAAAATAGCCTCCTTTGATCAAAACCAAAATTGCTTTAAATTGCATTTTAAAACATATCTAGGTATAATAAATGATAAAGAATGCTAAAATAGCTATCAAATCGATTTTTTTTTGAAAATAGCCAACTATGATCGAAACCTAAATTGCTTTAAATTGGATTTTAAAACATATCTAGGTATTATAAATGACAAAGAATGCTAATATAGATATAAAATCGATATTTTTTTGAAAATAGCCTACTTTGATCAAAACCAAGAATGCTTTAAATTGCATTTTAAAACATATCTAGGTATTTTAAATGACAAAGAATGCTAATATAGATATAAAATCGATATTTTTTTGAAAATAGCCTACTTTGATCAAAACCAAAAATGCTTTAAATTGCATTTTAAAACAAATCTTGGTATTATAAATGATATAGAATGCTAATATAGATATAAAATCGTTATTTTTTTGAAAAAAGCCTACTTTGATCGAAACCAAAAATGCTTTAAATTGCATTTTAAAACATATCTAGGTATTATAAATGATATAGAATGCTAATATAGATATAAAATCGTTATTTTTTTGAAAAAAGCCTACTTTGATCGAAACCAAAAATGCTTTTAATTGCATTTTAAAAAAAATACTTAATAAAAAAAACTTTTTAAAAAACCACGTTTTTACCCGTGGACTAAAAAGGAGAAATTAACTTTTTTATTGGGTTCAAAGGACATTTTTTTGAAAAATTGAGATTGATTTGAAAGTTTCATATTAAAGTCATGACTATACATGAATTGCAAATTTATTCACTTCGACCATATCGTATAGTTCTTCATCTTAAAACGTTGGCGCATTCATTAATGGTTTATATTTGGAAAGCTTAAATTTGGTATAAATTTGGTATCTAACCATAGAAAAAGTTTTTTTCATTTGATTTATTCGGTGTTTTGAGATGCAAGACGACTGCTGAAGTTCGCTTGCAACTTTCCGACGTAGTCTTCGATGGACGGAATTTTCGCTTCTGTATGAAGATCGGCGATCCTTTCATATCTTGTTTTATTGAGAACAATTCTCAAGAATTTGTTTTGAAGTTTTTGAAGGTGGGTTTTTGCCATGCTTCCAAATGCTGGACAACCATATGTGATTATTGGTCTGTTGGCTAGTTGTAATCTAGAATTTAACCATTGAAAGTCTTCATTGATTACCTGTGCTATCGCACAGCATAAGTTTGTAAACAAGAATTTAACCATAGAAAGTCGTATAACGTATTTTTTGTGATTCAAACTTATAACGGCTTTTTGAAATTTAAAATTGTTGAAAGTTGTACATATGTTATGTAAAAATAAGCTAAACCTTGAAGAGGAGAAAATTTAATTTAATTGTACTATAATTAGGCGTTTTTAAGTTTCCGAAATGCTTGAATATTGCGTTGTCATCGGAAAGATAAGTGCATGCAAAATTACAGCTCGATTGGAGCAGTAGAAGTGGTAGAAAAATCGATCGCAAGATTTGAAATTTTTTGCAAACAAACAAACAAGAAAGCAAGTTAAGAAAAACGTGGTAATAATAAAAACAAAAACCATTTAATAATTGGGCAATTCTCCAGAAGAATGGAATTTTTCAAAAGTGAATTGTAATTCTTCTTTTACTTGACACTTCAAATTTGAGAAAACCGTTAAAAAATATTTGTTTCAAACCATTTTTTCCGGTTTTATGGTTAATTGAAGGTTGAAAATTTAATTGATATGCATTTTAATGATTATTATAAGATAAAGTTTAGATCATTAACATTTTTGTGCGAAATAAACTACTGAAAGTTCCAAGATCTAACGGTTTTTTAAATTTTAAATTTTTAGTTGAGCGGATTTTCCCCTATAAAGCGTTTGCGTTGCTCGGCAACATTGAATTTTGTCCGAAGAATCGATTTTTCTCTTAATTAACGCATTAAATCAAAAATATGTTATTTAAATATGATAAAACTAAAGATTTTCTACCATTTAGTATGTATTAAGTGTAATAAAAATATTTCTTTGATAGTAATTTTTTGATTCTTCGTAATTGAATTCCATTTTTGGTTGCCGAGCAACGCTTAAAAAAATTGAAAAAACTAATGATTTAAGCTAATTAATGATTTCTAAATGACTTTAAGAGATAGAATTTGGAAAAATACATCTGTTTTAATCAAGAACAAACATGCTTTAGTGGGAAAATTTAAAGAAAAATCAATTTGAAAGTGATTTTTGGCTGATTTCCCCGCTGGAGAATCGCCCAATTACTCAGAAATTAATTGAAAGCAGCCAGTTAAAGCAATTTAATAATTAATTAATCTCTTCTTTTCCACATATCCTGCATAATGGAGTTTAAAAAAGAGAGAGTTGAAAGCAACATGATGAAAGCTGATGTTGAAGATATAAATGGGTTTTTTTCTGTTCTTATTCATTCAGAAAATAAAGGACGGTATGTAGTCAAAGTACGCACAGCTGAAATTGCACCAGAAATGCACGCAGAGAAGTTTTTGAAATTATATGGAAGAAACAAAAGTGGTGAAATCAACCTTTTTAAATGTACTGGAGGAAAGCTGAATTATGTCATGGAATTTCGTGATGAAGGAAAAGATTCTGCAAGTGATGGAAAAGGTGATGCAATTAAAGAAGATAGAGAAGTTGAAAAAGCTAATGCTGTTGGAACAGCTGTTGAAGAAACTAGTGCTGTAAAACAAAATTTAAAGAGCAAATTTGCTTTGAAGCCCAAGAAAGTACAGCATGAAAATAATATTGTTGAAGTTGAGAGCTATGTTTTCTCAAAAACCCCACAAGACATTTTAAATATTGGAAGTTACGGAAATCTAACGTTGACACTGGATGACTATTGTGGACTAGGATACAAGACTTGGGTGTCAAACCGAATAGTTGATTTTGCAATTTCTTCTTACATGGCATTTACCGACATCTCAGATGAGTGCCGTGAAAGCATCTTTATAGCAAACAACGAATTGTATCTGCAGTACAAATATTTTTTTGAACGAAAAGAGAGAGACCTAAAAATAGGTGAAGGTTTACTGAAAAATCTGGCAAGACACACTAAAGACGTGAACATTTTAAAAAAAAAAAATCATCCTCATTCCGGTTTTAAATTGTGGACATTGGAGACTCATTTGTGCTAATCCATCATCAAACTCAACGTAATTATAACAATTACTACAATTATTTTATTTTGACGCATCTTATAATAATATTTTTTCATTTCTAGTGTCATCATAAATTACCTCGACTCATTGTATAATTATATTGAGCCTAAAATTATGGCTGTTATTGAAAGCTTTTTCCGGCGTGAATACGCATTGTGCAGCAATGAAGAGATGGTCGGTAAGAATCCACTAGGATTCAGAATATTCAGACCGAATGTACCGAAGCAAATTCCAGATGATTGTGCCATATATGTAATCCGCTTTGTCCAGATGATTGTTAAGCATAAGAAGATCTTAGCATTTACACCAGAGGAAGCATTAAAATTAAGAGAGGATATTGCAACTTTAATTCAAGAAGAAGTTGTAACTGACAAATCTTTGCTGTTGCCGAAATTAAATTTTAGTAAGCCATCATCAGCCTTATTAATTTAACATAAATGGTGTTTGGAGAGTAACGTTTTACGAAAGGTAATGTTAATAGAATATCAACAAACATAGAGTTTTAATGAATCCCTACTAAAATAACGAATTTCAATAATTCGAAACCTCATTTTTGCGAAGTCCCATTTGTTTGAATAATTTTAAATTGTTAAAAACTTTCAAATTGTTATTGAAATACCGATATTAATAGAGTTTTAATACATATTTTAAATTATTAATGCTGTACTTTTTTCGTTTAAGGCTAAAAAATATGCTGACTCAACGTTATAATACACTCTTAAGAATCAATGCCCAAAGAAGAATTTTATTGACTGGAACTCCATTACAAAATAGCTTATTGGAGTTGATGACACTGCTTTGTTTTGTTACACCCAAGCTTTTTGAAAACAAGACCGAAGACATTAAGGCATTATTCTCGAAAAAGGCACCAAAACTTGATGACGGCTCCGAACAAAGTAATGATTTTGAACAAGCTCAAATTCAACGAGCCAAAAATATTATGAAACCATTTATTCTTGGGCGTCTGAAAAAGGACGTTCTCTCATTCTTGTCGAAAAAGACAGAAGTTATGAAAAAAGTTCCACTTTTGCCTGATCAAGCTGAAAAATATCAATATGTGATAGACGAATATAAAAATATTGATCCAACAACTGACTCTTACATAGGTAGAGGAAGTTCTATTATAATGGACATGAGAAAGATTGCTAATCATCCACTATTAATGAGATATTTCTTTAGTGATGCACGATTACATGATATCTCTAGAGTTTTAGCTCGCGATTCAGTATACAAGAATAATAATCCAAAGCAGATTTTCGAAGACATTGGACCATTGTCTGACTTTAAAATTCATCAGTTAAGAGAAAAATATCCATCTATAAGAAATTTGGTAAAGGTTAAAGATTCCAAAGATTCATTAATGGTGTATATTTGGAAAGCTTAAATTTGGTATAAATGCGCCCACGTTTTAAGATGTAGAACTATACGATATGGTCGAAGTGAATAAATTTGCAATTCATGTATGGTCATGACTTTAGTATGAAACTTTCAGATCAATCTCAATTTTTCAAACCGATGTCCTATGCACCCAATAAAAAAGTTATTTTCTACTTTTTAGTCCACGGGTAAAACGTGGTTTTTTAAAAAGTTATTTTTTTTGAATTTAAAGTTTTGCAGCTTATTTTGCCTCGATTCAGGGAATCTGAACTAACAAATGTAGCATTTTCTTTGAGTTCAAATCTCGAATCGCGAGCTACAATTGATGCAGATTTGAGTGTAAGTGCTAAAATGTGTAGCAAAACTTAAAAAAGCTTTTTTTTTTTTGTTATATAAAAAAATAATTCATTCCGATGTTATATTTTATTCACCAAAAAAAACTTTAAGTAATATTCCTTTTTTTTTCACACAATTCACTAAAACTAAAATTTAATGGATATAAAGGCTGGAATAAATAAAGTACATGTATTAAAGAACAGACAGGTTTATTGAGTCGTTTAATCATTTTTTATTGAAATTTGAAAGAGTAATTTTTGAATTTATTTATTTTCGATTCAAAGAGAAAAAGTTCCTACCACAAAACCGCAAATTAATTTCCACATCTCTTTCGTTCCTCGTAGTTATTTTGTTTATTTGTTTGTTTTTTTTTACCTATTTGTGTATCACAGTTAATTTTTATCATCATTTAAAATATATTTTACAATCATTTTAATTATTATTTATTCTTTTGGTATTGAGAGATTTTTAGCAAAAAGATCTTAGGTGCAAATTTAATGTAAATTTGAGTGGAATTTCTACAATTTACTTCCTCTAAGTTTCTTAAATCGTTTTTTAATTTTAATTTAATTCACATGTGATAAATTTAATTAGAATTTTTTTTGGAAAGCAAGGCCTCTAAATGAATCGATTACTATTCTTACTTTCTGATTAAATTCCAAGCTTATGCTTATTCAAAATGAGACGATCAAATCACTAAGTTGATCGAAATAATTAGCAAAAATCGGCATTTATTTATTTAAAGTCAGTCGCAGACTTTCTTTGCATTAATCTTGCAGTTTATCTGGATTTTGATCAGTTTCTCTCAAATCTGTCTCTTTGAAGCAAATTCCAAATCAGTATTTCTCTAATTTTTTAAACCACAAAGAAGTAAATCGTCCGTTTTTCGCTCCTCGCTGAATACAACTATTGAGCAACACTGCTCTAAATTCTGGAAAGTGGGCTCATTTCTCAAAAGAAACGACTTTTTCGAGTGATTTGTTTCCTTTAGTTTTTCATTTCTAAAAATAATTATGGTTCAAAGTTTGAGAAGAACTGATCTGAATCCAATCTTATTTTTGGTGAGATTCGCACGACATCAGATTTTAGTCTTTATTATGTAAAATTCTAAAGGTTTAAAATCCTATAAAATGATCCAAAACCAACCACCGTAAGCATAAAACGCAATAAAATCCTTCAAATAATAAACATTCTCTATACTTTTGAGTAATTGGCATGTGATGTATAGAGTGGTCGTTAATGTTTTAAAGAAGCTTCAGATGGCTTCGATCTGATTTAAAAATGATTAATTTTGGATACTTTTGCAAAGTTAGCTATTGCTTGAAAAACGTTGTTCATAGAGTTATCGAGTCTAAATTCGAATAAGCGGGTAGGCAGTTGAGTGAGTTATTAGCAAAAGGAAACTTTGATATGTTCAAGAATCTTTTAAGCATTTCCCATACTAATTTATGGCTAATTTTACTCTTTCATAATTAAAAATTGAGCAATCTTTTAATATCTCAGATTAAACTGATGTAGCTTTAATTTTTTTTTTGTTTTCTCTAGACTAGACTTGAAGTTCCTATCGCAGATTAATTAATTTTAAAACATATGAAGTATGTTGTTCTTGTGTTTCGAAATACTAGATTAAAATTGGACGAAATGTTTATTATTAAAAGCTTTTAATTGGTTTATATAGTCCCGTATAGCCACATAGTCGTGCTCTTAGTGCTGGTATGAGATATGCAGCACTCGACAAATCCTTCAATAAATCAGCACACTCACAGATCAGCAAATACATCTTGTCTCCTGATTTTGCTACAGCTGTCGTTCAAATGAGATTCATAAGAAAATATTTTATTCATGGAATTTTAATAAACCTACATTTATGTAAAGTTATGCGACGTAAGCCTGCATTTCGAGGAAGATATCTGTACAGCATCCTTGCACCTAAATTAAAGGAATAGAAAATTATTAAAAAACATTATCTTTATGAAAATCAAATTAAGTCTGATTTACCCGTCCAATAAAGCCAGTTTCTTTCAAATCTTTCTCCATCATCACCCTCAAAAACCTTAATGCATACGTGTGTAGGAAGTAATTTTATTTAATTGGGGTTATATATATATTATATATATATATTTATATATAAAAGGGAAACACTTTAAAGTATACAAACATCATAAAAAATCAGAACATTATGTACCTTATAGACCGATATTATATAGCCTGTTGTTGCGGCCTTTTTCACATTCGCTTGCTCAGACGGTAATAGCTGTAAAGGCGGTCGACAAATTGCGGCAACTTCCTTATAAAGATCTAAAAAACTTTCGAAAGTCTAACATTTTCCGTATATAAAAAAATAAATTGAAGCTTTTCATTCAATATACCTAAAGTATGTGCCACAGAATATCGAGTGTTTTTGGGTTCAAATTTCGATAATGAGGCACCACGAACGCCCGAGAAGAAATTTTGCGGATCCGTTTGTTGAGTGTTTATTGTATAATATGCGATAAATGGAAATTCAGCTTAAGTATTAAAAAACAATTACTAAATGTAAAATTTGATAATCTTGCATGCATCCTTACCATGACGCTCCATATTTGCGAGCAGCATACCACCAGATGCATTGTTTCCTTGTTGAATCTTGTTGAATGAAAAAAAAGAGAGAAAGAAAATGTAATTAAGAAAGAGCAGATGCAGAATAAGTTTAAAAATTGGATAGAGGCGCTCTCCTAGTCCACTATAGATTGACGTATCAAAAATCGAGTAACTTTTCAAATGATCGGTAGTTACTAGGGGCCTGAGATCTTTTTGTACTGAATTATAGACCCTAAATGATTATCTGTCGTTCACATCAAACCAATGTACCAGCATGCTCCATGCTCAGGTCTCAGATAAACCAAAAGTAGGCAACAGAAGCCATACAGAATGCAAATGGACTAAGAGCTCCCTCTGACAATTAGAGCCTTGTGTCTCCTGGAATGTCTTTACTGTTTTCACAATTTAAATGCGCTTGAAATATTTTCAGATGTTATCTTTTTTGAGAAATAACCATTAATTTTGGACGTCACAAGTGAACAACTCATTATTAAAATGCTTAAAAATAATCTAATTATTTTGCATTCATTTACAGATCATTAGAAGATTAGAAGGTCATTAATTTTAGTGTAATTAACAAATAATTATAATAAATGTCTTATATAGAAAGGATTTATCATTTAACGATTTTTAGTATTTCAAATTTCAATAAATAATTTGAAATTTTCCCGCCAAAAGTTGCACTACAAAAACATTAATTATAGTATAATTAATAATTTGTTGCAATTAATTTCTTTATAGAAAAAATTTATGATTCAACGGGTTTTTGAAATTCAAATTTTACAACGGCTAGAAAAAATTTGAAATTATAGAGGTAATGTTGAAATTATAGAGGTAAAATATAATTTAATCAGGTTACACTGAAAACAAAATTAAAATTCATTAATCATAGTATAAATACACTGTTTCAAGACTTTTAACTGTTCGATCGGACAATAAACAATAGTATCTAAGCTAATTAAACATAACTGAGCTCTCTACTATGTCTGATTAAAAAGTTTTTCTTCGCCCGAACGAACAAAGTGCATTATTAAGGTACATTTTTGAAACAAGTTTCAAAAATGCGCTAAAAATTATTAGCTATGGCATAATTATCAATTTGATATACTCAATTATCATACAAAAACTGTTCATCATTTAACGGTTATTTGAGATTCAAATTTTCTAACGGTCAGTTTTTGAAAGCTTTTCGCCAAAAGATACACAAAAAAATCATTTATTAAAACATATTTAATATCTTTAATTCTCATGTATAAATTGTTTATCATATAACAATTGCTGCAAAAAATTTTCAGATAAAAAGACTTTGGAATTTAACGGTTTTTTGAGATTCAAAATTTTTCAACGGTAGAAATAAATTCGAATTTCTAAACGCTCTCATCACGTGTTTTTTCATATGAAATGTAAAAATCATTAATTTTAGTATTTATCCATTGTTTAATGGTTCGAAAACAATATTAAAGCCAATAAAACAATGGACCAGAGCTAATAAAACAAATTAGAGCTCTCTACAATGTCAGGTTAATAAGATCTCAGACACAGCCGAGCAGCCGATCAAAGTGAATTATTAAGCTACCTTTTCGAAATAAGTTTCAAAAATGCGCTAAAAAGGAGTCGAAGTCTACATTTAGTTGAATGATTCGCATGTAATTAATATAATTAATTAATCACACTTTGTATGAAAATTTGGCTGTGCCTTATATAAGTGATTTCTGATTAAACTTGTGAAGTATATAGCGACTCAAGAATAACGACGTATAATAGAAGAAAAATCGACGTTTATTGGATCATCCAGAAAATTGTACATTTAAGTCGATTTTTTCATTGACGGCAATTTTGGTTACGTGGGAGTCTACTTTGATCAAAACCAAAAATGCTTTAAATTGCATTTTAAAACCTATCTAGTTATTTAAATGATAAAGAATGCTAAAATAGATATAAAATCGAAATTTTTTTGAAAAAAGCCTACTATGATCTAAACCAAAAATGCTTTAAATTGCATTTTAAAACCTATCTAGTTATTTTAAATGATAAAGAATGCTAAAAAAGATATAAAATCGAAATTTTTTTGAAAAAAGCCTATTTTGATCAAAACCAAAAATGCTTTAAATTGCATTTCAAAACATATCTAGGTATTATAAATGATAAAGAATGCTAATATAGATATAAAATCGATATTTTTTTGAAAATAGTCTCCTATGATCGAAACCAAAAATGCTTTAAATTGCATTTTAAAACCTATCTAGTTATTTTAAATGATAAAGAATGCTAAAATAGATATAAAATCGAAATTTTTTTGAAAAAAGCCTACTATGATCTAAACCAAAAATGCTTTAAATTGGATTTTAAACATATCTTGTTATTTTAAATGATAAAGAATGCTAAAAAAGATATAAAATCGAAATTTTTTTGAAAAAAGCCTATTTTGATCAAAACCAAAAATGCTTTAAATTGCATTTTAAAACATATCTAGGTATTATAAATGATAAAGAATGCTAAAATAGCTATAAAATCGATTTTTTTTTTGAAAAAAGCCTACTATGATCTAAACCAAAAATGCTTTAAATTGCATTTTAAAACCTATCTTGTTATTTTAAATGATAAAGAATGCTAAAAAAGATATAAAGTCGAAATTTTTTTGAAAAAAGCCTATTTTGATCAAAACCAAAAATGCTTTAAATTGCATTTTAAAGCATATCTAGGTATTATAAATGATTAAGAATGCTAAAATAGCTATCAAATCGATTTTTTTTTGAAAAAAGCCTACTATGATCTAAACCAAAAATGCTTTAAATTGCATTTTAAAACCTATCTTGTTATTTTAAATGATAAAGAATGCTAATATAGATATAAAATCGATATTTTTTTGAAAAAAGCCTACTTTGATCAAAACCAAAAATGCTTTAAATTGCATTTTAAAGCATATCTAGGTATTATAAATGATAAAGAATGCTAAAATAGCTATAAAATCGATTTTTTTTTGAAAAAAGCCTACTATGATCTAAACCAAAAATGCTTTAAATTGCATTTTAAAGCATATCTAGGTATTATAAATGATAAAGAATGCTAATATAGATATAAAATCGAATTTCTTTTGACAAAAGCCTATTTTGATCGAAACCAAAAATGCTTTAAATTGCATTAATAATTTGTTGCAATAAATTTCCAGACAGAAAACGTTTATTATTTAACGGTTTTTTGAAATTCAAATTTTACAATTATAGTAAAAGAACACTGTTTTAAGACTTTTAACTGTTCGATCGGATAAACAATAGTAACGGAGCTAATAAAACAAACCTAAGCTCTCTACGATGTCTGCTTAAAAAGTTTTTTTTCAGACGAACGAACAGCCGAATGAACGAATTAACGAACATTTCGCATTATTAAGCTCCCTTTTTGTATACAAGTATACAAAAATGCGCTAAAAAGCTCTTGAAATGAATATTGCTTAAAATGCAGATACACTAAAATAAATACATTGAAAACTTGATCCTTGAAACAAGTGCTTAATATTATTGCATGCAGCACGAAAAACTTAAAAAAAATGAAATTGAGAACATGTTGTGAAACTTACTTCGTTAAGAAGTTCTGATGCCACGGCACGTTGTTTTATCAGTGGATGTGACAGTGGTGATTCTAAAATTGGATCTATTGGTTCAAGAGGACTCATCAGATGAGCTAGAATGCATATTTTTGGATCAGATACTTCTAGAACTGATAATGAACTAGGTTTATAGGTTGGATCCTTAGATTCAGGTGATTGAGCTGGAAGCTGGAATGAAAATTAATTTTTAAACTAAAAGGATTAATTTAGTGACATATGATTTACTGGAAGTCCAGCCGGCAGAAATCTATCTAAAGATCGAACAGGAATTATAAAACAGTCTTGTTCTAAAGTCGATAAACTTATTGGTTCACTCCTTGAGCTCACAAATCCGGTGATTGCACCATTCGCTTGCCCACTAAAATTAACTGAAATCAGAGATAAAAGAATAAAGTTATAAAATGACTGTCGTAATGCCGAAAAAAGACAAAAGCAGTTTCAAAAATATTAAGCAAATCAAAATTTGAAGAGATAATCTCTTTGGCAAAAGAGCTTTTAATTTTTATAAAGTCATCATGACATTATTGTCATTTAGTCACAAAGGTTGTTAGCTAGATTTATATTACGAAGAAAAGCATGTCAAATGATTGAGAATTCAATGACATTTATCACTTAAATCTCATAGCTTTGGTTGATTCCAAGACTGATCCAATAAGACGTCTTTTAAGGATAGACTGACAATTTTTTTTATGTAGCTTCAAGTTTGTATTAAAAGTTCCTTACCAGAGCTTTAAGTTGGCAAGACATCGAATTTGAACTCTGGCTATGAGTTTTTCAATCCTGAATGCTTTTAGAATCCAAAACTCAATTTTTTCGCCAAAAAATAAGTAAACCGGTACCAGACATCAAAACATGCCAACAATATCACTGTCATTGCCATGATTGGCTGTTTAACAGATAGACATCCTCAATTTAGATTTAACTCACTCTTATCTGAAAGCATCTCATGATACTCATGTCTAAAATATCGAACCGAGTCCACTTTCAATACCTATAACAAAGATATTGACCATTCCTAAAACGGAACTCTATAAAATATTCAAGCACGTTCACAAATCAAACCAAACAACTCTCCACGATAAATTCAAATGTTTTATAGGCACATTTCGTGTGCTATTCCAACTTTGATCTTGAATTTATTGACAATGCTGTTATTTTCAATAAAGTACAGGATTTTGACATATAAGCATCCAGTTGGCAAAAGAATCATTTAGTTGTGGAATGTATTGTACAACAGTAGGAAGAAAACAAAGCATTTCGTGACTCATAAAAATTATATCTATGAACTTAGTAAAGGTATGTTCACATACAATTTCTGCATACCAGATAGAATGTATGCGCATTAGTGGGAATAAAGCCACACCATTATTTCATTATTATTTAAATTTATTTTTGGGAAATTTCACAAATGACGTCTGTCAAATGACATGTGTCCTGACTCAACCATATCCTTGCGCCCTGTTTTGTTGAATATCCTAAACTGGATCTGTATGTCTCATAGCTTATAGCCCTTCTTCCCTCCCACCTTGTATATTAGACGTCATAGGTGTACAACCCCTCTCAAATTTCACATTCGTGACGGTAAATGGTTCATTGATTGGAATTTCCGTCTGTATGTATTTACTCGGATATTATGATTTCCTTGATAATAGCAATGGGGCGGTTAAATGCTTTAAGGAAGTAAGGAAGGAAATGTGCTCATGCATTTTCACTATTATTTTCCCTTTCTGCATATGAAGCAACGTGACATAAAAAAAGTTTCATTTTCACTTTTTATGTATGAAATGTTCGTGAGATCGAAAGTTTTCGTACATGCTGAAAAACTGCTAATGCAGCACAACATGTTATTAAGTTTAATTCTGTTGTCATTTTTGTCGTAATAATCAGTTGGTTTAATCATACTTTATGCAAGGATCTTGCATGTAAGCTGATATTGCTGTTCCTTTCGACATTCAAAAGATTCTGAAAGCTATGGATATAATCTGTTGGAAGTATTAATTTAATTAAAATTCATTAGTTTAAGTGGTTGTCAATTATAGATTAGAGACTATTAAGTATTTATCATGAAAGTGGATTATTGGGAGTACATAAATCCATGAAACTAAGACACAAATCCAAATGATAAAAAAGTTTGGACTACTTTTATCTAACTTTTCAGTACTTTTGTGGCATTAGAATGAATGCAGAAACTTAATAAGAATCTTCAAAATTTTTCACGACTTAGAAGCACATTATGTCAAATCATTCAGACAATATTATAAACCATTTACCCTCACTTTTATGAACCGTTTACTAATTTAGTATTTGGAATAAGAAAAATGTAATTTAAATAGTTGTTTCTTGCGAAACGTAATTAGCTTTAACTTCATTTCAATCAAGCTTTCGATCTCTTCAGGGTTTAGTGTAAATTATGGAATTAATATTAATGTTTGTTTCGAATGTCATTAAAGTAATTTTAATTTACATTATTTCGAACTGACAAGGGATCCCCAAGCAGGACATAAGTTCTAATCGTGGTATAACAAATCAATTAATTATGCTCGTGAAAATAAGAGACTTCTAATTATATATGAGAACCAAAAACAGCAGAACTTCTATTAGTCATACTCAGCCTCATTAAAATAATTTTGGATAGACGTTCCTCTCCATAATAAAGGTCTCCTTTAACCCATGTCATGACATAAATAATGAATTTATATTCCGCCCTAATAATTTTAACGAAATGTCTATTGTTTAATCATTAAGAAGAAGAACGATATTTGGGCATTTTCGACCTGTATTTTACAAAGTTCCATTAAATCGAAAACCTTATTATACATCTGAAGATTATTGAAAATATTAATGGCATCATTTTGGGAATTTTTGAAAATGTCAAATTCAATTTTTTTAAAAATATCATCAAACATTAATAAGCATCTAAGGAACTACCTGAGCTTGTCATAAAACTTTCATTGTGATTTCCCATTTAAATTGTGATTCTCAATTCAGAACTGATAGTACTGTTCATAACTATTGATTTTTCATTTTGTTTCACGGACGATTGAGAACAAAAAGAAGACATTTACAGTCAAAACTAACATTGAAAAATTTAGGAATGGCTCTTTTTTTGTATTTTGTGGAAATATTTATGTCTCTTAGGGGCCGTTCACTTATTACGTTCGCATTTTTAGGGGGGGGGAGTTGAAAAATTGACACCAAAAACATTTTTTAAATTTTCACCATTTTAATGATTTATGAATGTCAAGATCTCTTTTGATACCTAAGCAATACATAGTATTACTATTACCTACACAATCATAATTTGTGGAAATTTTCAAAATTAAATCCAATTAAATCAATCATAAGTTTAAAAGTAAATCTCTCTAAATCTGTCATTCATATGATGACTAATTATGATCCCATCATTGTGATATTTACATTCAAAGTTGATTGAATTTTCTAAAATTCGATCGGGCATAATATTTTGGATGACATTTTTGAATTTTCTTCAAAAAAAAAAACAAATTTTTGGTTTATAAACCAATCCAATAATTTATGAGAATACTAATAGTATCAATCAAACATGACCTATTTAGCTATACAGTATTTTGATGTTTAAGAAAAAAAAATACAAAAGAAATTTAACCGTCTTTTTAGAATAAAAAATTATCAAAATAAAATAAATTATGAACGTTCAGGGGGGGGGGGGGGGTGTGAATTTCTTTGCTGTTCATTATCTGTTTGTCCCAAGGTTCCCGCGCATTATAATCTTATTAAAACGAGGATTATAATCTTTGTATTAAAGATTATAATCAGAGTTGCGACGACAGTTACAACAGATTTGCAAATCTGTGACAGATCTGTCAACATGTGGCTTATTAACAGTTACAGGTGGGCTGTTTTCGTTGACCTGTGATAGATTGCAACTCTGATTATAATTTTTTATGCAAAAATTATTGAAAAATATTCTTTGTATGTGATTATGTGAAAATTATAATCTGCGGGAACCTTGCTTTGATCAGATGAAAGGGATTTGTCTCAGAAAAGAATTTGACTTGAGATCAGGAAAAGGATTGATGTCTCTAACAAGCAATGAGCAAACTCACTTTAATAAGCATACTTCATTTGATAACAACAAAGCGTGTTCATGAGTATCCTCATTAATATAAGCATCACACAATGATTTAGATTCAGGAAAAATGTTCAAAAATTCAAAAATAACATATTTATTAAACTTCATCTTTTAAATGCCAGATTAAAGATCTTAACTTAGGGCATATTCAGTGAAAATATCTCGTTTCATTTGGATGTTTAACTCCAGAAATCTTTAATTTATTTTCAACAAAAATTTGTTTACATTTTGTATATGAAAAAAATTCTTTGATTTTCTCTAATTTAAGTTGTTATTTCCTTATCTTGCTAGCTGTTGTTAGCTAAGTTAAGCTTAGATTTGCATATTAAAACTACCAAATCAAAAGAAAACTGCTTATTAAGTCTTAAAAATGCAATTGAAATCTGAGTATTTTTACAAAACTTAAACTATTCATAAGTTAAAAAGTCTTTCAAAGACCTCTCTGAAACCTTTATAAATTATTTAATTAAGCTTAAATCTATCTCCCATATTACTGAGGAGATGCCGTTTGATGCCATTTTCGAGATATTTGCGAACAAAGTTTACATAAATTTTCATACAAAATTTGATCATGCACAATATTTTTTGATAAACTTTTACAACTTTTGGTAAAAAATCATGTTTATTTATCCTTTATATTAAGGACTGATTTTTGAGCAATGAACGAAAACATTATGTAGAAGATGCTAAAAGAATCAAATGAAGAGAAATTATCAAAAACTTTCAATTTTTTAATGTGTCGGAAAAATATTGTACACAAGGAATTTTTGAACATTTTTTCCGAATCTGAATCATTGAGCATCAAAAATTGAAGTTATATTATGAATCAAAGATTGATAGTTTGATTCTAGGTCTCGTTTTGTTAAAATTTCATTGTTTATTTCTTGTTATGACGCTTTAGATATTGTTTTAAAGTTGTTGATCCTTAATATATGCTATAACTTCTAGCGTCTTGTAATTGAAAATTTTGACTAGACAAGTTGCCATTCACATAAATTCTTGGTTACATACTCATGACCTTTGACTTTGCAGAGCTTTAAAGTAGATGGAATTCCACCATGAACTCAGGTTATTAAGGGTATGCAAGGTACAATGGATTCTCTATAATAAAATTGTTTGGAGCTTAAATGATTGAGCACTTCATACATTATTATTTTTATTAATCAGGCTATAACTTCCTTCAAGTAATGTATATGCAACCCCCACATCCCAAAACATTGATTCCAAAAGCTTTCATATAGTGTACAATTTGTTGTATACTCCTGGCTCCCATTTCAAAATATTGTATTGTTTTTAATAATATTTTTGTGTAAACTGGTGTAAACATAAACATGAATTCACAATCTACCGCTGTTGTGACTTTGCTTTTTATTGTTTTGATGGATAATAGAATTTTGTGTGATCAAAAAAAAAATAGGAAAATCGAACTTTTTCAGTTGAATGTGAAAAAAGCTCTACGGAATGTAAAGAAGCAAATGAATTTGTATCAAGGAAGATAAGAAGCAGTGATGGATAAGCACTTAAAAAAATTTTACTACACAATCAAAGAAAAGCAAATTGTAAGTAATTTTGTTTAGTCATGTGACAAAAAATAAGTATACAGGAATATGAATAAGAGTTAGAACAAATGCACAAATCCCAGACAGACACAAAAGAGACACGAGATTTAGACAAAAAACAAAAAGAAGAATAAAAACATCAAAACGACTATACAGGATGTTGAAAAAAAGCAAACCTTTTGTGCCAGTAAGAACTACTTGAGGTGCTTGCTCAACATTACATCTACCACTTTCCACACTGCTTTTACTTGAAGGATAAATATTACCCATGGAAAATCTTTGAATTAAGGGCTGATATGTACTGTGTGCATCCAAAAATTCGTTCGCTGTGTAATCGTTATTTGGAATCATACTTGTGTCAACACTCGGATTGATTGGAGATGATATGGCTGAACATCGAAGCTCTGTAAAACAGGTACAGTGGTAGTGACAAAATTTTTGTTTAATTTTACAAATAAAGAATGAGAATTTGGCAAATAATAAAGAGAGAGGATACAAAATAAAGGTGGCATTTGGTGAGGTTAATAAAATATACAGCTACAGCTACACAAAAAAAAAAATAAAAATGAATTATTGTAGTTTTATTAAAAAAAAAGAAAGAAAAATAAAAAAAAATTGTGCAGATGAATATTGTAATAAAAAGTATACTATATTCTACATTATATGCACTGAATTCGATATTTTTTCCTATTTTTCCCTTTGATTCTCTTCCAAAGCGTACGAGACTCTGAAAAACACCTAGTTCCATAGACTTTTTATTCATTTTATTTCATAGACTCAAAATAAATTTCATATTTATGACACAAAATTAATTTGTTTTTTGCGCTAGCTTTGCGGGCATGAATAACAACATTGGATAAGTTTTTTTTCGCGTTTTATGGATTTATTTTAATATTTTATACAGGAAAAGCTCTTAAGTACTTTAAAACTAATAATTTCAAGTCTTTTAATTGCTTATTCATAAAATGCAGGCTCGTCTGACAAATTTGCGGTATTAATAGGCATTTTACGTATAAATGCTGTAAATACCTCAACATAGCTCTATATCCAGTAACTGGAGGGATTTTTGGGAATCAATAAAAGTCATTAATAGCTGAAGTTTCTCGGTGAATGATCTTATTGCTTAAGATCACTTATTTCTATGCAAAATAACTTGAAATAAAACCAGAAGCCTTCCTTTATAGGCTACAAACAGAATGTCATCAATATAAGTTTTTTAATGCTGCGTCTGACCTTGACATTGTTGCATGACCTTGACATGGTGTGCATCTACAAAGTTTCATATAAATTCTCTGCTTTCTTTGAGCAACTAAATCATTCATTTGAACTGTGAATATTCATCTAAATTGGTATTTAGGGATTTGGAACGTTCTCCCATCATTTTTTGCTGTTAAAAAGCCTTAAATTTGTTTGACTTCATAAAATTTTTTTGATGATTTTCAGTTCTTGTTCAAATGCAGACGACACTTATTCTCCAACAACCAAAGCTAATCATTCCATACCAACGCACCAGAAGAAGAATTTCAAATAATCCCTAAAAACTCAAAAAGCTATACAGACTGTCATCAGAAAGCATAATTTGTGTCAAGATTTGTTTACGTTAATTTAAAAACAATAATTTTACTAATTAAAAGAACATGAAAACTTATGTACGGACATTGAAAATGTTCACATCTCATTAATTAACAAGGATACCTTCGTCATTAGCTACGTGAATTACGTCAAGCAGAAAATAATGTAAAACAAAAACTCGGTTATTGTTCAAAATTTTCATATTCAGACACTTCGATTCAATTTGAAGAGAATGAAAAATGAGGAAAATTTCACTTTAAAGTATTCCTCATTAATAATGCATGCAATCGTCGTGAATGTGGAAAGTTCATGTGCTTTTCCGCTTTCTATTCCTGTTTCTATTCACATCAAACTTAATTATTTTCATGAATATAAATTTCTTGTAATGTAAAAGTTGACAGCTTACGAGCGAGACATTTTCATCACGTGAATTTATTTCTTGTTATATGATCATGTCGAGTCTCATAAATGTGAAGATCAATTTTCTTTAAAATAAATAGAGAACGCTAGACAAGAAATTATCTTCTCATTACTTGTTTGTGTCTTCTTTTTATTTATTTTTAAAGACTCTCTCTCATTTTTCATCTCTTTACGAGAATAAAAAGTATGCTTTAAGATGAAAATGACTCATAACTGATTACTGAAATAGTAGGAAAAAAGAATTGTTAATAATCTGCGAGCAAATGACTTTTACGCACGAGAGGTTGTGGAATTTGACTTAATTACAATTTTTCATGTTTACTTCTTGTTACTGCATGTATAAATTCATTTTGCTAATTTTCTCGCGGTATTTTCTGTCTATAAACACAATTAAGTTAATTTTTTAAGGTTTCCGGCGGACAAGCATCTGCTCGCATACATCACAAACGTGCTATTCCGTGCTATCAATAAAGATGAAAAAATTGAGGGCAAAACAACATGTTTATTGGTTAAAAATCTAAGATCAATTTCAAACACATTCATTAGCAGAAGCTTTTGTTGATGAACTGGGTACTATTGCATCTTTAGAAACTTAATAAGTTCATTGCGGATTATTAAAATACTTTGATGATCTTATATAAAACAATGTGTTGTTTATTGTCCGAAAGACTGAATATATTTAAACGAGGCATTTCTGATTATACTTGTGATCGGAATTAAAAGTTTGACAAAAATAAGATTTGCTGCAGCTTTAAATTCAACAAATTAAATTAATAACAATTTTGGAGAACAAAAACAGTTTTTAAATTTGTTTGGAAAGGTTTGAAAGATTGAAACTTGTGAAGAAAATTAAAACTTGATTCGTAACTCAATCCGAAGACCATTAGCATTAAATGTTGACCCGTTTTTTAACATATTGATTAGTCAAGCAACTAAAAACAATTTGGCAAAATCCCTGTTTAAAATTTATTATTAGCCGCGTTTGTGGTTGCAAACCATAAATGTCCAACAAAATTCTCTCCATTGCCAATTTGTCACAATAGTATATCCACACAAAAAAAAATCCTTCCATCTCGAGACTTATTTCCATTTCGTTCTTCCGTGATTTTTCTTAATTCCTTTTATTTTTCATTCTGCATATCCTCTTCATAAATATTATGATTTATGTTCTATGGCCAAATGATTTGCATGAAACTGCAAATTTCAAAGTTCTCTTGTTTCATTTTCTATTTTCGTACTTGTTGTTGGTGATCAATCATCAAAGAAACGATTGTCGATAAAAATTGAAAGTCTCTCAATATGTTTTTTTCAAGAACCAGCAACCAAAAAATTGCCCATTGATGATGACAAGGACTAATCTTTTAATCCGTCAAATCTGTATTTATTTTTTCTGGTGAAAAGAAATTTTCTGCAAGGAAAATATTGTGAAAAAAAGAGAACATACGTAAAAAATTGAGTCGTTGCCAAGAGCCACATAAAAACAATTTCAATAATTTTTTGACTGACTAAAAAATGTTATCCATCAATAAATATTTGTTTCTTCTTTCTTTTTATGTGCGAGATTTCGAGTATCGTTTTCGATTTTGAGCACTTGTAGATTTATAGTTCAATTCGTTAAGTTTAAAAATGTGAGAATGATGTCGTATAAAATGGAATTCGTTAATGATTGCTAAAAACTGTGAAACAGTTGTGACTTAATGCTTATTTTTAAACCAAATTGTAAGACTAAGTTGTGGTGCCTGGATGTCTATGACTAGCACTTACTTCATCTAAGCCTAGATCAGTTGATGAATAAGCCTAGAACAGTTGAAATTTAATAGCTTAATATCAGAGTTTATTAAACCGTTTTATCTTCTATTTATTACTTCGTGACACAGTAGCTGCAACAATTGACATACTCAAGATTTTCTCACAAACAATATGTAGAATGGAATTTATGTACAAAGACGTTTAATCAAGACGTTTGTTCGATTCCTACCAAATTCAGACTTTGGTTCAAAAAGTCATTGTTGTTTGAAGCATTCTTGAACTTAAATCAAATTTGAAAAGAGTCGTAGACAGCTCTATAATGTCTGGTCCCCAACAAATCCTATAGAGTATCTTACATTTGACAGATTTGATTTTTTCTTTATAAATCAACGTGAATCCAATGTTGACGCAAATTTATGACTATAAATAGCAAATATAATTCAACAAAAAAATCCAGAATTAGCAATGTTGTTTGACTTTATATATAAATAGCCCATCCACAACAAGACAGTATGTAAAACGATATAATCAAATTGGCAATAAATATTGTAGTATTGAAGACCCCCCCCCCAACCACTTACCCCCCTCCTCCAAACGAATTTGTTCACTTGATCACATTTATATCGAAAAATAAATCTTCTTATACACGAAATTTTTCTTAATCGCCCACACAAATCGCATGACATTTTCATTTTCTTTACTACAAGTTCTATATTTATATATTCTTTGAGTTATAGGAAATAAAGCAGTTGGTTAATTTGTTATCAAAAAAAAAGAGAAAATAAATTAGCAATAAATAAAAAGGAAAAAGTTCAATAAACCTGAGTCATCTAGTGCATTGGCTCCACCACGTGCATTGAAGAACAGGTGTGTTCTATATTGAGTATTAAATGAGTCGTCAGTTTGCGAACAACTTAGACTCATATCCCTTGATCGTTTACCGCCCCGATTAATCTTAGTCATTTTTGACGATTTAACCGTTCCAGAACTAGTTCCGCCTTCACGGAAGTTTTTTCGAAACATTAAATTCATCGTGAAAAGTCTTTATATTCTTCACTTTCGCTCTTCCTACTTCCACTTGAAATAATTTTTTTATTTTTAAATTTTCTTTTCTTTTCTATCCTTCAAAAAAATATAATTTTGTTTTTAAAATCTTTCCCAAGATGTTTGCGAATCGAAAGACCACTCAAAACTAACTCAATCGCCTTTAGCTTAAACATCTTCTTCCGAGAGATCTCTTCTCTTTCCTCAATTATTTTTCAGCATCCTCTCAATTTCAACATTCTACTAATGAGAAAATCTTTGATATTTTGAAAAAAAGTTTACATGACATCCATTCACACTTTGTAATTATTTGCATGCTTTTGTCCTCTTTAATCATTGTTTCTCTCTGATTCCTTTATATATTTTTTTTTTCTTTTGAGGATTACGCGAACAAAAGCTTCATGTCCATAAAATGCACGTTATACATGTCGATTATTGCAATTGATGGAGTAAATGAATAGTTGGAGCACTTAATTCGGTGCTTTAGTGAATGGAGATGCTTGTCGTTACGCTTCTACTACGTTGCTAGTGTTTGATATTTTAATTTAAACTACAGAACATATATCTACAGAACTATACATATTTGGATTTTGACGACTGGTTGAGTCAATTGATCGATATAGGGTTCTTATAGAGATACAGGGATTCTTCGATTTGCAAAACTGTTTGTGACCAGAACAACGTATTAAAAATCAAAATTTTAATGAAGGTAATCAATATATAATTAATCAAAAGCATGAATTTACAGTCACTACAAAAAAACATTCAATTTTTATCGTTTAAGCCCGCATGACATTAGAAAAAGCTACATACTTCGTGAAAATGATGATGTAAAAAGCGTTTTTGTTTATTTTTGTGTCCCACTTTTAAGTACTATAAAAAAATGAGTCCCAATACCAACGACAATTAACGTCATGATCGCTACATAGAAAACAATAAACAGGTGGCAGATTTTTTTTATAGGCAGAATTATAGAGCAATTAAAGAGGCGAGAAAAGTACACAAAATTTATAAATAGAAGAGTTTTAAGAAGCATGTCGACTAATTAGTGTGTATGTTCTTGGTAATAAATTATCAGAAATGACGACATTTATTTGACGCTGCTTCATTGACTGCAAATTAAATGTGAAAATTTATAACACGGTGATTAACTCTTTTGGTTTTGTAGTTTATTTCAATTCTTGAGTATATGAGCTGCTGATTGACGATTTATTGGATTTTTACCGAAAATCTGAAGATTAATTCCTTTATAAATAAGTATTTTGCGCTTTAAAATATCTTGAAGGTAATTTTTGGAGTCAATCTTTATTGAATTGTGTGCTGCGTTGTAAGATATAGATGTTTCAAGAGCTAGTTGTTGGACTGGCATAACTGATTAGATTTTATTAAGGATGTCAAAAACTGTCCCCACGACCTAATCCCATCACCTAAACAACCTCTTGCTTTGCACTTATCATGCAATAGTGTAATAAACAACCATGTTGGCTTTAAGTGGCAGCAATTAACTAAAGGAGAATTTCCTGTAGCGGAAACTAATAATAGAGTACTAATTAAGAAATTTCCTGCCAACTAAGGCTTTCAATGTCGCCAAATGACTACCCGCAATTGTGTAAACTTACTGTAGACATTTCCACAGTTAATCGAGAAAGTTACTTTTTGATTTCATTTTCATTTATAATTTATGACTCCCCTAATATTAAGCTCTATGTTGTCTCGTAAGCAAGGCCAACAAAAGAAGAGAAAAGGAAAATCAATTCGCAGAAATGAATGACTTTTTAATTTGCTTCCATATGCTGACTGCCAAAAAGCAACAGTAAAAAGGGGCTGGATCTGCTGGATGTAGTAATATCAATTTGTATAACTGCTCGCCTTTCTCTAGAGTGTTTTTTTTTTATGTGATACAGACAATATGGCAATACATAATATTTTAAAATGTACTGGTATGGAAAGCGTCAAATAAATTTTTTATTTAAAACTTTTTACAGCACATTTTTCATTTCCATTTGTAATTAACTTTTTTATTCGAGGGTCGTGAATATTACAGAAGAGATGTGACTGAAATTTTAGCTGATAGCTGTCTGAAGCTTCATTGTAATTGAAACTAAAGTTTTTTTTTGTTTTTGTATCAATTCCTGGTTTGTCTGAAAGCTTTTTTATAATTACTAACCTACTCGTCAAGCTTTACTTTGCTAAAAAATTTTAAACAAGTCAAACTTTTCAAAATTTGAGTGAAACCAGATACTTGTCTAGATTCTTTCTTCTATAATAGATAATTTAACAACTTTTTGCTAATTTAAGCATTTTTTAAAACATTTTGTAAATTAAAAGTGAATGATCTAATACTAAATACCCATCATCCACAATGATTCAGATTCGGAAAAAATGTTCAAAAATTCCTTGTGCACAATATTTTTCCGACACATTAGAAAATTGAAATTTTTTGTTAATTTCTTTTGATTTGATTCTTCTAGGGGCCGTTCACTTATTACGTTATGCAAAAAAACGAACTTTTTTCACCCCACTCCCCCTTGTTACAATATGTTACAACTCACAACCCCCCCCCCTGAACGTTCATAATTTAAAAAAATGTTTTTGGTATGAATTTAGAATTACCGTTTTTATTAATTTACGTTATTTAGAACGTTACATATTTCTTGACACCCCCCCCCCCCCTAAGTTACATTTTGTTACAATTTTTCAACCCCCCCCCCCCCCCCCCTAAAATGCGAACGTAATAAGTGAACGGCCCCTTAGCATTTTCTACATAATGTTTTCGTTCATTGCTCAAAAATCAGTCCTTAATATAAAGGATAAATAAACATGATTTTTTACCAAAAGTTGTAAAAGTTTATCAAATAATATTGTGCATGATCAAATTTTGTATGAAAATTTATGTAAACTTTATTCGCAAATATCTCGAAAACGGCATCAAACGGCATCTCCTCAGTAATATAGGAGATGGATTTAAGCCTAATTATTTAATTTATAAATGTTTCAGAGAGGTTTTTGGAAGACTTTTTAACTTATGAAACGTTTAAGTTTTGTAAAAATACTCAGATTTCAATTGCATTTATAAGACTTAATGAGCAGTTTTCTTTTGATTTGGTAGTTTTAATATGCAAATCTAAGCTTAACTTAGCTAACAACAGCTAGCAAGATAAGGAAATAACAACTTAAAGTAGAGAAAATCAAACAATTTTTTCATATACAAAATGTAAACAAATTTTTGTTGAAAATAAATTAAAGATTTCTGGAGTTAAACATCCAAATGAAACGAGATATTTTCACTGAATATGCCCTAAGTTAAGATATTTAATCTGGCATTTAAAAAATTAAGTTTAATAAATATGTTATTTTTGAATTTTTGAACATTTTTTCTGAATCTGAATCATTGTGTCATCTTTATCAAAACAGCTCTTAATGTTCAAGAATCTAAAACTTGTGCTACTTATAAACATAGCTTTGCATTTTGAAAAGACAAACAATCAAAATATTTGCAAAAGCATTTATTATGTAAAAGATCCATTTAAATTTAAATGTCGAGCTGAGTATTCATTATGAAAGATGCTGGGTTATAAGTCCAGAGATTATAAGTCCAGATACAAAAATCGTGCACAGAAAATTATAAGTCCAGAAAATAAAAGTGACTAAAGGTTTATAAGTCCAGATACAAATTGCACTTGGACTTAAAAACCTCACTTGCAGTTTATAAGTCCAGATACAAATACAGCTGGAATTATAAACTGCACGAGAGGTTTTTAAGTCCAGGTACATTTTATATCTGGACTTATAAACCTTACGTGTGGTTTATAATTCCAGAAAATTTATAAATTTTACTAATAATCTCACAGTGCGATTATAAGTCTAGATACATTTTTCTGGACTTATAATCTTTGAAAATTATTTAAAACTTATTTAACTTATTTTAAATTTTTTTCTTTAAGGCAATTCTACACATGAATTTTTGAAAACTTCACACAAAAAATTCACATTTAATAATTTTTTTCCTCTAAAGTACCTTATATATCCTTTTAAACTGCTGTGTTTTATTATACCCCTTGATAATAACTTATTAAGATTTTTCATGCCTTAATCAAGGATAAATTTCAATTCTTTGGAATTAAAAATTAAAAGTCAACTAGTGTATCGGGTAGAAACCCAATGCGGATTATATTCACACCGTACCATCAAAAGTCTTATGGATAGTCCAAGATTTGCTCAACTGAGCTTCGCTAAGCATATGTTTGAAGGTTTAAAGCTTAACGAATATTCTTTTAAAGTTTTTTTTAAAAAATTTTTCATCCAAAGTTTAATTTTATAAAAATCACAGTAAACTTTTTTATTTGAAAAATTCGTAAGAAAGGAAAGTTTTTTGCTTTTTCTGAAGCAACGGCTGTTCCTACCTTGCTTAAAAACAAAACAGCTCTTCTATAGAGCAGCACGGATCAAATGTAAAAAACTAGAAGTCTTTACAATGTCTCGTTATTGAGATATCTTGCTGATTAACTTGCATGCTTGTTTACTTGTTTGCTTGCTTACAGAAAGCGTATTTTGCGATTTTCTCAGCAATGCCGCAACCAATTTGAAATCCGTTTCTTAAAAATTATGTAAAATTTCAGGCACAAACTTTTCAACTCTGAACATTTTAAGCTATCTTGTTCCATTTCCTCACAAAATTTAAAAAACTGATTTTTCAATCTGAACAAAACCAATAGATTCACACGTAAAAACGGTGTGAACATACTTACATTTTTAACGAATCAAATTCTCAAATTATATGGATCAAAAAATTCACAAAAAATAAAGAAAAGTAAAAATGAGATGTTCATTACGAGTATACAGAAATGTAAGATTCGTCCTGCTCCTGATCTTTCTTATTACTTTCACATATAAAGTAAAAAAGGAGCGTTGATCGAAACCCAACTGGTGCTAGAGTAAAATTGAGAATGTATGAAATCGAAAAAACTTCAGTCATCTTCGATTTTCTGATTGATTTCTTTTAAATCGCTAATTCAAAATGCTTCTAAAAGTGCTATAAACATAAGCTGCTACATTTAAGATTCAGTAAATATTTAGTGATAAAGATTTTTTATGATGTTCAACTTTAAGGCACTAGGTTCAATAACAGAGACTTAATAAAGAAAAAAAAATTGAATAAGTTTCAAATAATTTTCAAAGATTATAAGTCCAGAAAAATGTATCTGGACTTATAATCGCACTGTGAGATTATAAGTAAAATTTATAAATTTTCTGGAATTATAAACCACACGTAAGGTTTATAAGTCCAGATATAAAATGTACCTGGACTTAAAAACCTCTCGTGCAGTTTATAATTCCAGCTGTATTTGTATCTGGACTTATAAACTGCACGTGAGGTTTTTAAGTCCAAGTGCAATTTGTATCTGGACTTATAAACCTTTAGTCACTTTGATTTTCTGGACTTATAATCTCTGGACTTATAGTTTCTGGACTTATAACCCAGCATCATTATGAAATACACGAATTGTGACTAGGTACATTGAAGAGTACATCAGATCTTATGACGTACTCGTGTCTTTGCAATGTGCAGAGCTTGCAAGTGGTTCGGATCCCACTATAAAACTGTAGGTCTAAAAGGTGCGGTACAATAGATTCTGTTCTAATTTGAATCGCAGTGGCTCTAGCTGAAAGGCTGGGCCCTTCACACATTATTATTATTATTATATTATTCATTATGACTGCTGGTGAAATATGCACAGTAACATGACAATGAAAAGCTTCTTTAACATAAATTTAAAAATTTGAAATGAATATTAAAGAAATGAAATTTTTTTAATAAAATAAAATATGGAAGTGGAGCAAAAAGAGAGATGAACAATGTATTTATTTGACCAGCAAGGAACTGAGAAGAGAATGCTCTTCGTAAAATGAACTTTTCCCTATAAATTAAGTAGAAATCGTTCTGGTTTGAAAATGACTTCTCTCCTTAATTTTCATAATCCTTCGTGTCACGTTTTACGTGAGTTCCTCAAAAAAGTTTCGACAACAAGCAAGATACTTTGTAATTCCGATAAAGCCAAAGAAGTTTTCCATGTACGATGAAAATAAAGGAAGTATTTCCATGAATATTTAACGTAAATAACTTACAAATTTCTTTAAGTTGTAATTCAATTTGTCACGATGCATGGCTTTCTCTTAAATATATCCTTTTTGGTGATTTTTTTACCAATGTCAAGTCAAACAGAAAAGCTTAAATAGTAAACAAAAATTTTAATTTAGGTCTTACAGTGAAAGCGCTTTAAGCCATTCATCGACAGTGACTTTCTGCTGTGCATTTGTTTGCTGTGCAAAATGTGATGAATTGCTCATTTATTCATAGTCTGATTAACAACAGTCTATGGCACAAAAAGCAACCCATTATACAGTCAAAATGAATGGTTGATATTCTCCTTTGTGGACTGAATATCCAAAAATACACTCGAAAAATGAGAAGTGAAAAAATATGCAGCACTTTAATGCTTTTGAACTTTTGCAAATAATAATCGGTTCCAAAAAGAGGGCTATGCTATTTGTAATACATTTTCTATACTTTATTAGCTATAGATATGGATATGCACTAAATTATTCTTTGCTGTCAGGAACGAATAGGAACCATTTATAAATTCAATTCGTTATTTCTATGGTTTTAATGGCAATCATGAAAGCGATACATTATCCTTGTCATTTTGACTAGTCATAGTCTTCCTGTACGGTGAATGATTCAATTAAGATATCGCAAAAGGGTGTTCATTTTTTTAGTTTTTTTTTGTGAATCAGGTCGAGGAAAATTGAAAAATTAAATTTTCATGATGTATAATGCTATTGAGTGAGGATTAGAGACCTGATTGCAATTTTTTGTTAATCGTTTGAAAGGAAGTGATGGATACTTAAAAATGGAATTTTAAGCACACCCCCCTTTGTTTTAAAGAAAGTCTTAATGTGGTGGCTAATAGCTATGGACCCCCCACCCCACTTCCCACTGAACAATCGTCAAAAAATCATTTTATAAAAGATGTCATTAAATTCTTACTAGACACAATGATTCAGATTTGGAAAAAAATGTTCAAAAATTCCTTGTGCACAATATTTTTCCGACACATTAGAAAATTGAAAGTTTTTGATAATTTCTCTTCATTTGATTCTTTTAGCATCTTCTACATAATGTTTTCGTTCATTGCTCAAAAATCAGTCCTTAATATAAAGGATAAATAAACATGATTTTTTACCAAAAGTTGTAAAAGTTTATCAAAAAATATTGTGCATGATCAAATTTTGTATGAAAATTTATGTAAACTTTGTTCGCAAATATCTCGAAAATGGCATCAAACGGCATTTCCTCAGTAATATAGGAGATGGATTTAAGCCTAATTATTTAATTTATAAATGTTTCAGAGAGGTTTTTGGAAGACTTTTTAACTTATGAAACGTTTAAGTTTTGTAAAAATACTCAGATTTCAATTGCATTTATAAGACTTAATGAGCAGTTTTCTTTTGATTTGGTAGTTTTAATATGCAAATCTAAGCTTAACTTAGCTAACAACAGCTAGCAAGATAAGGAAATAACAACTTAAAGTAGAGAAAATCAAACAATTTTTTCATATACAAAATGTAAACAAATTTTTGTTGAAAATAAATTAAAGATTTCTGGAGTTAAACATCCAAATGAAACGAGATATTTTCACTGAATATGCCCTAAGTTAAGATCTTTAATCTGGCATTTAAAAGATGAAGTTTAATTAATATGTTATTTTTGAATTTTTGAACATTTTTTCTGAATCTGAATCATTGTGCCAGAGATGAATCAAAGGGAACAGTGGTTTACTTTTGAGTTTTAAGACGCTACCTCAACCCCAAAAGCCTCTTTTCCACTCTGTAATATAGTTATTGCTATATTTTAGGATCCAAGTAAGTTTAGTTCCAAAAAAATGATAACTTTATGCATGCTTCATACCAAGATCATTTCCTTTACTTCAAAGCGTGTCAAAATCACAATATCAACTGTCATATCATGTCGAGAGTTTAATGTATAAGAAAAAAGCAATTGAGTCCTTTTATGACGTGCCATAAAAACTATATAGCAAGAAAGTTTAACATCCATTGTTCTAATTTCTTTTTCTGTTCAGATTTTTCAGAAGAAGAAAAATTTTTTTGTGAAAGCACAACATGCAACAGCATATCCGAGATGTAAAATTTTATTTGCTGCATTATCATTTCCTTGAGATTTAATATTAAATATTTAAGGCGGTCTTGAAAAATCCTCATTGTAAATTTATTCTTGTGATTTATGTTAACAAATTATTAACACTTGTCAAGACAATCAGACATGAAATTCACTAACCAGCAGTTTAATATCTGAGCGAGCATATACTCTGTCAAAAAAATAACATTTTCATATTCATTGAGAGTATATCATGTGCACATAAACACGATGTGCTGAGGGAAATCGATTTATGGTTTCAACGAGAGCTCCTGACCTTCCAAAAATTATGTCTAAATTGTTTTCCTTTCTTAAAGCACAAACGACGAGGAGAATTATCCGCAACATTATCGGATTTCTGTCGATTCTTCGTGCTTCCTTGCTCTAAACATATTCTCGAGGGACACTTTCAAGCCATTCAAATATGTATTTAATCATTTTTTGTGGATAAAGGATTGAATTTTCCACTTAATGTATCAAGGGTGCTGTAAATTGAACAGATGAATTGCTTGTGGGTCAAAACTGAGTAAATGTTAGATTCTGACGTCAATTAGGTAGTACAGGGTTTAACAACTGTGCCAGCATGTGACTGACAACTTCTGTTCCTTGACATTTCAATCTCTTTTGCCAACGACATCATCAAACAGTGAATACTACTTACCATTCGGAAGTGCAGGAATCCCCAAATAATCAGGATCGATTTTCGGACAAGGTGAATAACTGTATGCTAGCTTGCTGTTTTTATTTACAGGAGAAATTTTATTTCCTCGACCATTAACTTTATCGCTCATTTTTTTTAATTTCTACCTAGCTCTTAATCATAATTTTTAATAATTAAAAATATTAAGCTGTTCATTTACAGGAGGAACCAAAAAAAAAAACAAGAAAGTCAATTCACAGTTTTCTTTCTATTGATTATTTATACGAGAAAAATACATCTCAAAGACTGAAATTTTCACAGTGCATCAAGGTAGGTAGGATTAATTGTGATGAAAAATGAATACTTTCTACACGAGCTCTATTGGATATACTTTTTAAAACACTTAAAATCTTATCGGGAAAATCGAAATAAAAAGAAGAGAAAGTTTATAAGCTTATTTTTCACTTTTCATAAATTCTTACGATTCCTTTCGTGTATAAAAAAAATTATTGGTACGGTGGAAATGACACGAGAAAGGCAGAATAGTAACTGAAATGGCACACACCGGAATGAATTGCCGAAAAATAAGAATTCAAATTGAATCAACATTGTTCGTTCGTTGTTGCAGATCTCGTTGAATCATGCGCATTTTGAGTTCGAGTATAATCAGCTGTTGATCGTAAACTCACATACATGTGAGCTGGTTGTTTTGGCTTTCTTTCGAAATAGACATCCACTGGATCATTAGTAATAATTTTAGAATTGTTGTAATTTATTAACTTACATCAATCGGTTACTTTGTGTAAATACATTTTATTGCTAAAACATTAATTCCTATTCTATACTGCCTAATATCCTTTCCTTCCTCTAAATCTTGTACGGTTGTCTAAAATGGATCTTTTGCATTCAAAAAATGTGTTTCTAAGTACGAAGCATTCATCTGGAACTGATCCATCAGTTGCTTGCAGACATTCTCGTGGGGTCTTCTTGTTCTATGTCAAAAATATAGCATATTGAGTATATTTAACAAACATCGAGAAAATTTCATAAAAACTTACAATTTTACAGCAATCGCTTTGTAACAAGCACATCTTAAGATCTGCTCTGACTCCTGCGCACGGACTTTTATCCGATAACTGTTCATTATCAAATTTCATCATTTTTAAGCCTTAATATTTTTAATTTTACACCTCTGTCCTAAAGTTGAAATTCAACAATCAAAACAAACCGAGATGATTGAAACAAGATTTTTGAAAAAAAACGGATAATTAAAATTTAAATTATTGACATTTCGACTGACAAAAAACAATTCGCATGTTTTCTAAAAGTGATTTTGCAAAAAGAAAAAAAAACAAAAACATAAAATACAAAAATTTAATTAAACTAAAGTTTTGAACATGCCGCATTCTCATCAACATGGATCCTGTGAACATGAAGCACTGGAAATTGATGTAGATCCATTAGAAATGGGAATACAATACTCATTATACGAGAAAATTGACTTTAACAATTTGGTAAGTAATCAAAATATTTTTTAAATTCGTTTTAATTAACTTATTATGATTCACAGGAAGTGCTGAATTCTGATGATCCAGGAAGGAATGTATTCAAGCCGTTTGAACAAAGACTAGATTTCGACAAATACGTACAATCTGATGCAGATCAAGAAATTTTATTCAGCATCCCATTTACAGGAAATATTAAGCTTAAAGCACTAAGAATCATTGGACCTGACGATTTCTCACATCCAAAGAAAGTAAAGCTTTTTAAGAACAGACCGAAAATGACATTTGATGATGTAAATATTAAGGCTGATGAAGAGTTTGCGCTTGAAAGAGATTTGACTGGATCTATCGAATATTCAACAAAAGTTGTGACATTTAATTCTGTTCATCATTTGACCCTCTATTTCCCAGAAAATTTTGGCGAGGAACAAACAAGAATTTATTATATTGGATTACGAGGAGAATTTAGTGAAGCACATCATCATGGAGTCACAATTTGCACATATGAAACCACCCCAAATGTCTCTGATCATAAGAATTCATTATTTGATTCTGTTAATCATCAGATCCATTAATTTTACTGGACTGTGAGTGTTCATGCTCATTCTGTATCTTCAATTAAACGGAAATAAAAAATTTGAAGTTGTTTGTAAACAGAAACATTTGATTCAGTGGTTCTCAAACTTTTTAGACTTTCGGTACAAAAATTGCGCAAAAGTGCATCACAACATATAGTTTGAGAATCACTGATTAAGGTTATAGGCGGCAACAAAAGCACGAGACAGTTCGGTCCGCAAAATAATTAAATAAAATGCCTCCAAAAAGCATTAAGAAGGAAGAAAAGCCATTGTGGACTAAATGTAATACATGTAAATACTTAATTCCACATTACAAGATAGAATCTCATGCAGAATGTAAAGCAGATGGGATATTATTTGGCATGAAAAGTAACTCACTTTTTACGGATAAAATTTACACAAATGTGCCAAAAGAAATTGAAGACCTCCAGTCAACTTACGCTGAAAGATTCATCTTAGTTCCTCATACAATAGCTTCAGTATGCTTCTTTACGATGAGTAATAATTTGCTCATTGAATTTGATGGAAAGTCATACGCCAGAAACGCCTGGATTATAAACAATGATGAGCATGTTGATCGCGTGTATTCAACATCTAAAGGTATGATATAAACTTAATCAATTTAATAATCCATATCTTACTAATATTGCTTGAATTCACAGAGTTTCAAAGACAGCGAGAAAGCGACAAACCAATAGTCATAAAATCATTTACAGGAACTGTTAAAATCGCACAAAAAGTAATCTTCAAATGTGATCAAAAGATCCAAAATACTATGGAACTTTATAGACTTCTTCGTGCAAAAATCAGGAACACAACTATCCATCATTCGAATATCATTGTTATTGAGTTCTTAAATAAGGAGTTTGTGTTCACAATACAATCAATTGATGAACGACGTGAAAGGGAAATAGAGCAACTTATGGATGAACTGAATATTGAAAATGAAGTGTTTTATTTTGTTGAACCAAAAACAATCGTTAAATTAGCTCAAGAAGAAGATGGTCCTCGTAAAGTTCTCAAAATGGAAGAATTAACAGACATAGGTGGACTGGATGAAATCTACGATGATGTGTACAAAACTATGGGTTATGCATTTAATCAATTAGATGAAACGACATCGACAAAAGCCTTTAGAGGAGTATTATTACATGGATTGTCTGGAGTTGGCAAAACAATACTCACAGATTCTCTTGTCAAAGGTTATCTGGGCTGTAAACCAATTCGAATTGATTCCTGGAAGATTTTTAGCAAGTTTTATGGCGAGTCTGAAGATAATTTGAGGAAGCTTTTTGATGAAGCATTTAAAATTTATCCATGTTCTTGCGTGATTATTATCGATGAAATATCCAATATATGTCCGAAAAATGATAGCTCCGATGTCGTGCGACGAGTTTCGTCCTTGCTGATATCACTAATCGAAAAAGTTCATCAAACGGTTCAAGGAAGTAAAACTTTCATTATTGCAACCACAAATAATCTTGATAATGTAGATCCAGCACTAAGGAGAAGTGGTCGATTAGACTATGAAGTTGAAATTCCAGTTCCAAATACAAAAATGCGAAAAGCAATTTTGGAAAAGAAACTTGTAAGATTCGCATTTGATGAACATCTTATCGATAATTTGGCAAAACTTACTCATGGCTATGTTGGTGCTGACTTGGTCAAATTAATTGAGAAGTCAAAAAAAATAGAATCTGAGCAATTATTATTGTCATTTAATGATATTTTAGCGAATCTATCATCAGTCAAGCCAAGTGCTATGCGTGAATTGATGATTGAAAAGCCAAATGTTAAATGGTCAGATATTGGTGGCATGCAAGACTTGAAATTGAAACTTAAACAAGTTATTGAATGGCCTTTAGAACATCCAGATACATTTAGAAGACTTGGAATCAAACCACCGTCAGGATTGTTGATGTTTGGTGCTCCAGGCTGTTCAAAAACGATGATCGCAAAGGCATTAGCAAATGAAAGCAACTTAAACTTTATATCCATTAAAGGATCTGATTTGTTCTCAATGTGGGTTGGTGAATCTGAAAAAGCAGTTAGAGATGTCTTCGTTAAAGCTAGACAACTAGCACCGTGCATTATATTTTTTGATGAAATCGATGCAATTGGTGGAGCAAGAGAAAGTGGAAGTAATGTTAAGGAGCGCGTTTTAGCACAAATTTTAACAGAAATGGATGGAGTTCATGCACTTAAAAATGTCATAATTATAGCAGCAACAAATCGCCCCGATTTAATTGATACAGCATTAATGCGTCCAGGTCGATTGGATAGAATTGTATACGTCAAATTACCAGATCATGATACAAGACGTGAAATATTCAGAGTAAAGCTTCAAAATGTTCCAGTCTCTGATGATGTTGATGTAGAAGCTCTTGTAGGCAGGACTGAAGGATATTCTGGTGCAGAAATCGAAGCTATTTGTAAGGAAGCAGCATTAAAGGCTTTAGAAGATTCGTTTGATATACAAGCAATAGAAATGAAGTATTTTTGGCATGCCTTAGAAGTTGTTAAGCCACGTACTAGTCCGGAATTGTTAGAAATTTATAACCAATACGAAAATAGGAAATAAATGATAGATTTTATATGTCAATCAATTTAAAGAGGAAATGCAAACAATTGTTTCTTTGATGTTGGCTTTCAGGATTCTTAATTCAGGTTCGTACCAAAAATCAACTTTAATCCATAAACTTATAAATCTACAAATTTCAAGAGAACTTTTTACTTAAATTAAATTATCAAAAATGATCGCATGCTTCAAGTGTCCTTGGACAGTACTTTTTTGCAAGATGGATGTAAGCAACATTGGCTTCTTTTGATAATGGTATCCTTGCACTATCCTTATTCCATACATGAGTCATTAAAGCGTCTGATATACGTCCGAGCGTCTCATTCAAATATTCAGGCTTGAAGAATTTATGGAGCTCTGACCAGCCAATGTCGTAACAATCTTCAATTGGTAATACTCGAAAATTTGTACATATATCTTTATCAATCATTTGCTGAATGTCTTTCGTTCTACAAATTTCATACAGGACCCTAGTGAGCACATAAGGTCCATTATTAGACCAATTTTTACCATTAAAATTCTTTTTTAAGTCATTAAGGCACATTTCAGCTATTTCATGACCTGTTTTGCCTTCCATGTGAATTATTCCGACAGCTACCGCAATATGAGATTCAGCAGCTGCAAAGTTGTGAGGTTTTTGGTTGTTTAGTGATTTAAGCATGACAATATCTGTAATGGAATTAAAATGAAGTTATTGATGATCAAAATTATGTTAGTAACGTACCTAAATCCAAATATGTACCTCCGAATTTAAATAATGAAAGAAATCTAAGTACGTCTGAAGTATGGGATATTAAATATTGAGATTCGAAAAGCTTATTAGTCAGTATCCAATCTTCTAAAGGCGTATTCTCTGCATACTTTGTTATATTTAAATAATTTAAGTGCACATTTGGATATGACAGCAGTGCATCAATAATTGGCAAGCTTGACAAGTTTCTAAATCCAACTTGTGAGGTAAACATTACAAAAATGTTATGATCCGGATTCATTAGTGCTAAATAAGATTAATTGAAACATTTCAGTTACTGGATCTTTGAAATGAAGTTACTAACCTGCTGATTCTATTGCACACGCCTGTCTTGCATTAAGTCTTAACATTCCGTCTTTTATACAACTCGTCTCGTGAAAGAACACATTGTTTGGTTGACTAGAGTTCCTTAATAATAAATTGTCACTAATTTCATTTAATGTTTTTCCATCCTTCCAATATTCGTCAAGATAGCAATTAGGACCAGATTCATTTGAGATATTCAGTAGGTAAATAGAGAACAAAAACAGTATAACAACACATAATAATCCAAGCACATGCAATCCAGTCCAAATTGAATCACTGGAATAATTCAATATTCTGTATTTTGTACTGAAATATTTTTTTAAAGCCCTAATTTTCAATCTCGTATATTTCATTTTCATCATCGATAATACTGTGGAAACTATTTATATATATATCGCGTCTTAAATTAAACTCAATGAATGAAATGACTGAAGGTCTGATGAATATTTTAAGATTGGATCTTTTCAAGATCACGTAGCTCACCAATCCAATTACAATTAAGCTAAATTCAGCTGTACAAAATGTAAACAAATGCAGAAAAGTTCTATTTATTTAACTTTAATGTCTGACAATGGTTAATAATTGACTTTTATGCTAATAGAATGTAGATTACAGGCTTATATCAGGCCAAACTGATAAGGAAACATGATAATTTTTTGGAAAAATCAATTAAATTTACATTTTCAAGCTGATGTTCTTTTTTGTAATAGTGTTAGTGAACTTTTTAAAACAAATAACGTTTTTTTTATATTATTGTCACGTGGTGAACTGATTAAAATCAATTTTGGACTGCCTTTATCAAAATAAGTATTAAAACAGAATTAATTCGATTTAAATAAACTTTAACTTTATTAAATGAATTAAATAATGTCAGTAAGTGTCTGTATAAAAAGTAGTGAGCTTTCAACCGAAAACTTGATTCCAAAAATATAAGATTGTAATGTGTTGAGATACTTTAGATGAGATACCTGGTTGGACATATAAAAATGAGTCTTATAAATACATGAAATAATTACTGAGCTATTGATTTGATCGAGTTAGAAATTCCGGAATTTACAATATTTGAGATTAACGCTCGAATAATTCAGATTGTAGAGACTTTAATTTTTGATGTTTGTAAGATAATATTAGTGAAAATTTCAAATAATTTTTTTCCGTTGAGCAAAATAACTTAAAAATATGACTATGCCCAATTAATGATAAATATAATAACTGATTGTTCTGGCTTAAGATTTGATTTAAGTGATGACTGTAAATTTAAATCTATGAGATTTGGAAACTATTTTGTCTTTGTAGAATTTAAACTAAGATAATATCAGATAATATCCAAACCATCTTGATTCTTAAAATATAAATCAATTCCTTTAGATTTGTAACTTAAAAATATTCGCTGATATTGAGTGTTTTAGGACAGTATTTTTTGGCTAAGTGTATATACGCAACATTTGATTCCTTTGTCAATGAAATAGCTGCACTATGTTTATTCCAAACATGCGCGAGTAGTGAGTCTGACAAGCGACTCATTGTCTCATTCAAATATTCTTCCTTGAAGAACTTTATATGTTCAGGCCATCGAATTGAATAGCAAGCCTCAATCGGCAGCACGCGAAAATTTTTACAAACATTTCCAACAATCATCCTCATTACATCCTTAGTATTACAAATTTTATGTAAAGTCCTCGTAAGCACTCCAGGTCCATTGTTTCCTATATTGGATATACATAGAAAGAAATAAATTAAATATTAAAAACACGTTTCTGGTAAGTCTTAGGCAACGAAAAAAAGAGGAAAAAATTGGTAAGAAGGTCAGAGACTACTTCTTTTACTTGGTGGTAATGGTAATTGCTTCATTTTTATGATCTGGATGGTTGCGTAAAACATGTGAGTAGAGAGAAGTTTCACTAACATAATATCGATTGCACAGTGAACAATAATGACTTTTAGTGGGCCTTACAGTCATTTGACCATGAACTTTTTCCTTGTGCCAAACGAGGTAGCTTTTGACCCAAGGACTATGAGAAGCATACTGTCAGTTACACTATAAATATTTTGAATTTTTTCCGCATTTTTTTCGATAATGTTTACGAAAGTTCGAAAATGAATTTTTTCATAAATTCACAAAATTTCATATTTAAAGACAATTTTGGTTCTGTTTAAGCGTGTTGCTGTAATTATTAAGTGATAATAATCGATTTGCAACAGTCATTGCTTAAATTATGCTTCAAATAGATGAAAAATTTGCAATTGAAAATTTTTGTCATAAATTGTAAACAAACTTGTTTTGTTGACAAAAATTCGAAGATAAAATTTGAATCAATCAAAAAAACATTTTTACAGCCTTATAAAACTAAAACCACTTAAATACAATATAATTAAGTAGTTTTCAATCTTTACACGTGCATTTTAAATTGTAAAAACAATAGAATGAAAAAATCCAAGGATTGAAAACCCTATTCAAATCTTCAAAAATTTGCTCGCTCGATCTTTCCTTTTGTATTCTATATTATAAATGTAAAACTTACCCCATTCGATACCATTAAAATTCTCTAATAAATCTTTAACACATAAGTCAGCTATTTCATGTCCAGTCTCTCCCTCAAGATTAATAATTCCAACGGCAACAAATTTCGCTGATTCAGCTCCAGCATAATTGTTTGGATTTTGAGTATTCAGTGGCTTCTGCATAACAATGTCTGTTTCAATGAAAGAAGGAAAAAAAAACTCATTTAGCACAGTTAATGGATGTTGAACGACTGTAGGTGTCAATTGTCAATTATCACACATATTAATCAGTAAGTATCTGTCAATTTTTTTTTCGAGCCAACGCAAGACAACTTTTAACATTTGTTTATGGACAATTCTATGGATTAATAGAGTTCACAGCTTTTGATCCATGTTCTTTATATCCAAAATGATTCAGATTCAGAAAAAATGTTCAAAAATTCAAAAATAACATATTTGTTAAACTTCATCTTTTAAATGCAAAATTAAAGATCTTAACTTAGGGCATATTCAGTGAAAATATCTCGTTTCATTTGGATGTTTAACTCCAGAAATCTTTAATCTATTTTCAACAAAAATTTGTTTACAATTTGTATATGAAAAAAATTCTTTGATTTTCTCTAATTTAAGTTGTTATTTCCTTATCTTGCTAGCTGTTGTTAGCTAAGTAAAGCTTAGATTTGCATATTAAAACTACCAAATCAAAAGAAAACTGCTTATTAAGTCTTAAAAATGCAAATGAAATCTGAGTATTTTTACAAAACTTACACTATTCATAAGTTAAAAAGTCTTCCAAAGACCTCTCTGAAACCTTTACAAATTAATTAATTAAGCTTAAATCTATCTCTCATATTACTGAGGAAATGCCGTTTGATGTCGTTTTCGAGAAATTTGCGATCAAATTTTACATAAATTTTCATACAAATTTTGATCATGCACAATATTTTTTGATAAACTTTTACAAACTTTTGGTAAAAAATCATGTTTATTTATCCTTTATATTAAGGACTGATTTTTTTGAAAAATGCATAATGATTCAGATTCGGAAAAAACGTTCAAAAATTCCTTGTGCACAATATTTTTCCGACACATTTGAAAATTGAAAGTTTTTGATAATTTCTCTTGATTTGATTCTTTTAGCATCTTCTACGTAATGCTTTCGTTCATTGCTCAAAAATCAGTCCTTAATATAAAGGATAAATAAACATGATTTTTTACCAAAAGTTTGTAAAAGTTTATCAAAAAATATTGTGCATGATCAAATTTTGTATGAAAATTTATGTAAAATTTGATCGCAAATATCTCGAAAACGAAATCAAACGGCATTTCCTCAGTAATATGAGAGATAGATTTAAGCTTAATTAATTAATTTATAAAGGTTCCAGAGAGGTCTTTGGAAGACTTTTTAACTTTTGAATAGTTTAAGTTTTGTAAAAACACTCAGATTTCATTTGCATTTTTAAGACTTAATAAGCAGTTTTCTTTTGATTTGGTAGTTTTAATATGCAAATCTAAGCTTAACTTAGCTAACAACAGCTAGCAAGATAAGGAAATAACAACTTAAATTAGAGAAAATCAAAGAATTTTTTTCATATACAAATTGTAAACAAATTTTTGTTGAAAATAAATTAAAGATTTCTGGAGTTAAACATCCAAATGAAACGAGATATTTTCACTGAATATGCCCTAAGTTAAGATCTTTAATCTGGCATTTAAAAGATGAAGTTTAATTAATATGTTATTTTTGAATTTTTGAACATTTTTTCTGAATCTGAATCATTGTGATATCGACATCGATTAGATCCCTTAAAAAATAAACGTTAAGGAGCCTCACGCTTCATTCCACACCACCCCAACTTATGTGTCAAATCTATTGTCACGTCAATCAACAAACACTGAAAAACTAGTTAAAATTTCAATTTATGCTATCTGTGTCATATCCAGTCACGCTACAATTGCTGTCAATGCTATTAAATTTTCATATCAATAACAATAGTTGACTACTAATTCAAGCATCAAAGGTCATGTCCAAATTGAAATCTCTTACCTAAATCTAAGTATGTTCCTCCATACTTCCATAATGAAAGATACCTGAGGACATCACTCGTATGTGAATTAACGAAATTTGATCGGAACAGCTCTCCATTCTTTATCCAGTTCTCTAATGGTGTATTTTGTGCATATTTTGTCAGATTCAGGAAGTTAAAATGAATATTTGGGTATGAGGAAAGCGCATCGATCAGTCGCAAATTTGTCGTATTTCTAAATCCAACTTGTGATGTAAAAAGCACATAAATATTATGATCTGGATTCATTAGCGCTGTAATTACATAGATTATATAATGAATCATTAAGTATGTAAAGAAAGTTTATCAAGTTTACATCAATGAGTCACGTAATGACACAGACATAATTTTATTTTTCAGAACTATCTTGATGGAAATGACTAGTATAATGACTGAATAATTTTTAATCTGTGCGTTATCTTTTGTTTATTATCTATTACCTGCGGATTCAATAGCACACGATTGTCGGGCATTAAGTTTAATAACTCCATTAACATTGCAGCTAGTTTCATGGAAAAAGACATTTTTAGATGTTGAATGAAGCTTCAATTTACTATTTTCAGAGACTTCTTGTAATGTCTTTCCATCTTTCCAGACACTGTCAAGGAAGCAATTTGATGGATCATTTTTGATGCTTAAAAACAATATAAGTCCTAGCACAATAAGAACCAATAACACAAAAATCCGCTTCCTTATAATGTTGGAATGCAACCTTAAATTCAATCTTAAAGTCATTATTCTGTTATAAACAACTCATGGCGATATTAATGATTTTCACGGAATGCTCAAATGTAAAGTTTTTATGTAAACAAACTGATGTAAAGGCTAGACAGCTAGTGCTGATATATTCACACCTTATTTTTTTAAAAATCTTAATATTAACTTCAGAGGGTTTGATTTCTGGACTTTCGTCCACAAAGAGATTGTTTGAAGACATATAAAAGAAAGTAAAAGTCGCACTTCAAGCATCATAACGTTGAACACGTTGTGTGAGTATAAAAAACTGGATTTAAAATCAACGTTTAAAAAAAATTTAAATTTCAATTAAGTCAGTTCAGCAAGTTTACTGAAAAAGATTGTTCATAAATGACGTCTATAAAAAAATGAATATTGAATCCCATACCCTTTAATTTCTACCGAAGTATCGCATAGTTTCATAACCAACCCCCAACTCCTTGTACATCATTTTTGAACAAATCCCTGAATATTTTAGTGGAGATTTTGAAAAAATCGAACAAAAAAACTTAATTTAATTAAAATATGACATTTGCCATGCTTTAATTTTAAAACAGACTAGATAGACTAGATTGCATGAAAGATTTCTTCTCATTCTGCAAAAAATTCAAAAGGAAAAAGACTCGGAAAATGGATAATCTTAACAAAGGTAAATTTTGTTGACATTAAAATTGATTTTTTATGACTTCTTAATCAATGAATTATTTTTTATTGCCAGTTCTTAATACAACACGACCAGTTGTAAGTGGATTGCTGCATAAATATACCAACGTAGTTAAAGGATTTCAACTCAGATACTGTAAAGTTGATGCTGAGGTATTAATTACAATTAAAATCATAGAAAGTTTGGCAATCTGTCACTGGATCCTGCCTGTGTAAAGGCTGTTTTCAGACTCTGGCTAATCATTATGCCTTACACGAGCATGTATTGCTTATAAATAGCATAAGTTCAGTGACATGTACTTAAAATGGGGAACTTAACACTAACTCATTAAACTGTTCATTTGTGACCTTCCAGAATGGCTTATTAAGCTACTATTTATGCGAGAACAATGAAGAAATCGGAAACAATCCAAGGGGCATTGTAAAATTGATAGGTGCATTAATTAATCCATCCGATGAAGACTCCAGGACTTTCACAATCAATTCCAGTTCGGGCGATGTTATCAAGCTAAAAGCAAACGATGCAAAGGCACGACAAGAATGGGTAGATGCTTTACGTGCGGTTGTTGAAAACCTATCATCACAATCGAGATCTACAAAAGAACATTTGGCAACTTATGATTGCTTTATTGCAAGCAGGAAGCAGCTACAGGAAACGGAATCGTGCAATGCTGAGTTATCTCGGATAATTGAGAATTGTGATTTTCATAATGACAAAGATTTCTTGCTAATGAAGGCACTGTCGTCAGCTACAACATCAACATTATCGCAAGCTCTCGTCTATCTTCAAAAGTACAATGATTCAGCTAGAAACGAATTGTACTAAGATTTATTTACCATTCCCCAAATTTTTCCTTTAAGAGAATTATTATGTTAATAAATTTTATGTATCACATTTTTGAACTTAATAACAGCACTTTTTAAAACTCGGAACTGCAAATAAAATTGTAAATAAAACGGCTATAAATTATTTAAATTTCTTTTTTGAATGCTCAAAAGTAACGGAAGTTTTGAAAAATTGCGTAAAACTAGTTGCAAGCTCCTCGAGAAATTCAAAATTTTCAAAAACTTAGCAAAGTTTAAATAAAAATAGGAATTCTGAGGTTTTTAAGAGTTATTTGTTATCTTTTATTGCACAAAAAGGTGAGTAACAGTCTAGATTATCGAATAAGGCACATAGGTTTGAGAGGAATTTGGCATTTAATGTAAATTCACCATGTTTCCTTCAAATCATAACAAGGTCATTCAAAATATAAAATACAGATTCTTTTTTGTTGAATTTAGCGAAATTAAAAAAGTGAAAAATGAGTTCAGAAGATAAAAATATTGAACAGATGAATGATGAAAACATTGATGAATCGCCAACAGAGACTGAAAATCCAATAGAAGTAAGATCCAGATTGCATTTTGTGATGAAATTAACCATTTTATTCATTGTGACTCTCTCGCACGATATTGCTTATTTTTTCTAGCAAAATCCACAAGATGTTGAAAAGCAGGAAGAAGAGAAACTGAAAGCGAAATATCCACATGCTGTTGGTGGACGTCCAGTCGGTGGACATTCAGCATTTCTTCAAAAAAGGTTACAAAAGGGACAAAAGTATTTCGATAGTGGTGATTATCAAATGGCTAAACAAAAGACTGGGGGTATTAAACAGATTTTTGCAAATAAAGTACCAACAGGGGAAGCCATTCCAACACCCGAATCAGTTCCAATTCGAAAAACATCAATTATTCAAGCATGTAACAAACATCAACAGCCATACACAAACAGCAGTTAATTTATCACGGAAACATAATATACTTACTTATATTAATGGATATCCCCTCTTTGTTTCATCAGTCTTTATCTATTCCTTTCCCTTTTTTTTAGTACTTGCTTAATGTTCAATTAATTAATTTCTCATTCGTAATTTTCTTTTTTTATCGTCATTAAATAATATTTGGAAAAATCGAGGAAAATGGAAAATCTTCATTAATTACTTTACATTTAAAAAAAGTGTCAGAGATTAGCAAAAAAAAAAAACAAGTCATAAAATGATATCCTCAAATGTGTAACTGTTCATTTTTATTACAAAATGGAAAGAATTAAGGATTTTAAAAAATTTATATAAAGGAACGGAACTCAACGCAGAAAAGCGCAGATGTGTAAATTATCTAATTTAATCGTTTATTGAAAAAATGATCTGATAAATGTTGCATATTAAAAGATTAATTAACAAAAGAAACACAAACAAAAAAACAAAGTGATGAATATAGAATGTAAATTTAGTAATGTTCACATACTTATATGCTAGATCTCAACAAACTTCCTTAAAAAACTTCATCATTTTGACTCCAATATGAAAAACAAACTTAACAAAAAAAATTGTGTAATTAGTCGTCAGATCAATTAAAGAAAAATGGAAAAAATAAAATTAATGCAAATTTGAAAGGCTGGCTTTATTGCTTCTGGAGCTTATTCTGGATCTCAAAAGTTTACGGGTTGCTAGCTGAAAGAAAATCAATTCACATGACAGACAGTTGAAGGTGCAATCAATAGAACAACATCCTTAAAAACGGCAATCTACGATTGACAGAGAATCAATAAAGAAATCAGCACTTAGTTCCAATAAAAAAGAATTTATTTCAAAATTTGTTAGATTGAAGGAAGCGAATAAGTTGAAGATATTGTGTAAATATAAGTAATTACACTTTGATCAAAATTGCCTGGCTTCAACGAACGATGCAGAACTGATTATCTGACTTAAAAATGGACCAGACTCGCTCTGTTCTCTTTAAAGCATTGTTTAATCAACGCAATTATAACATCCTCAACTTATCCACCCACCCATAAGTAGCACAAATCTATATGATTTCATGTAGTGTTAATAAGACAAACAAAATCAATGCACATCAATGAGACTTAAATTATTTAATTAATTTTTATCGACTGTGTTCACCAATCGTTGTTTTCAGCCAAATCTCTAAACAGGACATCACGAACCACTGGACGAGGATCTTCTTTTATATCAGTTTTAATACATCCACATTGCCCGAGCATAAATTCAAGCTCCTCTCGTGAACAATTTGGCGATCTTAGTTCCAATGGACCCAAAAATTGCTTTTTCATTTGACCATTATAGTACACAAAGATTGTTGGTACATTTTTGTCTGGGAAGTTGGGTATACATGTTTGTGCAATCGAGCGTATGAACTTTACGCTTGGATATCTCATTGCCAATTCATTAATATATTGATTCAAAACAGCACAGAAAGGCACGCCTCTGGCATATAAATGAAGCACTACATATATATCTTCGCCTGCTTTATTCACTTCATTGATGTATTCTTCACCTGTGATTTCACGTACGCTACCGAATTTTGCTTTGGAAGCAAGCGCCTTTAATTCTGCAATTCTTTTGCTACGATATTCCTGTAAGACTGCTTCATCCTCACTATCTTCCAGCTCATCTAGTTCGTCTAAATCCAATTTCTCCAAGTTCCTTTCATCTAAGAATAAATCAAACTGTATTATTATAATCTGTAATATGTAAGATCCAGAATAGCTTCTTACTGTTCTGTTTCTCTTCAATTGTGTGCTCTAGCATATGAATGATATCATCTTCAGTGATTGCCTTCTCTTTTTGAGGAATTATGCCTTTTTGTCTCAGTACATCATTCCATTCTGTATCTTCATTAGGATTCTATAGACGAAACGTGTGAAAGATGTAAAAAAAATTCATGTGATTTTCACAACAAATTTCCATTTATGGATAAAATGAGATTTTCTTGATTTTTTGAAATCCTGAATGTCATTGACTTGAACTGCAATTAACTTTACCTGCATGTTTATGCTTTTATTTGTTTGTTAAATACTTGATAAATGACTGAATAAGTATGAATAAAAAAATTAAAATTAATCTATGATTCACAGTAAACTACTACGTAAGAAATTTACGTATCCGTAGGGGATTATTAATAAACTACGTGTAAGGCACACCGATTTCATAGAAATTCCGGCACAAAAGTGAACAACTTCGCAAAAAATCCTTAAAATTAAGTTTTAAACTTCTGGAAGTCATCAAGCAGCAACTGATTTCATAGACACATCAGTGCTTGATTCATTATTTTACTTTTTATTAAAAATTTCAATCGGTTACGATAAAAGGCAAATTTATCGATATAACATTTAATTATCAGTATTTTCTGTTGTATCCTCATCCTCATCGTCGTCGTTAACGTCCAAATCATTTAATTCATCATCCAGCCCTTCGAGATCTTCGTCGAGGAATAAATTTTCATTAATTGGACCGGCTTCATCTGTTGTTTCCGTTACTGGTACTGAATCTTTAAGTTTCTCTAGTCTGTCTTCAGTAGCTATTGTGCATCCGCTAGCGTCAACCTGTAAGGCAACCATGATAATGATAATTTAAATAAATTAAGTCACTGGATGTGTCTAGACTTACCTCTCTGAGACCAGCACTAAGAGCTGAGAAATCAATTTCTTTGAAATTAAGCTCATCCTCATCCTGTTCGCGGATCATTTCAAATGCCTCGTCACCATCATCCATAGCATCGTTGACCAAATCTGGATTGAAGCTAAACATCTCACGACCAGAAATACCGAATTGCTTGCCAGCTTTATAGTCTTTGAGTTTCTTTTTCTCTTCCTCCAACTCAGCTTGTCGTTTTTCTTCAATTTTCCTCTTTTTCCATGCCAAAAATGTGTCTAGTGTTACTTTTGTTGTGGTCGAACCTAAGCCAGCTCTTTCCGATTCTATCAATTCCTCTAATGAAATTTCATCTCGTTTATCATCCTTCTTTTTATCCTTTTTAAGGACATAACCTGGCGGCAATGCATGTCGATAAATGCACTTTTCACCATTCGGACATGCCCAAAACCATCCATAAAGTGACTTCTCGACTGCCTCAATGAAAAATTTACAAATAATTGTTGTCGCATTCGTCTTTTCTGCTGCATGTTTCTTCTCAATGACATCTTTAAGCTTAGCATCGTCCCAATTTTCCATAGTTTCTTCCGACTGTCGTACATCACAGTAGATTGATCTCTTTTCACCTTTACGTTCGATTGCCAAGTCATGAGAGAATTTACACTTATCGCCTTTTGTACATTGACCAACTTTAAAGTATGCACACAACACGGATTTAGGATCAGTTCCTGCTTCAATCTTCTGTACTATTACCGGTTTAAAGAGTGCTGCTAGTTCTTTTTGTTCCTAAAATGATATATAGTATTAATTGTGGTTTTTGTTGCGTGTCAAGTGCTTATTACCTTCAATTTCCTCTCCTTTTCAGCTCTTCTATCCTCAGGCTGATCTTTTTTAGCTGGCTGATTACCAGACTTGACTTGTTTCTCTACTTGAGCTATGAATTTCTGTGTTTTTGCACCTTTCTTGTTTTTTAATCCAAATGTCTTGTCCTGCAATGATATGTTCGAGTATTAAATATCAATTTGTTTTCTGGATCATCACTAATCATTATTAAACGAAATTTAATCATATTTAAAGCTTCAAATGGGACATTCAAATGAAACTGGATTGAATCCAACAAAGATCCAACGAATTTACAGATTTCGACTACTTTTCACTTTTTTGAGCATATACAGCCACAGAATCAATAGCAAACGTCTTTAAATACGACTTATTATAGAATTCATACATTGTATACACTAATTAAAGAGGAATCAGATCAATTTTCATTGAATTATTGCACATTCGATTAACTAATAACCTCGTCATTTACAATTTTTGTAGATTTACAGTATTAATAGTCTATTACCTCTATGATTTTCTCCTTTTTCTTCTGCTCGGTTTTCTTACTAGGTCCGGCTGGTGCTTTTTTTGGCGGCATGATTGATAATTAATTCTAAAATCGGCAAATTAATTTTCCTTCTGTTTTCTTAGCTGAATGTATTAAAATCACACTACGTAAAGTCTTACGTAAAACTCAAAATACGTACGTAAAAATATCATGTGCGTGAATTTAAATTCAAATTGACTGTTAATTTTTGAGCATGTACCTATGCATGCATTGAAGGAGCAGACTAGACATTGCTTTAAAATTATTTAATACTTTATTTTTATAAAATTACTTATTAAAGCTATTAGGGGTGGAAATGTCATTAAAATTGCTTCTATAATGAAAAGGCTTCTCTATTGGAAGCATTAATTTCAATTGCGGCTAGCAGATCGTGCTTAAATCGCACAAACAGCTTTCCTTTCTTCCATGGATTTTGTAAATCAAATGGTCTAAAATCATCTCGAAGGCATCGTTCTCTCGTACCAACTAAGCACACCAGACAAAAGTCATCTAGCTGATTAGCTCCATAAACAGGTCCGTCCTACAAATAAGCAATTAAAATAAGAATGTTCAATTGAATAACTGGTGCTTAACATACCTTTCCTTTGAGAACAACAGCCATATTCAATTGCTTCACAACCAAATTAATAACTTCACGAGACGTAGTCTTTTGTGTACATTTAAGCTTTAATGAGGTTCCAGACGACAATCCAGTGTCGTATGCAGCATAAATTTGCAATATTGAACTACTACTCTCAATTGACGATTGATTAACATAGTCTCTTTCCATCAGCATTTCCTCAATTTGAGCTTGGATATCCGATTTACTTCCGTCCGTGAACGAGACATTGAGAGCTGACGTTTCATTTGTGTCTTCAATTTGCTTAAGAGCATCGATGGCTCTGAAATCAATTGAGTCAATCTCTCGGTCTTGGCAAATTGCGTGTACATTTTTGCTGTGAAAATCACTCCGGCTGAACAGCTGTTTAGTTTTGCCAAATTGTTGCTTGCTACTTGCGTTGCTTGATTTTGATGATCGTTCAGTCGGAGCTTTTGAAAAGGGCGAGCTAATCATTTCTATAGCTTCATCTTCTACAATTATAAGTGGATCTTTAAAGCTACGATTATTCTCATTCTGGATTGCTGTTAAAGTTGGTTTAAGGAATGTCACGAGTGTCGATTCCTCTTCTGAATGATATTTTCGAAAACTTTCTTTCTTCTGTTGCTGGTGATTTGTGGATGATTTTGGATGATGTGAGACTTTAAGCTTCGACTTACTTGGTGTAATTTCAATGCTCTGCTTACAAGGCTCATTTGGAACTACTTCATTGATCACATTTGCATTTATACGATGTACAACAAGACCATTTGACTTATTACTACTTTGTGAGTCAGAACTATGTGGATTGAATGTCGTTGGTCGTTTCCTTTGATGGATATTTGACGGTCCTTTCCGTCTTGTCACAACTAATGCTTCCTCAGATTTCGACAGTGGCAATCGTGGTATTGAAAAGTCATTTTGCTCGCCTGCTGAATAATAATTTGAATCGATTGAGTTCTTCCTGTTATCACTTTCTGTTGATAAGACAGTGGAGTTATTTTTGGACTCAATACTGTTTAACAACTGGTCAGATTTGGAATGTTCTGTGAATGTAAGAATTTCGGATCCTTTAAAAGTTTGTGGTCCCCAAGAGCCACGAATCGGTGACTTGACATGAAATCCTCTCAGTTGTGTATCAGGCATTTTAAAGAATATATTATAGGATGATACAAATTGAAGGATCTTCTTTATGTCCGACGTATTTGTTACTTCCTTTGATCTATAAAATTGTATTACGTCCGTCATGTATCGTATACTTTTCCATGCTCCATTCAACTCATTCATTGTTTCCTCAGATTGTTTAAGTCTATCTTTGGCTACTTGTAATTCATTCGATGAAAATGCTTCTCGTTGCTTTAAATTCGCTGTTATCATATCAAATTCTGTTAAAAACGATAGTCGTGCATACGTGTGTAACAATGTGGATTGATATGTATCAAATTGAATCATTTCGTGAACTATGAGTGGAAGACTTATAAAATCTGATCGTTTGAGTGATAGATCGACACTAACGTTATGGGAATCTGAAATGTAGAAAGGAAGAAATAGCTCTTAAAATTTTATTCACGAATGTGTTTGTCAGTAATTTGCAAGAAAAAATTCAAAATTTTAAAAACTGTTAAAAATGCAAACTTTTGAAACCCGTTTAATTTTCAGAGTCACTTCATGCTTACCTTTTGAGTTTATAATTGTATCACATGGTGGAGGACAGACTATGAGAAAACTGACATCTTCATTAAGTTCAATGACTTCTGTGTCATAAATTCGATGTCTTAAGGCTTCTTCGTGATCAATGTTCATGAATTTGAATAAACGATTTAATGATAATTTAAGACTTTCAATAAAGTTCTCTTGAGCTTGTGACAGTTTTCCTTCCTTGTCTCGCTCCAAATTCGATTTGAGAACTGTCCATTCCTCAGCTGATATGTGTGGATTATCACGAATCTTACAATTAGGAAGCACATTAGGTGTTTTCGTTTGACATACAATATGTATTGAATCCATAGAACTAAACATTTTTAAATAGCTTAAGTAGAGACCACGAGATAATTTCACTTTTGATGCATGGTAGTAATTAATTTGACTTTTAATTGAGTTCAATAGGATTTCATTAATCGGACTATCCTCGAGCAAAACGGTAACTTTTTTTAGTAACTTATTCATAGATATCCATTTTGTGTGAAGTGTTGATGTCTTTGGATCTTTACAGTAGAGTGAGCATGCCAGCACGATTGTTCCATTTGAATCTTTCAGTGGCTTGTAATAAAACTGACCGAGATCTGTGATGCCTAGAGATATTTGCATCTGATGGATGGCATTAAGAATTTTAAAACGGAATTGAATCTTATTTGTTGAATTTTTTTCCATTTCAATTCGTAGATTCTTAACATCTTCCCACGACGTTGATATTTTCATGAGCCAATAAAAGTCGTTATTCAAATTTGCTGGATATGATTCATCAATCTCAATAACTGGGAGGAAATCTTCGTTAGTAACGAGAACTTTCTCGTCTGAAAATATTATGCATGCTAAATAAATTCCTCTCCTCAATGACTTCTGGAACTTGGATACAGTCGAGAATAGTTGCTTGATTGTTGTTTTCTTCTTCTGATTTCGCCTTTGTTGTTCGTCAATTGGCTCATCAGGCTTTGATTGATGAACAGTCTTGCCTATATTCTCAAATATCTCTTTCTGGCTGAGAAATCTCGAGTCTCTTGGATTCTCTTCGATATCCTTCCAACTTGATGGAACTATACTTAATGGATTTGAGACTTTATAACTGCCATATCCTTTAATATTGCCACTACATGCTCGAAAATAATACCGTCGCCTTTGTATTAAATGATCCAGATGAAAATTAACTCCCATCGTTCCTTGAAATATATTCCACTCTGTTATTGTCTTTTCAGCTATAACTATAGAAAAGTCTTCGCGCGGTGAATATTGAACTAAAAATGAGACATTATCAAATAAAATTGCTACATATAGATACTGTGCAGTATATAGATATTGATATTTACCTCTGAATGTTGTACAAATAGTATCTTCTATTGGTTCCAATATTCTTATCAGTACTGAATTCGTCCCAATGACATCTGTAAAAACAAATGAGACAGTAGTATTATAATTATAAACACATGCTGCACATGGCTGAAATGATAAACAACAAGTTTGGTGCTGTATCTTACCGATAGTAAATGAAAACGGTGGATCTGGAACTTTTAATCTTTGCCATCCATTTATCATCTTTCTTATAAGTTTGATTCGCTTCTCTATGGTTAGTTTTTGACGTTCTGTCTCTGGTCCAATACATGATTGACTCGAAGATCCAGTACTGCTTACAAATTGTGCTAATTTTTTCTCAGAATTTGTTAGCAATGAATTGAGATGAGTTTCGAGACTCTCGACTGGAAAATTGCCAGAATGTGCACCATATTGAAGCAGGAGCTTTGTTATTGGTCGATTGTTAATTAATACTGCAAGATCCAGTACTGAGAATCCATCATTATTTAATGCATTTACGTTTAATTGTTTCTGCTCCAATAAGCTTTTCAGCTGGTCATATTGATTCTCCTCGACACACTCAAATAAGGCTGCAATTATTTGGATCCAATTAAAAAATAGAAACTCACAAACCACTTTAATTAATTAATTTAAAACTATTATTTTCGTGCAATTTCAATTTTTGAAATTTATGTAAACAAACAAGATCAGCTTCATAAGCCAGATTATTAAATTCAAAAATAATTTGACAGTTAGCAAGATAAAAAAAATTAAATGAATCTTGAGTAGAAATGAATGAATTAGATGATAAGCATTAACTGTAAATCGTTAATTAACTGTGTAGATAATTAAAGAGGAGATAAAATAAAATTGCACGAAAATAAAAGTCTATAATATAATGTAGTTCACTTACCATATGCAGAGCTCGGCTCGAATGACTTATTCACGTGTCCAAACTTGTACTTTTTGTTCAATTTAAAATTATCACTTGTTGAGTTCTTATTGAATTCCTTCAAAACACTCGCTGATCCAACGATATCGCCATTGCTTGCTCCATTATTGCCTTCAACTGCTTTGTTTTGTTGAAGGAAATTAAATCCACCGATATGCATGGCTTTGGACTGTTCACTTCTCTTTACTTCGATTTTATCTCGTTCATTATGATGACTGGACGGCAGACTAATCTCTAAATTAGTCATAAATAAAAAAGTATCCATTGTATGAATGTCGAAATATGAATGCTGGTTTGTGTATATGAGAAATGATTGATAAGATATAAATTGACTTCATTGACTTATTTATCATTAATTTTTGAAGCTCTTTTTCGTTAAGTATGTGCTTTTTATGTCATTTTGGGATGTGGCTGAATAAGATCATATATATACAAAATTATATTAAAAATTCAACGAAAATTTTTTTTTTGAAAATTTCAAAAGAATAATTTGAATTTAAAAATCAGTAAAAAATTCAAATTTTTAAAAATCCGTTAGAAATCCAATGCGCTATTCATGCACCCTTTTACTTCCTCGAAATATTTTGTTTTATCATGAATAGTGTCGCGATAGAAAAATTTCGATAGACTTTGCCCCGATATTAACAAACCAAACAAAAAATAATAATGATATAATGCTTAATCCTTACTTGCCGAGCTATTAGCCCATACCGAACGTTTTCTTATTGTAGCAAATTTAATTTGTGATTCATTTGTTATTAAATGACTAGGATTTGTGAGTAGAGCGGTATGATTTGAAGGAGTAGTAATGTTAATTTGCAATAAAGCGGCAGCTTTTGGCGGAATGAATGATGGCAATTGTTCTAAATTAAGAGCATGTAATTGAGTACTCATACGCTTTTTTGGCAATCGAAATGAGGACCTCAAAGCATAACTAGCTGATCGTTTAAGAATTGACGGCTCACTCGGCGATCTTGTCAATTGTCTGTAATTATTTTTCATTTCACTTTTTTTTATTTTCACTAATTTCAACTTTTTTTTCTGTGACTAGTTTTGGTATTGTTGTGCGTGTCTAGTCCATAATAATAATAATAACTTGCAATCCGTTTTCACTTTTCAGTTAGTCATTAACAGTGGAAATTTCCCAGAAGCATTTTCTCACAGACACACAACCACTATTTGGATCTTTAATTAAATTCAATTAATTTTTGTATAGCTAGCCTTGAACAATGGATAGAGAACTAAGTATATTTCAATGCTTAACGTTCATCCGGCAAAATATGAATGATGTATTATGTTGAAGAGACGCATTGACTGTTTCTCTTTACAGCTGTTTACGCTCGTTTATACGTTAACGATCAAGGCATTATGTGTTGTTATTATGCTTTCTTCTATATGGGGTGAATCTACATTCGAGATTTTTTTTTATTCTTCAGTGTGAACATGAAGCTATAACTTTATTATTTTGGGAGCGACAATATGTGTGGATGTGTCGCATGAGAGAAAGAGAATGAGAATGAGAATTTTTTTGGACAATGTCAGTGTCACACACACTTCGTGATGCGACACATGTGTTCTTTGTGTGAGGAATAAGAGTTCTTACTCAAATTTATTGGTGAATTTCTCAAAAATTAATTGTAATAATCCAGAGTTGTTAAGTTGATTACTTTTAAAGGAATTAGTCGTTCATTTATTATTGGAAATTTTATTGGTGTGTGAAGGAGGTTCTAAGTATGCTTAGTATACATAATTTTATAGATTAGGAGCATAAAAATTGTGTAGTTAAGTTTTGCAGTTGAAGTATGGGCCTCAACCAATATATTAAGTATTCATAACCTAAAGACATTTTTATTTATTACAATTTTTGGCGCGAATTCTATATCATCTTGAATTATCAGACTTTTGTGCTTTTCTTCATTTATGAGATACGTACCAATATGGTAGAGATCTGATCAAAATTATCAGCAGTTATCAATTCCTAATTCTGTAGGTCCATATCTCTTAAGATGAGCTACGTCGAGTGACTTGTCACCGAAGTCGCGCCAAAATTCGAGAAAGGGGTGACATCAGGCAGAAACTGACTATGTCATGCAAATTTAGCCATCACAAATTCCATGTGCATAGCAATAACTATTAGACAAAATATATATCCGTACAAAAAAAAAATAACAGTCAGCAGTCATAACAAATTCCTTCAACAGCACACAGAAACAAATAAGTAGAATATTGAGAGTGATGAGAGAAAGTGACAATAAAAAACGAGAGAATTTTCTATCCGTCACTAGTAAGTTGTGCAAAACATTTGTGCCTACATTTAAATATACATAGTTCCACATGTGGTTCTATTTAAGAGAATTATTCAGCAACATAACTGAATACAGAAATTATGTTGAAGTATTTATGCATAGAACATACACAAATAAAGCTATAGACACGACAATGCTCGTCTCTTGTTTGTTAATTTATTTTTGATCGTTATAAAAGCTTCAATTGTGTGGTTAGTCAAGAACCCTTATAATATGAAATATATCTGCTTTTATTTCCCAATTCACATATCAAAAAAAATTCGGAGCCTTTAATAAATTAATTAAGATTAATCAGGAAGTTGAGATGCTTATTATTATTATTATTTGTTATGCGATAGCTGAAATGCATTTATTAGCAAACAGAAACAATAACTTCCTCATTTATGAGAGACTTTCTTAGGTCTTTATAGACACATTTTCCATACCTAGCTATAAAAAGAAGATTTATTGCAATTTAATTTAAATTTTTTTACTCTTTTCTTTCTCTTCTCATGTTATATTTTATAACGCAACAAACAAAACAGGTTTTCACAAAGATGCTGTTTGTGACAGGCAGTAGATTTAAGAGAGAAATTTTTCCAAAAAAATCATTATTAATTTTTTTTTTGCTTTTCTTTTGAATCTTTAACAAAAAGATATTTTATTAATTTATGTTGTTCAATACGATCGCGATTGTTTTTGAAGCTTTGTTTTAGGATTGTTATGTCAATTTGATCAGTCAGTTTGGGATTTAAGATTGAATTCTAATGTTTTTGTTATTTTAATGACTTACTTTGAATGACAAATTTTAAGCTGCTTTAAAAGTTAAGAAATTGAGATACCTTGCTATAAACTTTAATTCTGTGCCTTAGTTTAATCAGATTTCTTGTTTTTTTTGCTTACACTGTTTATATTATGTTTTCCAAAGCCAAATATGATCAAATTTCATCAATTTTGAGTAGCTTTGGTGTAATTTTGATGCAAAAAATCCACTCAACATATTTAACCCCCTCAAACTGTTCCTATGCACCAGAATTAATACTTAAAATCTTAAAAAATGCGCTTCAATCACCACACTAGCTATTAATTTACGATCATTAATTTTATCATCATTTACATCATACTGAGTGTTCCACTTTTTGTTTTTGGGTAATGATCGCACATAGCACATATAGGAAGCACCAACATTAGCGATTTTTTAAAAAAATTATTCAAGTATATTTATATATTTTTTTAAAAAATCACATGCGATATAAATCATAAGAACGTATTGGATTTCTACTACTATTGAAGTCTTTCCCCATAAACCGTTGGTGGTGCCATTTTTGGTCTATCAACATTTCTTATTTGTGAAACTTGAACACTTGCACTTTTTTTATTTCTAATAATCCATGCTTAAGGTTACAAATAATCGACTTTACCTTGATTTAAACTTAAGATTTTTAACACTTTCTATTTTGTTTATTATTTATTTTAATTACTTTTCCTTTTTCTGTTGTAGGTTCTTAATGGCTTAAAACGACTTATAAAAAAAAATTAATTTACTTTTTAACCGAACTTAACGAAGAGAGATTCAACAGACAACTGAATAAAAATATAATGCCAAGTGTAAAATTACAAAGCTTTTTCAAATTTTGCCATTCCACATTATTCTATATCCAATTCGTATACGGCAACTTGTTGATTGTATTTATACACCACCAACATAAATGTATCTTGTCTTTTTCTCTCTCATACATATATTAAGTATACATACCTGTGTGCATTAAAAATGCAAGTTGATGATGATGTATTAACAGGCGACTAGGACGCAATTTTGATGATTTTAAGGCTCATTTATATGATTATGTTCCTATGTGGTGCTTAGGTTACAACAAAAAGCTTTTAATCTGACTCTGTTGTCTGGTTTGTACAACTTTTATGTACGTACGTTAAGCTGACATTTTTTTCCTTTCTTTTGTTTGAACCATCACAAAACTCCAAACCCCCTCCTCTGTTTCTCGTGGTTGACCTGCTATATCCAAAAGCTTATCATTTGATAGACAATCCTATGAATTTCCAGTCCTCAAGATCTTAAGAGGCTTGGTTCTAGGTCTGCTACTTCTTATGGTTCGATAACAACGTCGATTTTCAAATTTCTTAAACGTGACTTTTTGGAGTAGATTAATTTTGAAGCATCCAGCATAAAACGTCAAAGTGCGTTGCATTTTCTCACAAAACATAGTTAACAAAATGTTATTAACCGACAAAAATTTTCAGGCGCTCAACGATGTTCATTTTATATAGTATTTATTTATTTGTTAAAGGGACAGGTAATAAATTCCTTACAGGATTTTACTTAAATTAAATACATAGTCAGTAAGAACGAGAATAACAAAAAAAGAGAAAAGTTTTTCCGACGCAAATAATAAAATTGGAATATGCTCTGTCTTATTGAATAATAAAATAATAATATTTTATGGTAGGGCTTAAATTTGTATTAACTGGATAGACCAACCACATTAATCATCTTCATCATCATCTCCTTCAACTTGCTGACCGAGATTTTTTAACCGCTTTCTATATTCTTTAATTTTCAAGTCTTGATCTGCTAATAATTCCAATAAGTCTTCTTGATCCTTACTCATCTGTTCAACTTTCGAGTTCAACTCGTTTATTTCACATCTGAGCTTCTCGTTCGTACTTTCATTCTCTTTCGTCGCACCAAATTGATCAATTTCAGTTAATAAACGAGCATTTTCTGCCTCATAGAATTGTATTTTCGTCTCATTATGGGACTTTTCATGACTTAGCGATGCTACTTGCTGTTCTAATTCATGAATCTTTGTTGCGTGCTGATCATAAAATCCGTTCATGTTGCTGTGCTGATTCTGTACGCCACTCGATGATGCCGCTGTTAATTGAGCTCTTAGCAATATGTTTTGATCATTAATTTGACTCATCGATGTCTGAGTTTCTGTTAATTTTGACTGTGGACGAGATGAATAAAAGAAAGTAATTTTTCATCAAGATTTTCTCTTAAAATTTAAGTTAATTTTACCGAAATAGACTCATTTTGAAGATGCAATTGCTTTACTTGCTCGTTCAAAGTCTGTATTTTATGATCTTGCTCTCTAATGATATTTTTATATTGGGCGACTAGACTTGATGCTTCTTGACTTATTGTTAGCTCGTTCACAGATTCATTTCCGTTTGTAAAGCTGGTTATCAGCTTGCTTACTGTCGCTGTTGTTGGGAATTGAATTAAATGCATTAGTGAAGTCATTAAAATATTACATAGTTAAAAAATTTTTTGTTTAAGCATGAATAGCACCTAAATGCAATCCAAGAAATTTCAACCAATTCCACCCTTTAAATTTTCAAACTTACGTTCCAGTGACTTGAACAGCTTACAAAACTCATAATCAAGTAGCAAATCAGCTGGAGATTTAATTCTTATCTGTGGCTGCTTCCCAGCCTTGCTGTAGCTTTCATGCTTGCTGACTTCATTCAACTTTCCAGAAAATGTTTCAATTCCTATTCTTTTAATCAGCAATTGACACAAATCATCACGTCGATTCCCCTCAACACCGTTATCATTAAATTGTATACAAATTCCCATTAAGAATGCACACAATCCTTGAATTAAATACTCATTCTCGTCGTGCTCATTTGCGGTAATTTGTGCGATCAAGAAACTTATTGTTCCATTAATAGAAAGGAATGATCGAACAGCCATTTCACATTTTGATAGCCAGATAATTAGGAACATTAAAATGCCAATTTTACTTTGATACTTAAATTGTCCTTGTTGTAGCAAATTAAAACATTGCTGAAGTAATGAAGTTGGTTGACTGCTTGACGATGTGGCAACAAGACTTCTTAAAAGCTGTTCCTTTTGATTTTGATTCTCGATTAGAGCATGCGATAGTGAGACTGCTGAAAACCAATTTGAAATGGCATCCATACTGAAAAGACCACCGCACAAAAGTTGACCAGATGTTAGAGTTGCAGGAACCTCTTTCGTACTTGGAAGTAACGTATGAATTAAATCATTTTGTCCAACTTCATTACGATATAAATAGCATTGGAAGCAGTAAAGCACAGCACATCGGAGTACAAGTGGTTGTTTCTCATTGACCATTGACATTAATAGAATCACTATGGCTGGTTTTGGTGGATTACTTGGTGCCAAAACTTGATTAAAATATTCCTGATTGTTTCCATCACCTCGAATGATTTCGGCAGTTGAATTAATTAATTCTGTTAGTATATCTGGTGGGATTCCGGAACTCATTAACATTCTGCATAGTGTCTCAAGTAATCCACAACTTCTCATGATTTTCTGGCATGCAGCAATGCTTTGTTGGGAATTATTTGGTGATACAAGCACGCGAATAATCTGCAGCATGCAATGAATATTGGATACTTTTTGTGGTGTCATTCCAACTTCTTCAGCTTCCTCAGTAAGAATTAACATTGGTGATAGACGTTGGATATATGATCCTTCCTTAAAGAACTGCTGATTACTGGAATTATTTTTAAGCAAGTTTAACATCAAAATTAGACAATCTTCAACGACAATTCCACCATCTGCACATCCTTCCTCGTTAATTACATCAAATAGCTTATCAAATGCATTTTCGAATGCGACAATTTTCTGGATGTTCGCATTTCCTTTTGTTAATTGAATTAATAAAAGGAGAGAATCATTACGGATAATTTCTCGACTATCTACAAGCAAATCCATTAAACGTGAAATTGCCATTGGACTTACTAAGACAACTTCTTGAATTTCTTTCGTTCTATTGGCAAGTAAGCATGTTAGTAGCTTAATAGCAGACCATCGGACTCTAAAATCGTATTCTTCGAGATGACTTAAGATTAGTGATATATGATCTGGATGTTTAATGAACATTTCTGTGAATTGTTCTCCAATATTTACACTAATGTGTGGATTCTCAGATTCCTCTTCAAACTGATCCGGTGACACTATATTACATAGAGCATCCAAACAATATCCAACAATTTCATTATCAGTTCTGTCATTTTCAATCACTTGTGTTAAGGCATACATCGCTTGAGCACCAACTTCTACTCTATATTTCTTAGAAAGTGCTTTTAATGCACGGCACGCATCTCGTCTATCTTCCAGCATTGTCGATGACTGTACACGATCAACTAATCTTTCGACCTAAAAGTGAAAATTACTCAAATTTTATAAAAATCAAAAACAAATCAATATTTTGTGATTTTTACGTACAGTTTCAGCTCCTGTCATGGTTTCTTGATTTTCGCTGGTGCCCAGCACACTTTGTAATCCACTTTTGAAGAAATTCATCTTGTATCTACTGTAGATTAATTAAAATTTTAAAATTTAAGATTTTTACTACATCAGCAAAATTACAATGAAACTTCTTTAAACTGACACGTCTTCGAAAAGTCGAAAATGAATTTCTTTGTAGAAGTGGATAGTGGTTTGTATGATTTTCTTTAAATTTTGTTTTAACTTAGAATTTTAATTTTCAATTATTTCAATTTTCAACGAGTTTTATATTTTTGAATAAAGTCATTTGAAAACCGTTAAAATTTGAATTTGATTCAGTTTGTCTGAAAATTTACTAAACGCAAGCGCTTAAGAAAAAACAAGCATTTTGTAAACATTGATTTAAATTAATTAATTTCTTAAGAATTAATTACAAACAATAAGATAATAACGATGGAATGTAAAGTAGGAGATGTGGTTATGCCTGGAAACATAATACAAGAAGCAGACGCACTTGCAAAAGAGAGTAAAAAGGTAGTTTTAGGTAAGTAAACAAATTGCAGCCTAGAGTATTATTTAATTAATGTGTTTCACAGGCAATGGACTTAGGCTAGAGAATGACAGTGCTGTTTCCTCAAAGAGTGGCTTGTTGTGTAAAAGAAAGAATATATTTTATGTCGACAGCTATCAAAAGAAATACATACCTGCCAAAAATGATAATGTTATAGGAATCGTCCAATCAAAGACTCTAGAATTCTTTTGGGTTGATATTAGCTACTCGGAACTTGCTAGTAAGTCAATCTTCATGTTAATTAATTACTTCGAAATTGCTGACATTTGTATATCTTTTGTAGTACTTCCATATTTAGCCTTTGAAGGAGCAACAAAGAAAAACAGACCAGAGATCAATGTTGGTGACTTAGTATACGCTAAAGTTGTGCTTGCTAATCCAGATTTGGAAGCTGAACTTGTTTGTGTTGATTCAACTGGCAAGAAGGGAAAATTAGGAGAACTAAAAGATGGTCTGATGTTTTCATGCAGTATAAATCTTGTACGAAAGATCCTCAATGAAAAATGCAATCTGCTTCACTTGCTGTCTAAAGAATGTCCCTATGAGCTTGTAGCTGCAATTAATGGAAGGATTTGGATTAATACGAAATCTCTTCGTGCTACTATTTTGTTAAGGGACACAATTCTTGAAGCTGAGCATACAGCATATAATCAAATGAAGGATTTAGTCGATAGATTTGCAACTGAATTGACAGGAATAAAAATTTAATTATTTTGAATAAGGAAAAGTATCTTTTTTATTGTTATTCCTTCATAATGTTCACAATATAGTTATTACTTAATTAATCTTATTTTCTTAAACTGTTGAGGTTTGAATATACTTTGTTACAGCTTTGGTTCCTTCAGATACGCCGTGCTTGCCCAATTCCCCTGGCAATAACAGGCGAGAAGCTGTTTGGATCTCACGACTAGTGATTGTATGACGCTTATTGTAATGAGCTAGGATGAACATAGTTTAAAATTAATGTACATGAAATTTATTCCTTATTTACCCAAAGTGAGGCTTTCGCCAATAAGACGATCGAAAACATCATTAACAAAGTTATTCATGATGCTCATTGCTTTTGCTGAAATGCCAACATCTGGATGAACCTAAATTATAGATAAAATGAGTTATTTGAACATCCAGCAATGAATTTAACCTAACTTACCTGCTTTAATACTTTGAAAATATAGATGCTGTAAGATTCTTTGCGAGCCTTTCTATTTTTCTTTCCAGTCAACGACTTGTTAATCTTAATGGTCTTTTTTGCCTTACCAACTGCTTTCTTTCCTGCCATTTTATCAATATTTTACTTAATAAAATTTAATTTTCACTAAAACACGTCTGTTCTCTTCAAGAGCTGATTTTGAATTGATAAATTTCATACAAAATTATGACAGTTACAAACACTTCAACAAGAATTTGAAACGTGTTTGTTGGTGAAAATGAGTAAAAGCAATAGTGGCAAGAAAAATCCAATAAAGAAGGCTGGTCGCAAGGATTTCGAGACTCGATATGATCCATTGTTTAATACTTCAAATAAATCAAGTGAGTTTTAATATAATTTACATCAATTTTGATCCAAAATTGAAAAATTTACAGAAGAAAAGCTAGCAAGCAGCTTAACGCCAGAACAAGACCGACGTAAGACGATTCACAGTGAAATTCCAAATATATTGAAGAGAAACATTGCAGCACTAAGTGAATCAACTGAAAGCATTAAACTCACAGACTTTGGGAAGTCATTTACAGCTGTTGATGACAAAAGTCCTCCAAAAAAGAAGTCAAAGTCATTGTTCGATAAATTACAGTATGATGACTCCCAAAACATTGAAATCGCACCTTCTGGATTTGAAAATAAACGTCTAAAGCACTTAAGAGATGAATTAAAGCCTCAAGTAATGTTCAGTTCACCATCAATTTTGAATGAAAAGCCGAGCATTCCACGATCACCAGAACAAAAATTCCCAACTACAGCATATAATGTGAATTCATCAGCTGTTGATGAATTTGATAAGTTAAAACTTCTTGAAAATCAAGTAAATGTTTCAAAAGACAATTCCAACGAAGAAAGAACCATTAATGATAATGGTAAGGATGAAAATACTTCAAAAGATAAGAAAAAGAAGAATTTGGGCGAGGAAAAATCTGTTACTGATACAAGCTCTTCATCATCACACTCGGCTATCATCAACAATTCGACAAAGATTGATGAAAACATCATTAAGAACTATCGAAATAGTTTCAAGGGGTTTAGACGTATGCTGAGCAGCATTAAGAGTATTAAGTAAGTTTAACTGTTGTTAATTGTTTATTGATCGAGAGATTTTGTTCATTAATGATCTAAGTTGTGTCTAATAGAGCTTATTTTATGATTTATCTATACTTTGAATATCCTGCTAATGTACCAAAGTTGCGATCTGTCACAGGTCAACGAAAACAGCCCACCTTTCACAGGCCGTCACCTGTTCACAGGTCAATTTTTTCCATCTGTCACAGCTCTGACCTGTCGCAGGCCTCACCTGTTGACAGGTAGAAAAAATCTACCTGTCACAGGTTTGACCTGTCACCTTTGACTATTAAAATTTTATTCTTCTTGTGAAGTATAAAGGGTTTGGTACATTAGATTCTGTTCTAATTTGAATCGCAGTGCCTCCAGCTGAAAGGCTGGGCCCTTCACACATTATTATTATTATTGAAGTATAAAGATTTTATACAAAATTCATCAATTTTTTTTTCTTCCTCAAGTCACGGGTTCAAATCTCACCGCAAGCAACTTTCTTTTTTTGCATTTTTATGATTTGTTTTTAAACTTTTTTGATAGGGGCCGTTCACTTATTACGTTACGCAAAAAAAAGACTTTTTTCACCCCCCCTCCCCCCATTTTTACAATATGTTAAAACTCACAACCCCCCCCCCCCCCGTGAACGTTCATAATTTTATTTTATTTCTTTTAAATCTAAAAATACGGCTAAATATCTTTTGTATTTTTTTTCTTAAACATCAAAATATTGTACAGCTAAATAGGTCATGTTTTGATTGATACTATTAGTATTCTCATGAAGTATTAGATTGAGATATAAAGCAAAAATTTGTTTTTTTTGAAGAAAATTCAAAAATGTCATGAAAAATATTATGCCCGATCGAGTTTTGGAAAATTCAATCAACTTTGAATGTAAATATCACAATGATGGGATCATATTAATCATCATATGAACGACAGATTTAGAGAGATTTACTTTTAAACTTATGATTGATTTAATTTTGAAAATTTCCACAAATTATGATTGTATTTTAAAGTCTTGTAAACCAGTTTTCTATTGATTTGTTACTTTATATAGCAAACAAAAATTATGTATTGCTTAGCTATCAAAAGTGATCTGGACATTCATAAACCATTAAAAAGGTGGAAAATTTAAAAAAATGTTTTTGGTGTGAATTTGTAAACAAATTTTTTTCGTGAACTTTTTTTTAAAAGACAGACGACAATTAGAACGTTACATACTTCTTGACCACCCCCCCCCCCCCCTATGTTACCTTTTGTTACAATTTTTCAAACCCCCCCTTCCCCCTAAAGTGCGAACGTAATAAGTGAACGGCCCCATATAACATTAAGTTTTATGACAAAGTTTTCCATTTTCATATTTTATTTCTTCACTTTCTATATTTTAAATTTTTTTCATATATTTTCATACAAATTCAACTTTTTTGTCATATTTTTAATCTGTTGCATAGGATAGACAGAATAATTCTGCAGAATTCTGCTCAACAGTTGCGCAACAATTCTGCAGAATTATTCTGATAAATTCTGCAGAATAATTCTGATGACAACATAATAATTCTGAAGATTAATTCTGATGAATGTTGCGTGACATGGATGTAGCAAAACCAGAATAATTCTGAAGAACTTATTTTTATTCTGCAGAATTATTTTGTTGAATTTTTTTTCAGAATTTCACAAAACAAATCAGAAACATTTTTTTCCAAATTCTCCATAATTAAAAGTTCTGATGAACAACTTTATGAGAATGTGACTAAAGACACAATTACAAATTAACATGGAAATTAAAATAGGAGTGCAACATTTTTCAGAGTTCTGAACACAATTCAATTCAATTTCAATTTATTCATCTTAAATTGTGCAACAGTGTGCAACCTTTAAGCGCTACACTTTTGTTTTTAACATTAAAAATCTATATTAAAAAATTAACATTAAATCTATATTATGTACGCTAGCTCAATGTTTAGCGCATAATCTTCACTAAGCAGTTGTGTATCTAGTACCCAATTAAAAACTGTTATAGATCTTTAGAACAAGTGTTCATATCGGCTCTTGTTTCAATTTTCAGTAGGTCACAATGTCTCCAGATCCGTTCCAGTAAAAGCCCTTCGTGGTGAATTTACAGCTCTCGTTTCTTTCTCATTTTGTCTACATAATTCTTGTCTCATTCCCACATCTCACATTGCCTAATTCTTAGTTTTACGTCTTAAACTGCTGCACGTAAAAAGCCGAAGAATCTAAACTTCTGAAAATCTCTAGGCTGGTGATGGGATTTGAACCCGAGAGTGCAAATTCGACTCGAAATTTTGTGACCTGTACCTGCCAACTGAGCTATCAAGACACTTTTGCAACGGATTTTTGTATTATCAGTTTATAGCGTCATATTTTGATAAACGGATCATCACTATATAATAACGGAGATATAATAAGTTCCAAATAAAGCTAAAAAATTTAATGACCAATAAAAATCTAGTAGATAAACAAATCCTCGAATTTTTAAAGAATTGCTCAGTTTGTGGCTGTTCAACCACGATACCTAGCAATAATTACTCAGTTTTTAATCCATATGTTGCTTTTACAGTTAAATTTACACGTTGAAGAAAATGGATAACAAAAACTAATATTTTGCGTCTTTTAATTATTTACTTTTAAAAAATAATCGTGTCGAATTCGATCTCGAAAATTGAATATTCAAAAATTTCATCAAATTTTGTACGCTTTTGTATATAATCTTCAATTGAAGTTTTAATAATGAATAATTTTTTCGAACTATTCAAGGCTTTAAACCAGAGGAGCAAAAGGAAAATATTGGCAAAGTCAAAAGCAATTCCTTATCAATTCTGTTTCAAACTTAGTGAAACACTGAAAAATGTGGTACTCCTATTTTAATTTCCATATTAATTTGTAATTGTGGAAAAACAAAGTCTTTAACCATATTCTCGTAAAGTTATTCATCAGAACTTTTAATTATACAGAACTTGGAAAAAAATGTTTCTGATTTGTTTTGTGAAATTCTGAAAAAAAAATTCAACAAAATAATTCTGCAGAATAAAAATAAGTTCTTCAGAATTATTCTGGTTTTGTTACATCCATGTCACGCAACATTCATCAGAATTAATCTTCAGAATTATTATGTTGTCATCAGAATTATTCTGCTGAATTTATCAGAATAATTCTGCAGAATTGTTGCGCAACTGTTGAGCAGAATTCTGCAGAATTATTCTGTCTATCCTATGCAACACGCCCGAAAAAATTTAAAATACATGTTAAAATATAGAAAGTGAAGAAATAAAATATGAAAATGGAAAACTTTGTCATAAAACTTAATGTTATATCAAAAAAGTTTAAAAACAAATCATAAAAATGCAAAAAAAGAAAGTTGCTTGCGGTGAGATTTGAACCTGTGACTTAAAGAAGAAAAAAAAATGATGAATTTTGTATAAAATCTTTATACTTCAATAATAATAATAATGTGTGGCCCAGCCTTTCAGCTGGAGGCACTGCGATTCAAATTAGAACAGAATCTATTGTACCACACCCTTAATACTTCATAAGAAGAATAAAATTTTGGATAGTCAAAGGTGACAGGTCAAACCTGTGACAGGTAGATTTTTTCTGCGACAGGTCAGAGCTGTGACAGGTGGAAAAAATTGACCTGTCAACAGGCTATGGCCTGTGACAGGTGATCTTTTGACAGAAACTGTCACCTTTACCTGTGACAGGTACCTGTCGTCGAAACTCTGTTTCAGCAGTACAAACCTTAACTTGACTAATTATCCTCTTATTTTAGCGATAAAATTGTAGCATTTCGTCAAGAGCTGTCTGAAGGCATCATTTGTGACTTTCCAAGTTCAATATAGCATTAACAGTTAAACAATTAATTATAAAAATTATTTTAAACATACATATACATAAATATCTATAAATGCTGTCCACAACAGGTAATTAAAAAAGACTTACTGTCTTAAAGCTGAAAAAATAAAATTTTACAATTTAAAACAAAAATGATTTCAAATTTTTTCTATTTTCTTTTTATTTCGGTTCATTTTTTAAACATTTTTTTTCTTTCTTTCGTGAACACAAAGAATCTTTTGTCTCTTATTTTAATTTCATTTTATCATCTTTTTTTTGTAAATTGCAATTTATTTCACTTTTTGGCTAATTTTTTTCGTTTTAATTTTATCCTTTTTTATTATAAAAATTAAAGTTCATTAACAAACTGATTATTTAAACTTTCTTTTTTATCATATCTCTCAATTTTTTGGAATTTCATTTTTTCACTTTTTTATTAAGAAAAAAGACACTAAAAAAATTTACCTAAATGATTTTACATTGATCATGTCAATTCATTCTTGTATTTTAATGATGTGAATGGATTTTTTCAAACTTTTTTTTAAGGTTTTGTGAAATATAAATTGAAACGTTCCGATGAAATGCATAAATTGAATTTATTATTATTTTTCATATTATCATCTCTTTTGGTATGAAAAAAATGTAATTTACACTTAAAATATTGAGTATCATTAACCAAATTAATTGAGTTTTGAGAAATTGCTGCTTTTTTTGATGTTCAAATAAAGTTTTCATTGATTTCATAAAAAGTTGATTCGAATCGACGATAAAAGTTGATCATGATAACGCTAATGAAGATCACAAAATTACTTTAATCAAAAAACTATCGTCTTTTGAATTGAAAGTGTTTTTAAACAGATTTAAGCGAGTTTTTAAGAACTATAGATTCGAAAACTAATGAATTAATTGAGAAAGCAATTTTTATTTGAAGTTTAGATTCTTATGAAGGTTAAAGCTTTTGGAGGGTCTGCTAAGAATTAGAAAACGTAAAGTAGTCATTTAAACAGGAAACAAAACTTGCTTAAAAGTCAGCTCAAGCTACATAGTTTCTAAAGGTTTAAGACAGAAAAATGAATTTGTAGGATAAAAAATTTAAGGAAACTGTTCAGAAACCCATTAAAAGTTATTTAAACATCTTAAGATCGAATTCAGAAAGGAGCTTTATCAAACATTAAACATTTAAGAAAAGCTCATTTAAAAATTTTCAAGCAATTTCTCGAAATGAATTAATTTAGTTGATCAATTTAATTTTTATTTCTTCAATGAGAAATATCATCAAAAATTCATTATTTATTATAATTTATAATATACTAAGTTCATTTTTGAAAATTTAAATATAATTCTTTAAACTTTCTAATTATAAATTTTTCTCTTTTTGTCAATTAGCGATTTCTTTGTTTATAATCTAAATCAATATTATCTTCTATCAATTCCAAGTATTTTCTTTTTTACTTAAATCATTTATTAATTTTTCAACAAATTTTTTATCCCCTTATTTCCATTTTTATTATTGGTTTTGCTTGTCATCGAAAAATATTTTCAATTTTTCCCATTTTTTTAAATTTAATAGTGTTTTTTAATTTATTTTAAAAGTGTGCGAAATATGAAGTGATTGTGTCATGAAATGTCATCAACATTAGATTGCAGATTGTGATGAGTGTCAACAGGTTAAGGAAGATAGGTAAATCAACAAATAAACCCGAAAAAGCTATTTTATATATTTCGTTTTTTTGCAGCAGTTTTAATGGTCACTATTATTGAATATTTCACTTCATAATTTTTATTTTATTGGTCACGAGTTCATCATATATTTCTTTAAGCCTTAAACGAGGTAAGTAATTTATGCAGAATATTACGTGATTTTTTTTTTATTATTTTTTTCGTCATTTATTAAAACACATTTGTAAAAGACTGAAAACCCTTTCCATCCCGAAAAATATTCTCTTTAACATCATTTCCTTTATTTCATCATTATCATAATATATTTTTTATTATTTTTTTGTGCAATTAGTAGAAGGTAAAAATGGAGTTGTCTGCCTGCCTGTATGTATATAGATTCCTGGATGAGATTAAAATCTTCATAATGTCTTACGAAAATAAAATTTTTCGAAGATTGTCGGAAATTGAAATTGAAGAAACCATTTTTAAAAAAATGGGGACAAAATCATTTTAGTAAAAAAGATTAGGTAGAAATCAACTTGATCTCATTCTTTATTCAGAATAATATATTTTTCTCACTTTTAAATTTTAATTTTTAAACATTCGTTTCATTTATTTATCCAATATGGAATATATTTTTTAAGTTCTTTTTATTTTTTTCTTGCTCATTTTAAGTAATTTTCATTTTAAAAAATATCATTTTTTAATCTTTTAAATTTTAAATATACGTCATTAATTTTATTTCATCTCTTTTTAATGCAACAACAAATAGATACTATTTGTCATAACATCAGTTTTTAAATATTTTTGTTTAATTTTATTAGATTTTATTTGAATTTTATTTTGAAAATTAATTTACATGAAAAGTTTCTCCCTCAATTGAAATTAATTATTTATAATCAGTACCGTTTTTATGATCAAAAGTGCTCCAATAAGACTAATATTTTGTGACTGAACTTGAGGGGTCTGCTCAAAATTTGTCGTAAGACTTATAAACAAGCTTAAAGTATTTGAACATGAAATAAATTTCATTAGAAAGCAGCAAATGCTTAGTGATTAGAGTGTATTGACCCTGGTTTGATATCAGAGAATTTCTAGTCGGGTTTGGATGTTTTTTTGCTATTCTAGTCGAATCAACTCAGATTCGTTTGAGTCGCGACACACAAACTGTGAATAGGCAAATTACATTAATATACCCTGGATCTTGCAATTGTGAAGAGCTACAGGAATCAATCGTAGGTAAAGACGAAAATATATCATTTCGATGTCTAGTGCATCAAAATCAATAGTTTAAGTGATTAAGTCAACATTAAAGATGAGATAACCAATTGTAATTTTGAATCATGAAAGCTCCGACAAACTTTAAAGTTTAGTCGACATCCAATCAGATGAGTTTGAATAATACTGAGCAGTTTAAAAGTTTTCGTGATAATGAAGCTAATAAGAAGTTTTTCATGACAAACAGAATCATCAAAGTTTTGAATATTTTATATGCTTTTGGTCCGACTAATCAACAATGTGAACGACGTCGACGATTAAGGAATCATTTTTCATGTAAATTAACTTTTGACTTTTATTGGCTCGATTTTTTAAGCGGCAAAAATTTTAATACACTTTTTTCATATTCAAACAGTTTTTAAAAAATAAATTTCATCAGACTTTAATTCACTTTTTTTTTATTTAATATAAAATCCTTTTTTCAATTTTACCTATTTTAAGGTTTCCCCGTCAATTTCTTACTTTACGTCCAACTTTGATTTTCGCTTGGAAAAATAAAATAATAAAAAAGTTCATATTTTAACAACTCAATTCGGTGGGGTGGATTAAAAGAGTTCTTAAAATTCTTGTGTGTTAAAATGAATGAAAATTTGATGAAGAATGCTTGCGAGAATTTGGAAATGAAAGAAAATTTTGATGGATTTAAGAAAACTTGGTTTTTATCACACTTTTTGTTTGCACTTGATACTACAAATGCAATTTTGAAAGATTTATGAGCTGATAAATAATTAATATTTCTAATTAACTTGACTTACACAAAATTTGATGTGTCAAAATTTTAAACTTTAAAAACGTCATGATTAAATGAATAAAAACAAACAAAATTAATGAACTGTGAAATATTTTTTAAATGCTATAATAACAAAATTCTATGTAAAATTCCTCATTTTGCCTTTTTTATATAAAAATCTCCGATATTCCTATAATATAAAATATACATACGTATGAAACTCATCGATAGATTTACTTTTATCATTAGTATTGTAATTTCGTTTTAATTTTTCTACAATTCATCTCTATTTCCTTTTTTCTTTGAAAAATTCAAGAAATGAAAATTATTCTTTTTATCTTCACGATTTTTTTTTTTGCTTTTTGTCGAAAAGTTTTCTTTTTAGTAACATCGATAATTTTAAAGAATGTCAATTTGACATAAAAAAAGTTGAGAAGCATAATCTCCTCCTTTAAAAAAAATGTTTCCTTTTTAACTTTTACAGAACATTTTACAATAGAAAAAAGTGAACTTATCATGTACACTCGTATTTTATTCCGTATGTATGTATGTGAATGAGAGTATAATGGAAGGAGTTGAAATGTATGAGAACTAAAGTCTAGAAATATATAACCCAGTTGTCGTCTTTCTCTAAATAAAGTTGTAATGATAAGCTTAAAGTAATACATAGTCAGTGGTTCTCAAACTTTAAACTTTGGCACTCTAGTTATATGTAGGTCTACCTCAAACTCTTCAGAAAATAAAATTTTCTCCTAGTTTTCAAGTCGATGAGCTTCCTTGGAATGATCCTAGCTCCAAAGCTCTCCAACCTATTTAAACTATCTATCCTGGTCTAGTATATGATTTAATCTATAGTAAGTAACCTGGCCAAAATGGCGATTACTGTGCCACGAAACTAAAAAGTTTGAGAATCACTGATTTATAGAGTGAAGTGCAGTCAATTGGAAGCTTTCGAGTAGCTGTGATTTTTCAGATAGTTGTAAAAACTTTTCATTCTTTATTATTTGGCATGTACAAGAATATGGGCATTGTTGGTTTGATAATTCAAATACCCCCCCCCCCCCTTCTCTCTCTCTCCGCTACGTATTTAGTTCTTAGAGTCTGAAGTTTAGGACCATTCAAAAAGTTCAGGGGGGGGGGGTCTAAAAGCTTACTTTATTATATTAGATATCATTTATGAATGTCCAAAAAAGGAAATTGAAAGAAAATGAATTTCTTCTTGATGATCATCGTATAAACTTCTAATTTTTCTACAGACTGAATTGAATTGTCTCTTTGCGGGTAGTATCTATGTATATCTGAGTATTATATATACTTAGGTATAAGGACATTTTGTGTAAATTGAAATAATATATTTTTCTTTTGTGAATTGTGTACCAGGTGGGAATGTTCCGTGGATATTATCAGGAATTGTATTCATAGGGAGAACAACATTATTGAAGGAGAAAATTGTAACTATTAAAGCTTACATGGAGACATTTAGTCACCATTCTTCGTGATTGCATGCCACATACGAAAAGTACATAGAGATTAAGCTTAAAAGATAGCTCGAAAGCTTCCGTATTCAGTGTATATTCTGGTATGGAAGAAATAAAAATGCCGATGCCATAAGCTCACATATAGTCATCTCACAAAGCTTTTGAGAATTGCATGTAATTTATATTATTTTAAGACCCAACAATAAATAAACTCTTTTTTTACCTTCTATTTCACATATCTGCTTTTTTTGTAAAATTTTAAGAACTTTTTTTTTATTAAAAATCTTCTAGAATAACATTTTATTATTTTTTTTCCTCTCACTTTGCAAAAAGAAAATAAAAATATTTAAATATCATTCTTTCATAATTACTAAATCAACCACACATTTATTATAAATTTTTATCTAATAATCTTTATCATTTTTTAATAATTTTCATTTTTGCTTTTCTCACTCAATATTTATAGCATCATCCAATGCATCTCACTCTTGTTTACTGTCGTTTTGGGTTGGGAAAATGATAAAATTCATTCACTGGAGTGAAAGTGATGTTTGTATCACTTTCTTATCGAATTTAGCTCTACACTAGCTTCATGCCCGTCTGGTGCTAGATATTTTCTACTTGTGCTAAACAAATTGCTTCTTATCGGAAGATCAATGAGCTTTAATTTCAAAAGTTCGTTAATCAGGACTTTACTATACGCACTGGATGATGCTATACATACTATTTTGAAGATAATTTTATTATTTTTTTTAAATATCAGTTTTGTTTCATAATTATTTATTTCTTCTTTTTTGTGCACGGTGCAATTTTTCATATTTCTTAAATTTACTATTATTTGCATCGATTTAAATATATATATATTTATTTATTTTTTTGTCTATTCGTCAATGTGACGAAACCGATAAATCTCATCGATATAAATCTTAATTATTTTACGCGATAACATTTTGATATCGACGACGAGAAATATTTTTTAACTTTCCGAAATGATTATTCCTAAAATTTTATTTTAATAATTTTTTCACACTTTTTTTTTTCTATCTTCATTTGCGCAAATAATTCATCTGACTGCTTTATTGATCCTTTTTGTTTTGAACATTTTTTCTTTCTCGTTATTGTAATTTGAGAAAATGATTTGATTTAAAAAATCAATTTTCTGCTTCTTTGATTTATTAATTTAATTAAGTAGCCGTTTAGTAGTATAGAATTTGTTTCCTATTTCAACTTTTTGCATAAAGATTCTTAGTTTTTTAACTGTTGATATAAAGAAGTAGAAGATTTTTCTGTTAAATTAAGTGCTGTTGGAATCACAAAAATATTTTTAAGTAGCATTATTTTGAATTTAAAGAATCATAACTGATTGCAATTCAAGTTTGAATTCAAGATCAAATAATCCGAGAAGCTATCATTTTGTCGTTAAAAAAGAATTAATCATTCATCAAAACTCAAAAGTTGAACAAATTGTAGAAATGATATGAAGTTCTTATATCAATTCATTGAGTCGCTCGGACGAATGCTTCAAACCTAGCAAAAAAAAAACATAGTTTTGTACGAATATTGTAAATCTTACAAACTAAAGTTTGATAAAATATTTTAAATTGCATAAACAGAAACTTCAAATATTGAAAATAAAACTAAAATACAAGATTGTTTTGCAATTTATCACTAGTTGGGGCAATTATTGAGCAATTAAGATTAATTTTTCCTAAAATATAGTTTTCTTATGAAAATAATTGATAGAATTTGACTAAGATTTAACTGCATAGAAGTTAGTGTGCGTAGTAATTAGTTCCATTAAGTTTGCCTACTCATATTAAGTCAAAGAAAATGATTTTAAACTTCTTTTGAATTATTCTATTTAGGCGATATTTCTTGTTCTGCTCAGTATATTATTTTTTTAACTTTTAGATCAATCCTAATAGCCAAATGAAAGTTGATATTTAAAATTAAATTTATCAAAGGAAGAAATAAGACATTTGAAATTTTAATCTCTCTGATCACAATTTACGTTTTCGGCCATGTCATTTGGTGTGGGTTATGGCTATTAGGACAGTATCTTGTATATAATAGTTTCCATTTCTTCTCTTATGATGTCCTTTATCATGATAAATGTATCAAAAACTAATCTTTATAGAAATATCATTTGATTTATTATTATTATTGTTATTCTCATTTAATGTGTGTATAAATAGTTCCTCTCTCTCTCGCGTATGTCTCTCATGCATGAACGGATTTAATTGTCTCATTCACATGTATGTAAAATTTATATTTTATTTTTTTCTGTCCACTAGAAATAAAAAATGCAATTTTTCATTCATTACTTGATTAATGGCTACTCGTTTTCATGTATTTTTCTTGCTGTATTGTGGAAAGCCATCTACATATAGATGAAAAATTCATTTATTTAAAACACGTTTTTATAATTCAATGCATTTTTCGGTTGCCTATAGAGTGCATGGATGCGCATGAAAGATCTATGGAAAATGAAAATTGCAATGAGTTTTTTCCTATCATAATTTTTTTGTAGGTTATCTCTTCGTAGAAGAGACTGAATAAAACCTTTTCTGTGGTGTACTGCTGACTATAATATATGCCAGATTTTTTTGTTTCTCATATCTAAAGTCATTAATTTCAATTAAATATGTCAATTAAAAAATGAGGTTAAATTGTAACTGGAAAGTTATCATCGGAAAATTTTATATTTTGTTCATATGCCAATGGTGAATGCTGGCTTGCAGAGGTGTAGCTTTATAAACTTGAATTTGGCAAGGGGGGGGGGGGGGGGGGGGGTGGAAGAGGTGTTGAGTTTTTTGTTGAGAAGCACTTGTCATTAAAGTAGTTTTTACTCTAGAAAAGATGATTTAACAACCAACTGGACCTCTTCATCCTCATCCCACCCATGTCACGCCAATAAGAACAAATTGAAAATTGAAAAATTTCATTTAGATGATCACTATAAAGAGCGAAAACATGAAATGTTGGCGAGCGCAAAAAGAAATCCTTTATCGAAATTGAAACTGAAAAGGCTATGCTGCATTAGCATAAAATGGAAATATTAAGGCGCTTGTCCTACTATTAGACTGACTCAAATAATGATAGGCGTTCGTTTTTGAAAGATTGGCATTCTTTTTATCTTCATAATATCTGGCTATGTTAATACTCTGAAACAATCCCGAGCAGCACATATAGAGAAACTCTAATCTACAAAGAACTAGAACAGCGATTGATAATTACTATAATTTTTAATTCAGTTCTAGCTCTTGGTTTGCTGTCAAAGCATCCTCAATTCTCTATAACATTTGGTGACTTGAGAGTGCCTTGGAAACTTTGCTGTGCCACTCGAGACTGTTCATTTAAAGTGCGCTTAAAATCCGTATTACGGATCTTTTTTACTTTGAATTAGTCAGTGCTATTTAGCTTTTTTCAATAAGAATCATGTTGGAATGTTTTTTTTTGCTACAGTCAGTATGATTACCTTCACTTATGATTTAATTAAATTTTCATCGGCAGTAGTTTTGTTTTTTAAAAAATATTTTTCATTTCTCTTTTTTGATATCTATCAGATTTAATTCACATTTTCCCTTTTTTTAAAAAATACTTTTTTTCTGTTCACGTTAAAAAATCTTTTTTTTATTTGTTTCGATATAATTCCATTTTTTTATCGTCATATTTTTTTAAATATATTTTTTCTCCCTCATTCTGTGTGCATTTTCATTTCACTCGCTGTTTTTTTTAAATAAACTTTTTTTTCATATAAATTTTATTAATTAATTATATTCACCTAGTACACTAATTGAATTAATAATAGTCAATTTAATATTAATTTTTTTTAAAATATAATTATCTCCCAGTAGCTAAGATGTTAGTGGATGTCAGATTTGGATTAACTTACATCGTTTGGCTAATCGGAGTTCTCCTACTTCTATTGAACTATTATATGCGGAGCTGACAGTAGAACGGTAACTGTAGCGATTATTGTAAATAATGTAAATACGAATAGGCAAAATCTGTAAAGAAAATGAGGACATGAAGTATTTTATTTGCCAAATAATGCTCATCTTATTGTGTCTAGAGCTTTATGACACAACATAAAAATGGAGGGATTCAATAGATTTAAATTTGATCAGGTCATATAGATAAAAAAGGGGATGTCTATTAACACTCAAATGTCTCTTACCTATCAACAACCATTGCGGCAAATTTCCAGTCACTGACTATCTCAGCCTCATCATCTGCCTTCTTCATACGAGCAGTAATAAATTGCAATTCTTTAAGAATATAATGAAGATCTTTATGTGTACAGCCTCCTGATATTGAATTATGATCATCTATTGTTGTTGGTCTAGTAAATCTGTAAATTTTCAAATTGTTAGAATTATTGAAAAAATTTGACAGATTTGACACCAAACAGAACATGACAATAATAAAGTGTACATAGATTTTAAACATTTAACAAACCATTTCTAGTAATAACTTACGCTGTTGACCCTATTGCTGTGGTTGAACCCGTCATTCCACTTACATGTCGAAAGTCATCATCTATATCTAATACATTAGCTAACAGTGATTTCGATGATCGCTCTTTTAACTCGAGCTCTTTCATACGATTACTAAGCATAATTGTTTTCCTAGTTATTTTTTTACCCGGTCGACTCATTCTTAAAATCCATGGAAGCCATTGAAGAAACACCGATTTAATCTAAAAAAGTTTTTAAACATTTAATTAGTTTTTAGATGACACAGCATTTGAATTAGTTTTGTTCAACTTCGAATAAGAGGAATAAAGTCGAATCAATTCAATTTGGTTTGGAAAAGTCTAGTTGAGTAGACTCAACTCCATATAAAACTCAAGTCGACTTCGAGAAGTGCTTCGAATAACAGATCTCAAATGGGACTGAAACCAGCTCGAGATACTCTCCATGCACCCTATTCAAATTACTATAGAACTAAGTTAACTCACCCATTGTGGCATCTCGTGAATATCGGCAGTTCGATGATGATAATTTAAAACAACTACTGTCAGTACGACTGATGATGCAACCATGAACATTATGCAATTAAAATATGTACCTATGGGTGTTGCATCGTATGTTGTTTTCATATTTGTTCGACGAAAGTGAAAATGCGAGAAAAAAACAAAATGTTAGCGATGTGTCCGACAAACGTAAATGTTCATGTATTTAAAAAATTGATTTAAAAAAAAGAGGAAATTATTGGAAACAAAAAAAAATTACATTTCAATGGTCAAACATTACAAAAGTCGGAATAAAAAAAAAATGTAAAATGTAAAATGATTGTAAAAAATAAAAAAAAAATATTTGGCATGCAATCACTTTAGGAATGTTCGCAATAAAACATACAAATGGAGAGAAAAAAGCTTGGGCATTAAAATCAACATTTAACAAAACAATTCATGTAGAGTTGCGGCAGCAGTATCGATCAGAAAAATCGATACCAATGGTTATTCCTTTCCAATTTTTATGACTATGTTGACAATTTTTATTTTCATATTTTGCTGATCGATTCAATTGCTGCCTTGATTTTTCTTTTCTTCATCCGACTGTCACATGCTTAACAGTGTACAATTGTGCCATGTAAATGGCCAGAATGGATATGTATAGCTGCTTAGTTAATAGAAATTCATGCATTAAATATTAAACATTATCTCCTCCTTATTTTGTCTAAAGCTCACAACATTCTCTCTATTGCTATTATCTTTTACTTTAAGGGATTTAGTATTTTTTCTCATTTTTTTCTATATGATATTTATTCAGCATGGCATAAAAAAAATATATGGATAAAAATGAGGAAACAGTTAAATAATAATAATAATGAATCTATTGACAATATTGATATTTTCAATAAAATAAATCTATAAAATGATAAGGAAATACTTTCAATATTCACACGAATCTATTTTGCTATGAAAATGCTCATTTTGAATTTTGAGAGACGCAAGTCCTCACCGACAGAAAACTGTTTGCTTTCTTTTAATTAAATAACCTCAGAAACCTCTCGAATTTTAAACTACACCCATCTAGAGCCTCACGCATACAAAAGCGATCAGTGTTGCAAATGTAGATGTCTATACTAGATGAAGAATGTAGATTCTTCAATAGTTTTTGTCTAGCTAAGAAACTTTCTTCATAAAGATCGATTCTTCATGTAGAAAGAAAAAAAACATCTACATGTAGATTGTGTCTACATGTAGAATCTGTCTACATGTAGATTCGATGTAGATGTCTATAATTCTACATTTTTTCCAGGTCTACATCAGAGAAGAATGTAGAATCGTAGACATCTACATTAAATCTACATGTAGACAGATTCTACATGTAGACACAATCTACATGTAGATGGTTTTTTTCTTTCTACATGTAGAATCGATTTTATGAAGAAATTTCTGTCTCAGAATTTATCTGATCCATACAAATGGCCAGAATGCAACACTGAAAGCGATTCATGCGAATATGAATGCTAGGCTTCGAATTCCTTTCAACAAACACAAGTGTAAGAAAATGAAAATGAATTTTAACATATCTACATCTAACATCTATTCAGTATACACACACATGACATCTAAGTTATGCTAGATATTTCTGACATTACTTTCTTATGTGTGCAATAAATTTTCAAATTTATTTATTTTTCTCTTGCAATTTAATTTAATTTATTCAAATTCAAATTTTTTTTATTGGCGAAGACAGAAAGATTTAGCTTCTAAGAAATATGAGCTTTTATTATTTATTTATTCTACACGTAGTGAAGCAAAGATTTAATAATAGAAGAAGAAATTGATTTAGTAATTCTACATGAAAAATTTAACTTTTATTCTTTATTTTATTTTTCTTTCATTTAATATAATTTTTAATTTGGTGGTGGTTTTTATTTGGAAGAATTGAACCTTCCATGAGATTTTGAAAGTTTTTATTTGAAATATTTTAGATCTGATTTTTTTAGGGGTGTCTTTTGTCCTTTTAATCCATTTTTCAATTATATTTCTCAAATTAAAGGTGCTGGATTATTCAATATTAGTTGTTCACTTTCAACTTGATCTTATTCTCTTTAGGAAATGTCTTGCTTGTTCTTTTTTCATTTTTACTGGATGCCCTGATATATAGCTAAAGATTGGCTTTTAAATTATGAAGTTTTACTCCTCTTAATTTTTGATAGAACATTGTTGGCGCTTAAACATTCAATAAATGAACTGACTTTAGTTCAATAGTGATGTATTTATTGCCATTTAAATGAAAATTTGGGTGTAAAATTTTTAAAGTCATTTGTTTGTTTAGTAAGCAAAATTCAAAAGCAATGGCTCAGAATGGTTCAAATCACGCTTAAATTGCACTTTTATTTTGTCTATTGATCCAATTTTACTTGTAATCTCCAAAAGATTCAAATGTATTTTTCAGATAATTCAAAAAACCATTTGCCAAGTGTGATAAAATCTAAAATTGATAAAACTTTTTCAATTACTTCTCTTTTAAAACAATTTATCGAAGATAAAACCTTTTCTTTTATTTTAATTTCAAAAGTCTGGCAAAGTTTTTGCACTTTTTTATATGAATATTGAATAATTCATTTAAGAATATAGCTTTTAATTGTAGAGAAATAGACGACGAATGGATTAGAAGAAAAGAAATCAACCCTAAGTTAATTTTTTTTGTCGTAAAATTCTTTAAGTTTAATGTTCTTTTATTTAAGTTTTGATTGTTCTGTTGTCATAAAAAATTGAAATGAAAAGAATTTTTCTTCAAATAGAAACCAAGAAGTAACAAAAAAAAAACATAGGAAATTAGAATAAAACGAAAAATAATTTTTTATACTTTATGCGTGAATTTTATATCAGTTTATATATTTTATATGGATATTTATTTAAGCGATTCCTGCTTAGGATTTAAATGGGATTTTATTTTGTTTTTTTTTTGTGGATTTGTGATTTATTCGTTAATGGAATTTTTTAAGCGTTGAATTTATTTTAATTTCGGTCAGTTTTTTGTAACAACATTTCTCAACAACAGCTGATTTTTAATTCTATCTAGTTTGTGTGCTTCTGCAATACAACACTATTCGCAACTGTTATTTGAACTGTGTTTTTTGGTTATTTAACTTTTTCGTGCACATTGCAATTAAATTTTAAATTATTTTATCTCCTCATTTTAAGTTTAATTGTAAACGAAGCCGAATTTTATTTAAAAATCAAATTGTTGTTCAAATATTTGAACGTATAATAAAGCGTATTTTATTCATATAAAATGTTCCATGAGCGGGGGAGAAGGAATTAAAATGCATAAAAAGCAGTGATGGAGGGTTATGGGGGGTTTAAAATTAATTTTTGTTATTTACATTTTATATCATTAAAATTTTTTTAAATTTATTCTGTGATTTGAAATGAAGAAGAGAAAGCGTCAAGAATTATTACAAATTAACGCACAAAATTTCAAAATTTTATTTTGCGAATCAACTGTAACAACAAAATTATAATAAATTAAATTCTCTTTGAACAACAATCTTTTAAAAAAAATATTGATACAAAAGTGAATATGCATGAAAAAAAAAACAAAAAATTAAAGTTGTAATAAACCAACAAAAGGTTTGATGATGAAAACGTTAAAGAAGTTAATGAATTATCTTTTTTTTTTATTATTAATTTAATTCAAAATTATAACCATAAAATGACTTAATTAATCTTTTCTTCATAAGTTGTAATTTTTACCATCGTTTAATTGTTTTCTTCATTTTTTTATTAGTCAGATTTAATAAAAATTCAACAATAATGATCTGTTTGTTTTACACATTGTGATGAAAAATGTAAACAGAGTGTATAATGAGTGCTAAGAACTTTCAATTTAATTAAATTTGATTTTAATTGAGTAATTAATTTAATTTTGTTACGTTTTAATATAAAGTATTGTTTTTTTTATATGTAAGTATAATTTTTTAAAGTATTTACATTTTCTTCTTGAAAAATCACATTCAGGTGCTTTTTGAGGGTGAAAATATGAATTCGCAAATTTTTACATGAAGAATTCTTCTTAAAATAAATAAATATTTGAATTGTTATCATGATTTTGAAATTTTTGTATTATGTGATTTGAGAGAACTTTGGAAGTAAGAATTTGAATAGTTTAAATTTTTAAACCTAAACTCCTAAACGAAGCTAATCTTTGCTACCTAAGTATTTGCTGCCTGTACTAGTTCAATAGTTTTAAGACTTTGTAAAATTGTAGCTATTCTCATAAAAAGTCGACTATTGCTTTCAATTCACTAGCTTCACATTAAAGAATTATTTTATTTCCTTTAACTTAAGTTTTTGTCGATGGCTATAAAACATCGAAAAGAAATGGTGCAGCACATTGAGACAAATAAATATTTCGATAAAGCAATAACTTCATATTTGCTAGACGATGTTAATGGTAGTTGTTAAATAAAACTATTTTATGATAAATTTAAAAGATTCAGTGAATTGAAAAGAATTTTTTAAAACTTCTTAGAGACTTCCTTATTGATTTCCATGCAGTTTTCAATTGTCATGTGAATAAAAATTTAATTTTTGTTATTTTAAGAAGAATTGAAATTTTTTTTTGACATTTTAATATGTTTTGTTTTGTTTTGAGAATGAAATTAAATTAAAAACTCAAAGGAAATAAAAGAAAATTTTAATTTTAATTTTTTTATAGGTATTTGTTGTGAAGTAAACATATAATTTTTTACGTGTGACAATATTATATCTGTTGGTGTAAGTGTGAAAGATAAAAATTCTAAATTCTAAGAAGATATTCATATTTTTTGTTTCATATCCAACTCGTAAGTGTGCTCGCTACTTATATAAGACTGTAAGTATAGCAGAGAAGTTTAACAATAGAGAAAAATATAATTGAAATAAGAATATAAAAGAAAGGCACATATGCTTGAAAGATACAATAATACAACAATAGAAAAGAAAACTTTTGAGAAGGCATAGAAAATTATTTAAGTATGGTGAAAACGTATAAAGAGTTTCTTTTCACTTAGAGGAATGTAAGGGATAGAAAGAGATTTTCAGCGAACATTTTGATACAATGTGTGTCAGTTTTATTTAATTTTAATGTTTCTGAAACTTCACACATGTTTGTAAGTACTTTATTGAATCGAACTAGACCAGTTGCAACTTAGAGTGGATCAAAAATTTGCAGCAACATTTATTATTAGTAAAATGAATTTTAAATCTTACAATTGTTCGTATAAAAAAATGCGCGTCTAGCAATTCTAAATATGATTAGAATTCCACAAATTTTCAAGTAATTCCATTGATGTTTTGAGAGCAAGGAAGAGTGTAGAAAAGTTAAATAAGAAGAAAAGGATCTCAAGCATGTGTAAGTAAATAATATGAGCCATGAGTAGATAAAGTGAAAAGATTGTGTTAATTAATTCATTAGTACTTAATTCGCTTTTGTGTTATGGATGAGAAGAGAATAGAAAGAAATAGAAAGAAGAGAAAAGGAAGAAGAAACATTTTTTTTTTGTCAGATTTTTTCATCATAATTGTTTGCGTGTAGGCTAATTGAAATACTTGAAAAATAACAATTCTGCTTAATGCTGTTACTTGCTGGTGATGGTGTGTCATTGCTTTATGTCATTCAGTTACTTTTTGCATCTCAATCAAAAAAAAAAACTTTTTATTTTTTTAATTTCTACTTCTTATGTTTATGTAGTGCGCATAAACATAATTATTATGTTGCATTAAACAAAAACTAAGGATAGGAATAAAGTTTAGAGTACCTAACAGTGGAACTGCTTCTGATGTTTTTGTTATGTGATTAGCCACCAATAGGGAAAAAACTGTTTGTGATAGTAAAATTGTCACTTCTGGAAAAAGTCCATAGATAAGCAAAAAAATCATACAGAATTTATGACCATCTCTGTCATTTCAATATTAAAAAAATATGTATATGAAATATTGAAATCCATCGGATGCTTCAATGCGGAATTAATTAATTCATTTCTCTTCCAATAATAAATTGTCGTTTTATGTAAAATTAATTTATATGCGGGTGAATGAGGGTTGAAATTGGCGAAAATGAAATGTCACTCTCTTTTTTCCGATAATCCATATTTATGACGGTGAATAAGCAATTCTGAATGATCAAAGTTTTTAATGATTTTTTTAAATTTTAATTAACTTTTCTATTTTTAATTCAACGATTTAGCACCATAAGAGCAGCCTGGAGTCCTTACAAAGGGTCTGATAGGCCGTAAACCACTGCAAAAAATCTTCAGGCTATGTCCCAGTTACTCAAATAATTAATTAAATGCTAATGATAAAATTACGATTTTTTTTTTCAAAATCAATCCCAAAAAGTCTGAATTGCAGCACTAGAGTTAAATAATTTTTTGCCGTTATTTTAACACATTTTTGATTATTAATTCCAAAAAAGCGTCTGTTGTAAGAATTTACATTTTAAATTAAAAGCTTTTTAACAAAATATTTTTAATGAGTGAATTGAGTGTGATTTTTGTACACATAATAAATTTTATTTCATTAAAGTTTGTTTATCAGTTTTAATTTTTTTTATATTTATTTAAATTTTATTGATGATTTCTTCATTCTACTGTTAAATTTATGTTCGTGCGATATAATTAATTATAGTGCAAAAAGCTTTTATGCAGTAAATTTTTATTTATGTTAAATCGGTTTATTTTAAAAATTTTATGTAATTTTATAAACGATGCAAACTTTATCAGACTTTAGCTTTAATTATTTGATTGTTAAAATTCTAATAAAGTTTCAAAGTTTGAAATTATCGACGAATGAAGAAAACAATCAATGATGGTAATTTTTATAAGTTTTTAAATTTCGTCTTTAAATTACTAATTTATTATTGTTTTATTTAGACAAAAATTAAAAGAAATGTCTTTAATATTCAATTTAAAAAGGATAGTTTAAAAAGTAGCAATATTAAAACACATTTTTCGTAAATCAATTGAACAACAAGGTATATAGAATATAGAATATTAAGTATTTATAGTCCGAATAGACGTTAAAATAACCATTTAAATTCAAAATTAAACTCATAAAAAGCTTTTCAACTTAATAGTCATCAAACACTTTAGTTTATATTAAAGCCACTCAAAGATATTTCGAATTAAGAGAAAAATAAAAAGTTGAAAGAACACTCAACAAAATATGGAAGAATAAAACTTTTCATATCTCTCATCTTTTTTTCTTATTCGAAAACAAAATAAAGAAAATTGTTATAACGAGAGAAAGAGAAAAATAACTAAAATTAAGTTGGAGTTAAAATAGTTCATTAAATTCTTTAGATATGAATGTCATCATCATTGTTATCACTTTGAGTTGTGTGCCAAAAAATTTACTTATTTGGTCAATAAACAATTTAATGAACATGTTTGTTGAAAGAAGCTATAAAGGGGATGAAATTCTTTGATAGGGATTAAAAATAATGATAAACTTATGACACATCAAGTAATTTATGAATGTTTATGATTGGAATGTTTTTGATTCCGCATTGGAAGTTAAAGATTTTGGATGTTTTATTACAGATTTTATTGTCGATTCCTTTAAAGATCCTCAGAGTCTAAACAGATTCCTCAGAGTCAATAAACTCTTTACAGTCTCTTCACAGCTTACACAGACTCTTTAAAATCTTTAAAGCCTCAACTAACTTCACAGAGCCTTGAACAACTTTTTAGAGCCCTGAAAAACACTTTCGGCTGTTTCAATAAAATCAATTAAAATCTCAAAACTAGAATTTTATAGATTAATAGTCCAAAAATAGCTCAAGTTAATTAAAGAAATAGAAAATGAACCCATCCGAAAATTTCATCCCTTCTTATTTAACAAAATAAACAGTTTAGAATAAAGAAGATAGTTTAAGAAAAAGAACAATGAACAATATTTCCTTTTTAATATAACATGAGTAATAACAATAACAATGACCAATAACAAAATAATCTTCAAAAACTCAAAAATATGAATACAAAAAAACTAAAGAAAATAAAAAAATTATGTTTTATTTTTGCAATTGCATCAAAGTACAAAAGAGATATGCATCGCTACCTAACAATGGAATTGCATCAGACACTTGTGGTAATGTCTCAGCCACTAAGTTGAGAAATACGGTTAGTGATAGAAGAATCGTGACTCCTACAAAATAATAATTTCATTTGATTGAATTTTTTTTTGTTGTTTTTTAATAGAATTATTATAAAAATTGAATTTTGAAATTTTAAAATCATCTCATCCAAAAGAAAGTTTAAAAATTCAGAGGAAACGAATTAAGTTTCAAGAAGCTTTCTCCATTTCTTATTCTTAAAGCTTTTTGTTAAAATAATTTTTTTTGCAAGTTATTCGTCCTCTCGTGTTATGCTATGTATTGTACTTTATATTTCAATGTATATATGTTTTTTGTGTCATAAACTTAGTTCCTTAAGTTAGACTTAGAAACACAAAAAATTATAAAACAAAAAAAAAAGAAAAGTTTTACTACAAATAGTCTTTTGTGTGTGGCGATAAAGTTTTACGATTCTTTTTAAGAATGTAGTGGGGTAAAATATTCCACATATGTAGATCTATCTCGTTTGTTAGATGATAATAATATTATTGTTGATATTATTATCATCATTGTCGTCGTCCTCATTACGTATGTACGATTTATTTAACGGCAAGTTTTGTTTTGCCTTACTATGGTAATAAATGATAGCTTCATGATAATAAATTTTCGTACGATGAATTCTAGTGGGGAAATTTAATTTTGACTAAATTATATGCTCGATAGGGTTTTTGTGATATTATCTAAAGATCTTATTTCTTTAAAATTTTAGTCCCTAATGATTATAGAGTTATCTCGATCGAAAGTTCATTGGTTATCTCGATAAAAATTAATTAGATTTAATGCCTGGATGTCTATTACTAAATGTCTAGAAACGATCTAGCACAGATAATGTCTAGGCCTAGAAAGGATCCAGGAAAAGAAAATTCTCATGCTAAGTTTTTTTAAAAGGTTTCGACAGACTCTAGTGAAAATAATCTAAATCTATAATATTTATCTGCATCTGCATGTTTGTCCATCTCAACTTTCAAGTATTGTCATCAATAAATTTAACTAATTATTTTTGATAACACATATCGAGCATTTAACACTTTTTTTTTATCAATTCAGAAATCCTCAGACAGTATTTTACAGAACATTTAAACTTTTTAAAAACCAAGCAAAAATATTAACCGAATAGTAAATTTAGATTCAAACAAGATTCTTCTTTTGTAACGATAAAATTAAAGCTAATCTGATATAAACTAGATTCAGAAGACAAAATGAAAAATAAATAGTTCTAAATTTAAACGAATCTCATTCAAATAAATGTATTTAATAATATAGAGTAAAATAAGTTGTTGTGTAAAAAAATCATTCGAATTTCTCTTGATTGAAGCCTCACGCATTAGTAATTTAAATATCTTTATGAACTTAAATTATCGATGACATGTTGAAGATTGTAGATCTAAAATTTCTCATGTAAATTACTTTGTTTACTTTAACCTCTTTCTTATCTAGATTTTCTCATCAAGTATTTTGTTTAAGTCTTCAAATCATATTGTTTAGTTGAAGGATAAAGTTATTCAAGAAACCTAAACATTTTCATTTTGTTTTATATGAGCATCCTAATTCAAATATTTACATCTTTTGTGTGGATTAAGAGAAAAAAATAAAATTTTTATATGCAACTTAATTCAGGGATGAATGATAAAAATAATCTGATAAAGAATATGTCACTTTAGGACTAAATCACTCCAATTTCTTGAAGGAAATGCTTGAAAAATGTGTAATTAATTTTCAAAAAATTATAGCTGAAAAAATTTCAACGATTTAAATTTTCTCCAAATATTAATCAACTTCTCAGCTTAATATGATTTGAAAAACAAACATTTTATAAGAAAATCTGAATCTAAAGCTTTTATTGATTTTAAAAGAATCTTTTTTTTATATTTTGCAAGCCTTAAAAATATTCATGAATATTTTTTTTTCAATCTTTTGAATGTATGGTAATGTCTAGAATATATGAAATTAATATACAACGCAGACATCCGAAATAGGAATGAATATATAAGAAATATTTTAGGCTAAAGATTCAGTAAAAAATAATAATTTTTTTTTCTACACACACCATTAAGTTTATAGATATATACATTTACAATTTATGGTCTTGTTTTGTCAATCAACCGTTTTAATTTCATTGTTGTAAAAATATAATGAACAAAATTTGATATACGAAATGGTTGCATTTTGTAATTAATTTTGAAAAAATAAAATTGAGTCAGTTATAAGAATTATAAAGTTTATTTTCAATTTGCTTTAAATTTAAATTTTCAATTTCATGATAAATTCTATAACTTACAAAACTTTACAGTCGCGATAACGACAATCTTTCAATTCATTTAAAAAAATCGAATCAATTTGATTCATGTAACCACAAAATTCCAATTAAAATTTTATAGAGTTTGAAACTGATCAAATAATCTAAAATGATCAAAATTAATCAAAAAGGTCTAAATTTAATTCGTCAGTTTATGACTCTTAGCTTTTATTTAAATACAACTCTCTGGGTGAATAAAAAGGAAGAGTGCTCTAAGGAATTCTAAAGTGACCCTATGTGCACTCGCGATTATTTGATAAAAATCTCTAAATTTACTTTGAATTAAAACGTTTGATTCAGATTCACAAAAGACCTTAAAAAATATAAAAAAAACTTTCAAATAATGTTGAAATAAATAATGAAACAAAAGAAGTGAAATTTCATTTGAAACTGTCTTAAATGAGATAAAATTTCAAATGAAATTGAGAAAGTTTTTATGAAACTTTATCTTATAAAAATGATAAAAAATATTTTTACTTTATCATCTAAATGCTTTTTGAAGAAGAAAGAATAAAGATAAAACTATACTGAAATGAAGATGAAATTAAACAAATAGACACGCGATATCTAAGAAAATAAATCAACATAAAAGGATAAATCACAAGAAGAATGTTCATCTAGTGATAGCTAAATTAATCATCATAAGTCATTTATTAAAATTTTCGACTAATTTTGCAAGCTACTTGGCATGACTCTTTTTTTTTGTTCATCAAATTTAATATACCTATGAGTGGAACAGCATCGGATGTCGTTGGCATTGATTCTGCCACTAAGTTTAAAAATACGGTTAACGACAGAAGAATTGTAACGCCTGCAATTTAGTCATAATTTTTTTTTATAATTTTCCAATTTTTTTTTCAAACGACAGATTGAGTATATAAATTTTTTTGATGGGTTTGATGCCATTGTTATAGTGGATATGCAATTATTTTAATATAAATGCGCCATTAAAAAATAAATTTTTTCATATATTTTTTGTTCGTTCGAGAGTGGTTTTTTGGTTATGTGTGGGTTGGGTAAAGTATGAAAAAATAAAAGATTATATTTTATAGACCATTAATATTTGCTGATTTTTTTGTACATGAAAAATATTGCTATTAAAAAATTATTATTTCACATATGAATGAGGATTTTTTTCTTCTTAAATTTATTATTTTTTTTGAGGATGTGGATGAGGATGATATGAATGAGAAATTAAGTTTGTGATGTGGTCATAAGACTTCCCTTATAGAATTAAATGACATTGAGAAATTATATATTTTTTCCTGGAAAATTTTCAATAGATTTTAAAATTTCAAATTTCTCAAATCGAAGGCATCGTCGGGAGCGACGATAATTTTTTTAAAAAGATTAAATTAAGCAATTTTGAAACTTATCTTCAAGAAAATAGGGTTCTGGATTTCAGTTGCTAGGTATACCCTTGGGACATATGATAGGGGACCCTAGGGACATACAATAAACTAACCTTAGTCAAATAAATTTATATCTTTGACTAGCGCCAACTTAATGCATTGACTAGAGTATATTCAAGTGTATAATCTAGAATATGCTCCTTGAATACCACCAAGGAATACCACAAGGACAAAACGTGCATATCCTAAGATAATGCCAGCAACTATTTCCCACAGATACTGTCATTAAAATAATACAAAGTGTTTAAATTCTATTTTCCAAGAAGTTTCATTGGAAGCTTTAAAAAAACTTTTTTTTTCAATAATTTAACTTATAAGGGATTGCACTTTTTTATTGTATTTTATTGAAGATGCTTTCACTGTGAAAAGTCTCAGTTATATTAAAATGTAAATATTTTATAATAAATCCAAAAAATATATTAATTGCAATTTCAACATACCTAGTGTGAGTTTTTCTCCCGAATCCGGGGGTAATGTAAATCCTAATAGAGCCATTGATGAAATTAAGACACATGGTACGATTAAATTAAAAAAATAATAAAGAGTTCGTCTTCGTATTTGTATCGTAAATGTTATGTCCTGTAAAATAGACAAATTAGAGAGATAAAATCAGACAATTTCATTGGAGGGTTTGCAACGGGCAGTTTTTAAATGACGTCTTATATTAAGGAGGGAGTTTTGTGACGGTTTAAACAAAATTTTCCTAATACAAATTGGTGGGAAAGGTTTTAAAAATCTAATTTTTTTATTGACGTCATTTATGAACTGCCCTAGAGTAATTAAATTTCCAAGTAATTAGAGAAAATGTATGAAGTTAGGCCTAATAGACAATAATCATGCTATTTTTAGTATGTAGTCTTAAATGAACTAACTCTACTCTTGAGAGCGTGCTCTACATCTGTAAGTGTTGGCTTGTCATGTCTCTTTGACTAGTTTCTTAAACTAACCGGAAACTTAGCTTGTAGACATTATATTGAGAAATAAAGTCACGATAAAAATCTACATTTTGCTACAATATGTGCAGCGTTTAATAATAGACAGTTATTACAGCTAAGATAGGTTAAACCAATCTTGATCATCATAACTTACCACGTATGGCTCTATAATAAGTAGTCATGTACAGCAAAATTCAACATTGTGGTGATGATTATGAAACGATATAAAAAAGACACAAAAAATTATTATTTTTGGTAATTTTGTTTAAAGTTTTACTCGATATGCGATAAATGATGAAGCTTTAAAGTTTAATGTTGCAAAATGGTGCTTTCAGTTAAAATTGTAGTAATTGAAAGGAATTAAGTTACAAAGGAATGTTGAAATTAGATTTCTCGTCCAAGGACACCCAAACAAAGCAATTTGAATATAGTGCATCATAAGTTCTTTTACAAATTGAATGATAAATATCTTGCAAGTCAAAGCTACACTTAAACAATTTTTTGTATTCTCGCAGAACTTTAAAACCAGCAAGATAAATCGTTTGCACTATATTGCATAGTATTTTAGTATTACATAAATCTTCAGTATTCAGATTTTCTCCTGGCAGCCTTCATTTGGCAAAGTCATAAGCATTTTTATGTTCCATAAATTTTTCTAGTATTTTTTCAACATAAATTTTAGAATACGCTCATAATGTATATTACAAAAAAGGAAAGAAAAAAAAAAATCACGCAACTTTTATTTGTTTTGCAACTTTTATTTTTCTATTTCGTAAATTGAATTCACTCCCATGCCAACATAAATTTTAAAATTACCTGGGCAACAAGCATAAACTATTGTATTCTTTTTTCCTGGCATCCCTGTATGAAAGAAACAATTTTAATTTGAATTTGTTTTTAGTTTCAACTTTTCTTGTTGTTGAAATTAAAATTACAATACAAAAAAGTTTTAATATCTCGTTTTGAAGTTTGTTCGAATAACTAAACGAGTGTATAGTTTCAGTTGGAGTGAAATTTTTAATTAGCAAATGTTTGATAAGTCTGATGTTGAAATAAGGGCGATTCTACGAAAAGGTTTCATGAAACCTTGGCGAAAACTGTGAATCATGATTACACTTGTTATTAATTACTTAATTCCAGCTAGAGAATTTAAATGATTTAAATTTAACACTTGGTGGTTTTTGGAGAATTGAATCCAAATCACTTTGTTTCACTTATGACATCTTATGTAGAATTTAATATATTGCTTAAATTAAGGTTCTTAATCATTTTGTATTCTTAACAGTAGTAGAAGTTCTATCATTATAAAGGTTTTTATGAAAATATTTGAAAAAAAAAAATCATGTGAATTAGAGTGATTTTTCGTTAAATGTTGATAATTCTTTAATTAACAACTTTTGATGCATTTGAGTGAGAAAAATATGTAGAACATATTGATATCTCCTATTGAATATGTCAAACATTAGTAATTATGCAATAGCATAAAATCTCTCCTATAATCGCCCATAAACTGCATACAGTTGTAAAGATAGGCAGCGAAAATAAGGGGGGTTTGAAATGAGATAGATTATGATTAACATCCCGATCACAATGATTCAGATTCAGAAAAAATGTTCAAAAATTCAAAAATAACATATTAGTTAAACTACATCTTTTAAATGCCAGATTAAAGATCTGAACTTAGGGCATATTCAGTGAAAATATCTCGTTCCATTTGGATGTTTAACTCCAGAAATCTTTAATTTATTTTCAACAAAAATTTGTTTACATTTTGTATATGAAAAAAATTCTTTGATTTTCTCTACTTTAAGTTGTTATTTCCTTATCTTGCTAGCTATTGTTAGCTAAGTTAAGCTTAGATTTGCATATTAAAACTACCAAATCAAAAGAAAACTGCTTATTAAGTCTTAAAAATGCAATTGAAATCTGAGTATTTCTACAAAACTTAAACGTTTTATAAGTTAAAAAGTCTTTCAAAAACCTCAATGAAACCTTTATAAATTAAATAATTAGGCTTAAATCTATCTCCTATATTACTGAGGAGATGCCGTTTGATGCCATTTTCGAGATATTTGCGAACAAAGTTTACATAAATTTTCATACAAAATTTGATCATGCATAATATTTTTTGATAAACTTTTACAACTTTTGGTAAAAAATCATGTTTATTTATCCTTCATATTAAGGACTGATTTTTGAGCAATGAACGAAAATATTATGTAGAAGATGCTAAAAGAATCAAATCAAGAGAAATTAACAAAAACTTTCAATTTCTAATGTGTCGGAAAAATATTGTGCACAAGGAATTTTTGAACATTTTTTCCGAATCTGAATCATTGTGCCGATTAAGCTTTTATCTGGTTTTGGAAATTAAATGATTATTAAAACTTGAGTTTTTCAAAAAAAAAAAACTTTTATGGCGTACATTTAGAAATCCAAAATTTGGATATAAATCGAAAAATTAGGTTCTTTTTGACATCTGAACACAATAATAAGAAATCTTTGAAGTTTTTTATTTTTTAATGAAATAAAACAGTTTTTAACAAAGATGCTAGCTTTCAACGTATAACGCAGAGAAAAGTACAATGCAATTCTTTCAGTGCAAATTCATCAGGAAATCATAAGAGATTGATTTCTTTCTATGAAAAGGTCAGTAATCTAACATAATAATGCAATGTCGAAACTATACCTCTTAGTAAAATTAGAAGCGAAGAGTATTAAAAATTGGATTTTAAAATTTTCAACGACGAAAACATGTTGAATAAAATTTCATTCTCATCTGCGTCTGCTCAATGCATTTTACATACAATTCACAGTAACAGATAAAAAAGATTTATAGTATTATTAAAATTACATTTATGAAATAATTTTTTAAAATAAGTTATAATTCGATGCTACACAATAATTTACCTATTAGATACCATTCTCCATTCGTTATAAAATCTGATAAGTCTCCTCCTTCATCTGAATTTAGCACCAAATCAAGCTATTTTCATTTTTTCATAATTTAATATAATTTTTGTATTTGATGATTGAATGGGAGAAAGATTAGATTAAGAGATATGATTTAGAGAGAAAACATTTTCTATGACACACAAAAACAAATCTACAAATTTAATGAACTTTTATGTGATGAGGTTTTTAAGGTTTTCTACCATTAAATAATTGTATTGAATGTTTTTTTAAACCATAAAGTTAAATTAAAATTTTTTTAAGTGTTTTGGTTTTTTTGATTTATTTTTTTCTAAGGAATTTTTATATGAACTATTTAATACTCATTGAAAATTTAATGAATGTTAAATAGACTCAATGACATTGAAAATTCCTCAGAAAAAAAAAGAAATATTTTTTTTAAAGTTTTTGTAAATAATTTTTAAAAATACTTTTTAAGAGTAGTTTTCACATATAATTTTTTTGAGTTTTTTAATTTAATGAGATAAATTAAAATATCTTTATTATTCACCCCATGCAAAATAGGTTTTTCCATAAATTTGCATCAAATACTTTTTTCAAAAAATATCGCATGATGTTATGTAATTAAAAAAAATGAATGAAATTGGCAAGAACGCAGTCGCATGTGCTGCAGAAAAATTCATTCTAAGCTTTTTAACAATAAGTTTGATTTTTGATATTTATGAAAAAATTCACATGGTTCCAATATAGCAATTTGTTGTGTCTCACTCTCAATTTATATCTCTTTGCACGTGTGAAATTGAATATTGAAAGAGCACTAAAGCATAAAGTCATGTTTAGTCTAAATTTATTGAGAGAAAACAAATTGATATTTGAAAGGTGGCCAAAAGCACAGATACACTATGATTCAATACTAATGAAATAATGTCATATATTTTTCTCTGAAAAAATGCCGTCGAGGCTGACGAAAAATGCCACACGTTTTTGGTCGATCAACATGTCGATTTCTGGCTTTATATTTTTTATTTTGCATACCAAAAAGACTTTTGACACTACTTCATTGTCATTTTTTATTTTTTAATAAACTTTTTTTTGCATCTGTGATTCGGTCACCAAATAATTTTTACCGCTCATACTCTGTTCTGGTTTTTCCTTTCCTTTCTTTTTATGGTGAAATTTTCTGCCAGAAAAAAAAAATCATTTTCTGATACTTATTTTTGGCATGTATGCAATAAAATTATTATTCTCAGCTGCACATGTTTGCCAATTATACAAGGTTAAAATCAGATTGTTTGGAATTTCATGAAAATGAGCCAATGAGTTTGCAACAGTTAGTTGAGGGGGAGATTAACAGTTTGTATTATGCATCATCATACACGTAAGGAGCTTTATAGAATTTTCGGACATTAAATTGCAATCGATATATTTAAAGAGCTTTTTTTTTTGTTGCTATGAATTTAATATTTTAAGAGCCAGTTGAATGTCAATTTATTTATCGATTTCTAGATTTTTTGGAATGAGAAGTTGAACTTGTGAATTATGAAAGACTTGAATGCTAATCTAATGTCAGTATACTAATATTTTTTTCCTGTGTAAGAACTAGTTATCATTTGACTAATTCTAAATGCGATAATAAATTGACTCTGTTCGTCTTAGCCAAAGAAGTAATTAAAAGGCATACTTTTATTTTTAAATAAATGTAAGAAACATTGAAACCTTCGAAATTTGCGCTCTTTGTACAAGCTTGTGTGTATTTTCATTGAAACTTAGTTTGAAATGGACCAAATTAATCCTTGAATTTCCATAACATGTGCAGCATCGAGACTGTATGTGTAATGCAATATATTTATGGAAGGTCTGAAGGCTGAGGTGAAAGCACAAACAAAAAACACATTTAGTGGAAGCGCACTTTTAGGAATGAAGTTCATAACCTATTTTGACGTTTCTTTTTATGTTGTTTTTTATTTGTAATTTTTTTGTTTTTAAGTTTTTTTAATTTTTTTCTGGTTTTTTAAAATTTTTGCGTGTGTCTTTTTTTTCTTGTGTTTTTTTTACGTTTTTTTCATCGTACCTGATTTCCATCGTAAGTCCAACTACCGAACTTCATATCGCAATGCTGATCATCAAACGGGAACCACGTGATGTCTATCTTGCATGTGCTTTTAAAGATGCCAGGGGGCACGTACAGACAACTGCCGTTATGTTTGACCACGACATTGGTTTGATACGTCCCATCGAATCCCTCATCCGCACTATTATTCAAATATGTCAAATATTTGTATCAATTTATGATAATCAATGAATTACTATAATTTATTTTGTTATTGTGAATTTTCTTATTCGTCATTCTTGCGAAATATTTCATGAATAAATCAACAAGAATTTATAGATCGACGAGATATTATTCAAGATTATGTATGTGCTATATAGAGATACTCATTTGTTAAATAGAAAAAAAAATCTTTAGATATTAAATGAATATAAATTTAATTTTGAGGCAATATATCTAAACAGCTTGATTACTATGGACATTAAATATAATCACACCAATCCATCATAATATCACAATTTTTTTTAAAAGCTCTTTTTATTTTATTTGATGATATTTATAAGGCGGAATTTATTTATATTTATTATTATGTACATGCGAATAATTTCTTTTGCAATTCACGAATAAGAGGGGAGAAGCAAGTGAAAAATATTGTTAGCTTCACAATGCTCTTCCTTAATTTTTCTCTGCGTTATGTTTCATTCATCTTTATGGACGAATAAGAAAGGAAAAAGTAATACCTTTTCCAATTATTTTCTCTCTTTATGAATGGATGTAATTTGTTCGAGAAGATTTCTCTTTCAATTTTCAATAGAAGCTTCATATGTGAATGAGAGGAACAATAAAAGGAATGGATTTTGTTGAAATTACTTCTGGAAGCTTTTCAATAGAAGGCTTTGAGATATATAACCCTAATTATTATGTTTTGTACGAGCATTGGATGATTCTTTGATGTGCTTTTATATGAGATCTATCAAGGGATCATGTAACATGGATAAAGCAAAGGGGTGGGATAAGAGTCACCCACTTGAATTGAAAAATTGTTTAAAAGCTAACCTGGGATTTATAGACTTTTTCGGACTGCATTTAAATTAAGATTTAATTATTATTGGACTTTGGTTCAATTGGTGAACACGGGTAATGTCTACAAACGTGAATAAATTGAACCCAAATATCCTAAATCCATTAAACCTGAATAAATTGAACATGAATAGATTGAACCTGAATCCATTTCAAAATCTTTTATGTAAAATAATAATCCGACAGATTAAAAATTCTAGTAAGAGAGAAATCAATTAAAGAAGAGTCGATTATGAATTGCAATCGATAATTCGCTTTTTGTTAGTGCTCGAAAGCTAGATGAATTTTAATTGAAAACAACATGTTGCTCTAAGCAAAAATAAAAAAAATATATTTTTTTAAATATTTATCGTTCTGTTTTGATCATTTTAGTCTTTTTTTATATAAAATTTTAATTAATTTGAGGCATATTTTGCGGCTATTGCTAAACTAGGATGACTATTTTATAATCCTTATAAGCAATGCACGTGATTATTTATAGGTATTAAAAATTTATAGACTGTTTCATTAAAGTAGATTATTTTAAGGGATTATAGTAGGTGCAAATGCTGAAATAATCACAAATATCTACTCGAATGATTTGGCCTGTAGGAACAAAAATTCCTCACTAAATTGTTGTCATGAAAATAAAAAAAAAAAGGTTTATGCATATATACATGACTTTTTAGACATCGATAAAAATAATTAAAATAACGATTATCACACCGAACAATAACGAATAAATCTAAACATTAAGGAAAAATTGGCAATTTTTCGAAATATTTTATAAGTTTGATTAAGTTAGGGAAGCTTTATAAAATGAAGATTTTAGAGCTTTTTGATTTTTTAAAGATTTAAAATGCTTTTGTGGAAGTTTTTGAAAATTTTAATAAGAGTTTTAAAGATTTATAGTTAAAAAAGTTTAAAATTAAAAAAATAATAAATTAAAAATCTTTCAAAAAGAGTTTAACACAAGAAATTGAAAATTTTGAAATAATTTACTTATAACTTTAAAAATTTGGAACTTTTTTTGAAAATGATTGTTAATTTTATTAAAAATAATAATTCAAATTTCCACAAAAAGCAAATGATTTTTTTACTTGAAATATTCTTTTAACTTTCCATGATAAACATGAAAGCTTTACGGATTTAGTGGTTGATTACTAGCACACAATAAGCTTTACTATTTAAAAATGTTTTTAATTTTCAAGCTTTTAATTTTTTTAATTTAATTATTTCAAAATCTAATGAGTTTTAGCATTTTTGGTTATTTAAATGTTATTTATTTTAAATTTTAATTCATTTTAATTGATTATCAAATTTTATGAAGCATATTTTTTAATATTTTTTAGAGGGATTTGATTAAACGTGTTGGTTTTTTTATTTAAAATTTTTAACGTTAAAAAATTTTAAGTTTCATCATAACTACAAGATATTTTTAAAATGTAATTTGTTTGTGATTAAGTAAGTATTAAAGTGTATTTTTTTGGACAAAATATCTTGTAAAATGATGAAACATTTTGGCTATGATCACACACTAAACAACAATCATTAAAAACTATGGTAATCAAGACATAGGTGCCAAAAATAGATTCATCTATTTTTAAAAAGCACCAATCTCTTGATCATTTTTTGTTGTTATGCAAAGTAGATGAGAATCTGTACAATAAAGAACGGGCGTGTTTTGTCTCGTGACATAGCTGTGCCTGTGAGGCCGACAATAACGGCAAGCTGACGGTGTACCTTCCCACTAGACCACTAAATTATAACGTGAAAAACTCTTATCTCATTTTCTGTGTATTTTTATGTTTTTATTTATCTTCTTCTTCTATTCTTTTTTGTGGATGGATATTTTGTATGTTCTACATATTTTTAATATACATATGAACAATGTATGATTGAAAATATAGCACAAAAAAAAATCCCCATTTTAAATAAAAAGGAAGCAGAAAATTTTCGTGCATGTGTGTGTGTGTGTGTTTTCATTTTCATGTGGATTATGAACGAAATATGTGTCAGGCGAGCAAACGAGAAGATGAAAATTTCATTCACAGAAACTGTGATGAATTTATAAAAGATTTTCGTGACTTTTAGGAAACAAACTTTTTTCGTATTCGTGTAGACTGAATGTTATGGCAATTTTTAAAGATTCTTTGGAATTTTTTTTGAAGGCTCCATAATTCTGAAGTGTCAAAAAAATGTTGAAAAACTCATGACACCTAAGAGAATTTAAATTTGGTGTGCTTGATACTAATATTAAATGAGATTTGAAGGAGAAGCAGGGTTGGAGTCATGAATTATTTTTTTTGACCGATTTATTGACTTTTATTTTGATTTCTTGAAAAATATATAGGGTTCGGAAAACCACTAACTGATTATCTACAGTTATCAACTTTTAGATTATCTACACAAAATCTACAGTTATCAACAGTTAGTAAACTGTAGATAAATTTTTTGAATGAAGAAAATCCGTTAAAAGAATTTGCAAAGTTTTGTAAACAAACAATTTTTGGAGACTTTTTTAATAAATTTATATATAGAATACACTTATTATACATTAAGAGAGCTCAAATGTCAACATTAGCTATTAAAAATCAACTTTTTGTTTATCGAATATTTGTAACGGTTATATGAAATTCAAATATTGTTCACATGTTTGTAAACAAAAAAAATTTGCGAAAATTTCTTAATTTTCAATTAAATCACCACACAAACGCTTTTAAAATACTGAATAAAGCCTAATGTCACTTAATTTGAACTGTTACATGCTGTTGCAGTCCTGATTTTAGCATTTCAACTCTTTTTTCAAAAAATCAATAACGTTTTTTTCCACTTTGAAAAAATTATCTACAGTTACTTATCTACAGTTACAAATTGTAGATAACTGTAGATAAGTGTTACTAACTGTTAATAACTGTAGATTTCCGAACCCTAAAAATATAAAGAATGTCGAATTATTTTTATGAAAAAAAGGGGTGTTTTAACACTCAAATACCATCTCACCCTCTGGATACTTTTATAAAAAAAATTATGTTTTTTGAGGCTTTGGGCCAAGAAACTGAGGTGTCTCAATACAGACGTGAAGCTAGGGTTTCAGACTCCACCCTCAAAAATGATTCTTGATAGCTCAGGGTCTCAAAAGTTTGTGTTAGATTTTATGTTCCGTATTCTATGGATTTTTGAGAAGATTGAAAACTTCAGCTTCTTAAAGGTATGTAGGATCATACTTGGGTTCTGAGGTTTTTGTCTACGCCCTAGTGTAAAAGTGACCAAATATATTAAGCAAGAATATGGAAGATACAAGATTCCTCAATTAGCATTGAAGCTAGGGGTAAGTTTAATTATGTTATGTTTGAAACTCCTGAATCCCATCCCTGCATAGACAATCAAAACTCTTTGTTCATGAAACATTAATAAATTTTTAGAAATTATCTTCCTGCTTTTAAAAAAGTTGATTTCTGATTAAACGCGTAATGTTAAACTTTCTGTAATACATTTCATCCTCATGTTAGAGTTGTCAGTTAATGAAATTTTCATCTCGTTTTAATGAAATCACAAAAAAATAAGAATAATAATAATAATTTTTGCATTATGAATTGTAATTTGTAAGCAACAAAAAAAGAGAGAATTATTGGAAGCATAAAAATTATTTATGAATATATTTTTTGTTTGTTTTCAGTATGTATGCAGATATACTATACGAAATGATGAAAAAAATAAGGAGAAGTAGAGAGAAAATGCTGAATAATGATGATTGAAGGAATGATAATAATGCTGATGATTATGAAGATTAAGTACGAAATTATTAATGTAGTTATTGAATATAACAATTGAATTAAATTAGCAATCCACCGACACCATTCTTCTCGTTCATTCCAGTTCTTACCATCAGATTCTTGCAGATGCTGCTAATTAAAAAACGAATTTCATTCATATTCCATATGGATATTGCGATTAATATTGCATTATGATCTTAAATTATATTTAGTTGCAGTTTTCACTGCTGTAATGTGTTTAAAGATTATTAGTATTAAAGTAATAAAATAAATTTTGAATTTAGTGAGGATTAAGGTGAATTAGTAAGCAAACATAGACTAAAGGATATAGATTAAAAAATATACAAAATGAGCAGTTTCTGTCCACCACTTACATCGTATGAGATAATTAGCGACAATTTATGTACAAAACTCTCTAGGATTGAGAATGGCTGGCTTATAAGAGGATTTTGAGAAATAAATAGGGAACAGTTGCATCTGACTGCATCGTTAGACTAAATTGGGTTAATATTCTATAGAGACAAATAAGCATATTACCTTAAGGCATTAACGGAAATGTATCAGACATAATCTTTGAAAATTTATGACAAGTCACAAGAAGATTAGCTTTTTGGCTTTGTTTCTGTGATGTGTGCTTTGAAACTGTGCTTTATTAACGAGATAGGCATTGTTATGCTTTAAATGCAGTGTTTTAAGTTTCAACTTAATTGAAATTTTCTTAAGTAAAGCTTCATCAACAATAGCACCAAAGATATTGTTCAGAGCAGATTAAGAGTTTTAACTGACATTTTGCCAAATTATTAAGCAGTCTTAAATAGCTTTAGATCTCAACAGCTTCATATAGTAGCAAGAACATGCGTCTAAAAACTAAAGAGAGCGAGTTCGATTTTAAAACTTGTTAAGTTGTTGAAAAACTTCCCAAACTTAAGTTCCATTATTAACAAAATGAAGTTTTAAATACAATTTGTGAAATTTTTGGATTGAGATTATGTTTTGCAATTTTATGAAAACCAGAATATAAATTTTCATCAATCTGTAATTTATAATTGACAAGTCGTCCTCAATTCTCTGATTTTTCAATGAATTCTTACCAAAACTTACGTTTGAAGGTTTGAGATCCTAGAGTTCAAGTTATCTCGGATGTAGTGATGGTGAGAAATATAAGCAGCTTTTTGTGATCACAACTTAATTATATGTTTTAAGAAATTTCCTTATAATTTAAGATTATTGATTATTTTAACTACAGCACACACACACTCAAATGATTTTCAATAATTTCTTATAATCTTGAAAATTGTATCTCTTTGTTGACCTGATCCAAAAATTTGGGAGAGACTGAAAAGAAAGCAAAATTTTTGAAGAACATCTCAACTGACCTATTATACATAAGGACATCCGGTTTCCAAAGCTTCGATGGTGTTATTCGTAAGTCTTTGACGCCTCCATACTCTGATTCATTCCATTTTAAGTTGTAGTCATACCATTCCTATAAAAATTTATCGGGCGGAAAAAGAAGACAAAAAAATATTTAGGTTAGCGACTGGATTCCAAATAAAGTTTCTGTGGGAATTTTAAAAGGTTTATTTCGTTTATTTTTTTAATTTGTTGTTATTTTTACTATACTACAAGCGTAAACAAAAATTTGTACTGCAATAAATAAACACCGAATAATTATTGTACATATACAGTGACTATAAACTCTTTTTTTTTGTGCTTAACAGAATGTAAAAAAGAATATTAAGCTGCTGAGGGAAATTTTTGTTTGTCGGTTTTATGAGCACTGCGACTTATTCTTCGTGATTCCAAAAGTTTTAAATTGACGTCGTGCTGAGTTTTATTCTACTTAAGAATTTTTATTTTTCTTTCTCTTTCTGCGCATTTTTTTGTTTTTGGGACATAAAAAAATTCAAAAAGCATTTAAAATTTAAATTGACTTATTAGGAAGACAATCGTGAGAATAGATTTAAAGTTTATAAGTTTTTAAATTAAATCTGGTTGAAAGAAAATGTGGAAGTACGAGAAGGTTTGTCATAAATGAAGTTCTAATGATTCTAATAAGACCAATAATGTGGAACTGACCAAAATCCACAAAAATGATCAGAACTTGATTTAGCCTTGAATGAGGTGACCTTTTTGTATTAAAAAGATGTTATTTTTATTAGGTTTTGATAATTTTGTCTAGTTTCAAATCTTAGCCTTAGGTTTGGTTGAGAAAATTGAGAAAATAATGGGCACTGAGATGTTAATCGCAGTTACGTAACAAGATCAAGTGCTCAAAGATTAATTTTGATTTCAAATTAAATGAACATCTTGTTAAGGGCCGTCCACTTATGACGTTCAGGGGGTCAGCAAAAAAAGAACAATATAAATTCCCAGAAATCCATTGTTCTGATTTGAAAAAATGACTGTTAATTTTCGACGTCATAAGTGACCGACCCCTTAGCATTTTGAAGAATATTATTCGCATTTGCTATTTCAACAGCATCTAAACATTTCCCTAGAATTTCATCTTGAAGCCATTTTACTTTCAAATGCTTATTCAGACGCTCCTCAAGTCATAATAATATTTCCAAATAAAATATAATACAATAAACATTGATATGAGTGTGATACATAAACTATTGAGTTATATACAGCCAAGTGTAAAAGGATACAACAACATGTGAGTAAATGTCTGTAACAAATGAATATCTTTAGTGATAAATTGCATGAAAAGAAAGAAACGAGAAAAGTGTAAGTGTAAAGAATCATGCTTCGGTATGGATAGAATATAAATATAGATCTACAAAAAAAAGGAGACACAAAAATGAGAGAGAGCGACACGATTGAATGTTGAATGAATAAAATGACACAAAGTACACATAAAAATATACATAACAAAAAGAAAAAGCACATGACAATATCATCTATATATTCGAGTAAGAGAAATGTTGAAGAGATATCATTGACTAAGAATGACTAAGTTTAGGCAGTAGCAGTAGTATCACATTGGAAACGTTTATCTTGATGTGTTTTTTATGACAAAAAATGAGAGAAAGTGCGAGGAAAAGAAAACAAGAAAAAAGAATATTCGAAAAAAAAGAACAGAAAAAATCGAAGACGGAAGTCAAGAAGATGTTGAGTTTTGATGTGAACGAGGAGATAAAATGAAAATGAGTAGGAAAATTGAAATAAGAAGTTGGGAAATAAAATTTTGAAAGAAAATAAAAAAAAATGGGGGAGTATTTTTAAAGAAAAATTCTATTTTAAATTAGCATCAAGTTTAGAGGGCATTAGCGCATTTTTGAAGATGGCTGAAAAGTTGCATGACATACTCGAATGGCACAAGTCGGCTAATCGATAAGAAATCCAGCACCAAGCCGGTGTGACTCTGGCATAGTGCTGGTTTTAAATCGATATCAGCACCATGCCAGAGTCATGCAAGCTTGGTGCTAGATTTCTATTCGATTATCCGGTTTGTGTTTTTCGGGATAGTTTTAATTGACTTAATGTTCGAAATGTTAATATTTGATTCTAAAACAATCTTTTATGCTGTATTTTTATTTTTGATGTAGATTAAAGTTGCTAGTCAGTAACTTTACATACATTTCAAGATACTCGAGTAAGAACTTCAACTTTGTTCAAGGTGTGGGCTCAAGTTTCACTTTGGTTAAGAATCACAGTTCACAACGTTAATTTGCTTTTAAGAATGGTTAAGGAGATTTTAATAATAGAAAACAATCAGTTTCCTAGAACTCTAGTGTCAAGATAATTTACTTCTTTCAAAAATGCGCTATTAAATGTCCAATAAGAAAATTTCCAAGAAAAGATGCAGCAACATTGACAAACTAATAAATGAAAGATATGATTATAATGAATAAGATACGTTTTTGGTTAATTCACACTGCAATTTCCGTTCCGACTTATTTTCCTCTTAATTGTCTAGTTTCTATTTCATTAAAATGGAATTTATTTCCAGTGGAACGAAGAAAATGTGGAAATAATAATAATAATTTTTCAAGGAGCTTTTTGATTTCAATAACCAAGCATATAAAGAGCTGTTCTTAGTATTTTTTTAAAAACCTGGTTATCTTATAACTCCCTTCCCATGAACGTAATAAGTGAACCAATAATATATGCATTAAACTGATATTCCTACTAGCTTAGAAAATGCTTAATATGTTCTCAAAAACGGGGTTTTTCTGAATCGATAACCTCTTGACGACGCCCCGGGAACAAAAAAACTGATTTTTTCTGTTTCTAATAAAATCAGACGCCTTAATTTTCCCTTCCGAAAAACAAAAAATCATTGAATGGAAACTTGTCGTCAATGAAACGAAGCAAAAAACAAATTGTTCAATTTTCAAATGCTGAACATGTAAATGATATGATTTGATATTTTCATTAATTTCATATTGAATTAAGCTCTCATATTTATTGTATACATATCAAATGTTTTTCATCATAATAGACATGTATCGAATGGATATAGAGACATGACGAAATGAATGGCCTAAGCAAATGTTTGACATCCCATAAATGTCATGTCTATAATTATTAGTTTTTCCGAGTTTTCAAATGAGAATTAAATATGTGTGTGTATGTGTGGAGACATACGTAAAATAAGAAAAGGTTGTGTATTTAATGTGATGTTATCTGATTCTATTGCAAATCCTGTAAACTTACCAAAGAAAGCCAAATATTAGTTATGAGTAGTTGATTCTTCTCGTCCTATAAAATTATAATTAAATAAGACGACGAATTTTAAACATTTTTTTGTCAGCTTTTAAAGTAAATTATAGTTCTAGTCTTTGTTTTTTGGATTACAAAATTGAAATCATAAAACATTCGGCTTCTATCCAAACATAAAAACTTTTGTTCGCGATACGTAAAAAAATAAGGAAAATGTGTAACAAAAAAAAGTAAGTGAAAAAATGTGAATATTCAATTTAAAATTGTTTAATGGTACGCACAAGTTTCTCAACTATCATTCTTATCCCACTTAGTCAATTCTTTTGTATCATTTGCACATAATGTGTCTTTATATTTTTTTTTTGCTTTACTTTGTGAACAAGGAAACAAAGTAAGTGATATCAGGTGGTTAATATATATGTGTTAATAGTTGCGAAAATTAGTGGATGTGGTGTTAATTAATTATGTGGCTTATTACAATTACAATATTTATAATAATCTATGATCAAAAAATTAGCTAAACATTTGGTTATATTTATATTGATTGTGATTAATAAAACTTTTTGTGACTTTAGACTTAAAATTATTTTATTTTTGATTTTAAAAGAAATTGGTGAGTTTTAAATAATTTTAATTTGATTTCATTTGTTTTTTTGTACAGCTTCATCAATGAGAGGCTAGGATTTTTCACCCAATCACTTTTAAGGCTTCGCTAGTGCTTTTTGATTAGTTTGTCAATTTTAAAATTGAATTTTAAATGCACCTAGAATCCTAGAAACAAATCTAGATATTTTTCAGAAACAACTCAAGTTTCCAAAATTGTCCATATGTATTACATTGACCTTCCTTAGGAACTTAATGTTATACATATAAACGATTATAGTTACTAGGAATTGAACAGTTTTTATCTTTATTTAAATGTTGGTTTTCTAAAGCAAAGAAATTTTGAACTGAAAACATTTAAAACAATCCAATAATCATGAATCATGATAAAAACATTTAGCAAATGAAATTTAGATATTCTTGATGATGTCTCTACTAATCTGTGTTAATTAACTCACTTGAAAACTAAGTTGGTTAACCGTATTTGTGGTTGAATATCAATAAGAATTTAAATTGGTTTCTGAACGTTTAATTAAACTCTCAATTTGCACTGAATAAATTGAGGAAAAATTGAAAGAAGAACTGAGAAAATTTCGTATTTCCGCTTTTATATTGATTTAGTTGCCACAGATAAAATTCAAAAGAGATTATTTTGCAGTTTTTGAAGTTTTTAAAATTTCAAAGCGCTATGTTCTCCTCAAAATTGATCAAAAATTATCGAATTGAGATTCGTAAATTTGAAGAAGTTGTGAAAAGATGTGACACCTTATTGGAATCATATTAAAATAATTGTAAACTCATCAATTTCTTGATTTTATATATACAAATATAACAGGTAAAATTCTATAAAATTACACTATTATATCCATATTAAAAGTACTTTAATAAGTTAAAATTTATTTAATTATTATTTAACGACCTAAACTCTTTTCATTTAATTTTTCTTTAATTTATTTTGAAGATTTTTGTTAAGTTTAAAAAAATAAATTATACACACGTAATAGTGACAAAATTGATTTTTATAGCATGCACTTATATATATTGAAAACAACATAATATGCTGATGACTGACATGTACCCATTGAATAAAAATACCAAAGCGACACATCTAGGATACGAATAATATTGGTTTTTAAATATTTTTTTTTATTTTAAGGTTTTTAAATTTTAGATTTTTTAATATTTTATTTTTATTTTATTTTATTTTATCTTTGTTTAAGTTGAATTAAGTGTCAGAATCAAAAATACAACTGCAACACATTGAATATATCGAGCAAATCGTGGTAGGGTGATGCTTGTAATATTTTAAAGAAATTTTTCATATTTTAAATAACATTTTATTTAATTTTTATATATTTTGCTTTGAAGGCATATCGGGTACATGCCACTTACCAAATTTAACCAAGCGTTTGTAGTGAGAATCTGATTCTTCTCATCCTATAATTAAAAGTTTTCAAAAAAATTTCATTTTTGCTCAAAAATTACAAAAAAATGGTTTAGAAAAAAAAATCTTATAAAATATTTTGATTAAACCTTTTTCGTCTATTTGCTGTTTAATTCTATAACAAAATATTTTTACGAATATAAAAAAAAAGGATCTTTTGTGTGTAAAATACAATTCATACAACTTGTTGTGGGAGATACAAAAAAATATTTCATATAAAAATGTTTCTATTTTGGTTTTAGGTTTTTTGTGTTTTTTCGTTTGCATTTTTAAGGCATTCGATTTTTAGATATTTTCATATTTTATTTATTTAACTTTCTTTTTGAAAGTTTTTGTTTTCGACATTTTTTAAGTTTAAGATTTTTGTTATTTTCCATTTTTATTTTAGATTAGTGTTTTTTTGTGCGTGTTTGTGAATTTAAAATTAAATTAAAACGAGAATTTGAAAAAAATTAAAATTTGGAAATTAAACTTAGATGATGAGATAGTTTTTAAGAAATAATAAAATTATTGAAAATAAAATTTATTCCCAGTCAGATGATTTGTGAAATTAAATGTTTGAATTTTATAAATTTTGAAATTTTAAATTTATTGTTGCTTATTTTTGAAAATTTTCTGCTAAGACAAACTGAGATTACATCAACTAGAGATCGTAAAGATCTTGAGTTTATATTAACAATCCAGTTACAGAAATCTTGCGACAACGCCTTAATGCTATAATTAATGATTTTTTAATTTCATATACAAAATGGAATTTTTGCACCGCCTTTTTAAATTTTTTTTTTATTTTTAAATTTTATTTTAAGTCTTAATTTTAAAAATGCAAACGTTTAATTTTAGAATTTAAATAGAAATAAATTCTTAACATTTAATTTCACAACTTTCGACTCTAAGTGTCCCGTTAAAATTTATAAGTTCTCCCAATTAGATCCCCCTTAAATCCTTCCTATTCAATAAATACTTTAAAATATATACCATATTCATCATAAAATACAACTCAATAAATTAAATTGCATTTTATGATTGATTAGTAAATATAATCCTTTATTTCAAGAATATAGTATTAATTAATGCAATTGAACTTACCACATCGATAATTTGCTGTAATGTTAATCCAAATCTTACTTCTAGGGGTTCCGATTCATTAGCTACTGGTCGTTCAAGGAGATTATAATTATTTAATAAAGTATTGAGTAAACGCTTCTCGTGATAACCTTGTAAACTATCTGAAATTTGATATATTGAGATAAATTTTAGTTGATTTATGTTCAAAATGTTGCTTCTAACCACATCATAATCATTTTCATCTTCATCTTCATAATGTTAAAATTATTATTAGTCTGTATTTGATTTTTGTAAATGGGTAAGCCATGATAAGAGCGTATGCCAATTTGAAAGAACATACTTATTGCAATTTTGCTTGTTTCTGTTAAGTTTATAAAGGTAGTCTGCGGTGAGGAGGATAGTAGAGCATAATTTATGTCTCTGCATAATCATCATCGGCCTGTTTCACTAAGGTGGATTATCCAACAAACAGATCATCCAATTTTTCAATCCGAGGATAATCGATAAAATTTTATAATTCGTTAAATTGTACGATAAATCAGAAAAAATAGATTTAAAGAAAACAATTTTTTGATGATGGATTTCAATCTAATCTAAGGATAATCCATATACTCAAATTATTTTTTCGCTATATTCACTATAAAATAAAAAGATTTTTTATTAAACTGTTCTGATTATTATTCACCAATTAATTCTACATCAGTAAAAATTATTTGGATTTTCCACGCATCGAAGAAATAGATAATCCTAAAATGAGGATAATCCACCTTAGAGGCCGTTCACTTATTACGTTCGCATTTTAGGGGGGAGGGGGGGTTTGAAAAATTGTAACAAAATGTAACATAGGGGGGGGGGGGGAGGTCAAGAAGTATGTAACGTTTTAACTGACGTCTGTCTTTTAAAAAAAAGTTTACGAAAGAAATTTGTTTACAAATTCACACCAAAAATGTTTTTTTTTTAAATTTCCCACCTTTTCAATGATAAAATAAATTATGAACGTTCAGGGGGGGGGGGGGGGGGGTTGTGAGTTGTAACATATTGTAACAAGGGGGGAGGGGAGTGGTGAAAAAAGTCGTTTTTTTGCGTAACGTAATAAGTGAACGGCCCCTTAGTGAAACAGGCCGTATATTATTGGGTAGTAGGTTCGATAGTTTAAGTAAGACTCGCTCTCTCGAACTCTTATATTTGCTAATAAAAATAAACATAACTTCTTAATAGATTTGCCCAACTCTTTAGAATAAATGAATTTATAGACCCTTAGACTTGTTGCAAATCATATCCAACACCACCATGCCTTACCGATCTTTACCACTTTTACCACTACCACCACCCCACAATATTTTGCCAAAAAAAAAAACTTTTTATAAGAATATTCAACGTACTCTGACAAAGCAGAGAGAAAGAAGAGGTACGTGGAATGAGTAACAAGTTGGAGCATAAGCTTATAAATGTCATTAATATTAATCAATTTATTAAGTGTGAGAATGAAATATTCTCATAAATAATGATGATGATAATAATAATAACAATAATTATAAATTTATAGTCTACATTCATTCCTGAAAACTACATTCTGTAAGCATGAATATAGAAAATCACGCACGTTGTCAAAAATCTGCTTTAAATCACCTCCGTGCTTGTGCTTCATGTTACGCACATCACAAGAATAAAAAGAGATTATTCGACATGTAAAATATCATTTACATGCATATATGAAAGCTCATCACAATTCATCACACTTTTGACTGTCATCATCATCATCATCAGCGTCGTCACAATACTGAAATTCTTTATCTTTATGTAATTTTTGGCTGAATTATAAAATTACATTTTGTATCTTTTAAAGTTATTTTATGCATTTTGAGTGTGTGATTATGTGTTTTGGTTGTGCAATAAATTATAATTTTTACACGTGTAACAATAAGTTATTTTAACTGACCCCAACATTTGGTACACATTGAATGTTCATTTTTAACTCGAATATAAAAAATACGTAGTATTTAACACGTGTGTTTTTATTGACAGTGTATCAAATCGCTGTCATAAATTTAAATTGGGTGCCATACCTGTTAAATAGTTTATTACATTTTTACATAAAAATGGTTATTTGAAATGTTTTATTTTTGATTTTCAAAGAAACACGTCTTTATGTTTTTGTTCGTGTATTTCAACTGATTTATTTATTTTCTCAGATTACTGAGATCATTATTTTACAAGAAATCAATTAAAATGATCAAAAAAGAAAAAAAAAATGCGATTAATGATTCCCTGGGATGGATTAAGATTATAAACAATTGAGTATCCATTTAATAAGAGAATATCAAAAGATGTTGAGTGTAAATGAACCCAGCAATATCCAGCTTGTTTTTTTTTCGGATGTTTAAAAACTTCAACTGCTTAATGTACGAGACCAATTCATAATTGGATTAAGGATAGGTTCAAGAACTTAAAGTGTAGCAAAATGAATAGGAACAAGAGCTACAAGACTAATTTTGTCAGAAAGGACCTAAACTCAAAAGGGGTCTGAACCTCTTTGAACCCCACTTTTCTCTTGCATCTCTGGCAAATTGAAGAATTTTCATAGAAGCGAGGATTAGGGTCACACCTATAATAGCAGTGACTATTAAAAAATAGATAAAAACTCAATAAATTCTCTAGGTTTACCTCTTTATTGAGTACTTCTAGCATAAAACATAAAAATTCAAAATTCAATTAATAAAATTCCTTCGGAAACATTAACCCATCGTGAATTAAAAGTAAATTCCCCTCGTCAAACATTAAAAGCTTATTGACAAAAAAAAAGATGTAAACTTACAAAAGAGAGCGAATTTCATTCATATTTAAAATTCATCAACAACATCAACATAAAAGGGAAATTCTATGACGATATTAAATTGTAAATGTATTTAAAGATATAAAAATTAATAGTTGAATAAAAGAGAGAAACGCGGAACATAAAAAAAACTATATTACGGTTGTAATCTTCGTGGTTAACCATTGAAAGATAATAAAAAGAAAAATTGTATTGCACTTTTTTTTTTCATCGCTTCGCGACTACTGTTGCTCTTTCTCTCCTCATAAAATGCGATATTATTGAGGTTTAATGTATTTTTGATTACAACCATGTTCAAATGATAAGGACAAAATTTGTTACGATATGACACTTTATTATTATAATATTTTCCTGGTTAATTTATCTTAAGCCATAAGAAACAGCGGAGTGAAAATGATGGGATGAAGATAGATATATATAAATATTCAGTAATGTCGTGTCATCTCGTCATCATAAAAAATTGTTAATATACATCTTGCCACCATTAAAAAAAGTCTCGAAAATTTTCTGTGTTGTTGAATATGGAAATGGATGGAAGAAATACTCAAAAGGAAAAAAAAGAATATTTTTTTGAAGTAATAGTGACGAGAATACCTTCATAGGTAAAGTGACAGGTAATGAGCAAGGTTTGATAGATTAAACGTTCAGGATGAAGTGTAGAATATTGTTCAGTTTGATATGGAAATGGAATGAGATTCTGTGTTAATTTGCATTAATGTTCTATTTGAAATTTATGAAGTGTAATCTAGCTTGAAAAGGGATGTTCCATAAGCATTTGAATATTTAGAGTTTTTACTGCCAACAAAGTTTTGTTATCGTTAAGTGTTGAATTATCGAATGATCTTTAGATTAAAGCAATCTGATTTTGATTGCAAAGTTATTCTTATAAAATATTTCTTTGAAGCAAGTTGTGTAAAATAAGTTATCGTTATTAAATAAATTCTATTGTTGTATTATCCAAGAGGTTATGTGCCTGAACGCAATGGAAGGTCAAAACAAAAGTTTGGTGATGTTCGAGCGATTGAACAACTCGAATTATCGAGTTTGGGCATTTTGAATGAAAATGATATTGATAAAAGAAGATTTGTGGGAAATGATTGATCCCGGATCGAAGAAGAAGAAGACGAGACAAAAGGATTAAAGGGCACTTTCTAATATCGCTCTCTTGGTTGATCAACTCGTTCATATTGCTGATTCAAAAGATGGAAAAGATGCATGGGAGCCTTTGAAAAAGTTTCATTTAAATGAATCTATTGGCCACAAACTGCGACTCTACAAGAAGCTTTTTAAGTCAGAATTGCCAATTGGTGGTGACATGCAGAAGCATATTCAAGACATGCTTGCTATCGTTCAAAACATTAAAGATTGTGGAGACAAATTAGAAGACACGATGGTTGTAATTCTGAATATGAAAGTCTGGTAACTGCTCTTGAATCATGGAAAGAAAAAGAACTCACGATTCAAAGTGTCAAGTTGAAGCTACTCGATGAATATGAACGACGAAGTGATAATTTGAGCAAAGACTTGGATGCTGCAAGCAAGATTAGTGGTCAACCATTCAAGGTTGATGTGAAGGAAGCAATTGAATGTTTCTACTGCAAGCAGAAAGGTCACATTATTATTATTTATTTGTCGACGTTACCGTCCGGAAGAATTAGGTATTTATACATGTTTTTACTTTTTTACATTGATTAGTGATACATTTCATATCACTATGGGTGACGTAGAATCAAGCTTCTAATCTTCAAATCTAGGTTTCAAATAAACTAAGGCTCTCGTTTCAATTTTCTGTGGGCGTGACGTGATACATTTCAGGTCCGTTCTGACAATATTCCATTATAAGGTAATCTTGTAGCTCTCGTTCCTATTTCTCCCGCTACACTTCAAGTTCCTGATCCGTTCCTTAATCCAACGTTGCCCAAAATGCCCAATTATGGCTTGACTCGTACATTAAGCAGTCGAAGTATCTAAACTTCTGAAAAAGAACAAATTTGGAAATGGCTGGATTCGAACCGACGACCTTCGAGTTACCATACCAAATTTGAGCCAAGCACCTTACCTATTCGACCAGCAAGGCACTTAACTGCTTCACATGAAGCGAAATTGTCCAATATTGATGTCAAAGTACGATGTGAAGAAAGTGAATAAAGCTGAGAGTGTCAAGATGGCAATTTATGGACCATGGTACAAAAGTTGTTTTAATCCCAAGGATTTTCACAGTAAGTCATTTTTCAGTAGATTAGACGAAAAATATTGTGGAGCTGTCACTGTTCCGAATGGGGAGAAAGTTGAGTACATTAGACGAGGGGATGTCCGTTTGAACGTTTT